CTGGTAAAGACTATGAAGACTTGCAATTAAGTTTCGTAGAGCCGGTTACTATGCGAGCGGCCTCAATATTGATATATGTTCGATTTTATTGACAAGATCACTGGACATATTATCCCATAAAACGTCACCATATTCGAGTAGCGGTCTAACGTAAGAAAAATACAAATTTTCAAGCGATTTTCTATCAATAAGAAATTTAAGTTTTCTTAGTAGATGAAGTCGTTGAGATGCTTTCAGAAGGGTTGATTGTATGTGCAAATCCCAGTGGCCGTTTTTTGAAAAATGTATTCCAAGGTGTTTGTGACTTTCCACATTTTTGATTATTTGGCTATTCAGATAAAGTGGGGGATGTGTGATGGGAATGCGTTTATTGCTAAATAATAAACATTCGGTTTTTGAGGGGTTGAAATCGACCAACCATTGCTTAGCCCACGCACTTATCTTATCAAGGTCATTGTTTAATATCTGACTGGCTGTGCAAGCATTATCAACTACTATATACAGGGTTGTATCGTCTGCAAACAATTTAATTACACAATTAATTCCACATAAAATATCATTTATGTAAATGAGAAATAACAGAGGACCAAGAATAGATCCCTGGGGTACACCAGCTTTGATGCTACCCCAGGCTGATGAGGTGGAGTTGAGTATTACTCTTTGCTCCCTATTTGTAAGATAACTTTTAAACCATTTGAGCAAATTCCCATTTATCCCTGCAGTTCTTAGTTTAAACAGGAGACCCTCATGCCATACTCTATCAAAGGCTTTACTTATATTCAGATTTAGCTTGTTGAAGTACAAATCGGATACATGTACATGGTATTTACATCGGACTTTAATTCTGTGAAATCTCAAGTGAACTATTCAACAATCATGTAATTTTTTATAGCAGGACGTCAAAAGAAAAAAAATAATGTAAATATAGAAGAAATGAACAATTTGAAAACATTTCACCTAAATTCAGTGACCATAACAATCCGTAATTCACATTCAATAATATTTTTTTTATTTTGTTGTTTGGTTTTGTTAGTGTTTTTGTCTCTGTTTTGTTTTGTTTTTTTTTGGGGGGGGGGGGATTGGGGGGTGGGGGGAGGGCTGAAGGCAGTGCGGAGTCATTTCATGTGTGTATCTATTTTTTAATTCATTTGTGTATCTATCTGGCTTTCCCCTTTTCTGCTGATTCCTTCAGTAGCTACATGTACTCATTATATCGTGTGTTTTACTGTAGAAATGATGTCACACCCCACTCTATCGCAGTCTCCCTCGACAGAATCACCCTGGACTGCCTTACCTATGATTTGAACATATTTTATTGCAATAAATATATACAATGGGATTGGGCACAAGTTCTAAAAACTTAATTCGCCCTCTCCCTACATGTTATATCACAAAAAAATCAATCAGACGTGTCCAACAGCATGTACAAAGTAAATTAACTCACAACATAGAAACATATACTGCTAAATTATTATCTATACACATTTTTAGAAAAATCAATTAAATCTGCCTGAATGCTGAATATAAGATTGAACAATAGAGAAGAGATATTCATTTTCAGCAATACTGAGTGAGGTATCCCCCCAGAGTAAAGTATGAGTGTCAACAATATGAACTTTATTAAATCTCAAAAACTTATCGAAGAAATCTTTCCTGGCCTCAGTGTAATTAGGACATGAGAAAAAATAATGATGTGTGTTTTCTACCTTACCACAAGAGCATAATGGACTAGATATTATGTTACACCTATAAAGATCAATGTTTAGCACACAATTGTGTCGGAGTCTAGTGTGCAGTATATTGTAGCGTCTTTTTCCAAAACTGAAATAAGGCGGGGCTATTGTTATTTTTTTGTGTGATTTTACTTTTAAAAGCAGATAAGGAGCTCGAGAGTCTGGTGTCTAGCGATAAAGAATTCCACTCGTTTACTACAGTTGGTACAAATGATGATTTGTATGTTTGCAGTCTACAGACGGATATATTATAATTTTGAGAGTTTCTTGTTGTATACGCGGAAGCATTACATCGCATTTCAGGTATAATTTCACGTAGATAATCAGGAACTAAATTATTATGAATTTTATACATGGTATTCAATCTCTGAATCTTGCGTCTATCAATGAGCGGTTCCCAGCCTGTTTCAAAGTACAAAGAGTCTCTAGATGCAATTAAGGTCAAGCCAGTAACAATCCGTGCTGCGTGTAGTTGCAATTTCTCTAATTTTTCGGAGTCGATAGCTAGACAACCACCCCATACAACTGAAGCGTATTCGAGCTGAGGGCGGATAAATGAAGTATACATGAGTGAAAGAGTCTTTCGATTTATTTTAAATTTAAGTTTTTTTAATAGACCAATTTTTTTGTATGCATTAGACAGTAAGATTTCAATGTGAGTTGACCAACTTAAGTTATATGAAAAAGTTACCCCTAAATGTTTATGAGTTTGAACATATTCTAATTGGCTATCTTGGAATAGGAGTTTGGGAGGTTCTATGTTTTTTCTTGTGCTAAAAAATACAACCTTAGTTTTGGATGGATTAAATTTTAGTAACCATTTGTTTGACCACTCTTCAAGAGATAAAAGATCATTATTCAGATTACTTTCTATAGATTTAACACATTTAGATGCGTACTGCAAACTGTTATCATCAGCGAATAATCTACAAAAGCTTGACATCTTGTCAGATACATCATTTACATAAATTAAAAATAATAATGGACCTAATACAGAGCCTTGTGGAACGCCGGCATATAAGGAAGCCGAAGGGGATACCAAATTTTTGTAAATAACTCTTTGTGTTCTATTTTCTAAATAACTTTTTAACCAAAAGTACATATTACTCTCTACTCGCCTTACCTATGACACCTACACAGTAGGATTCAGTCAACTGACTGTTCACTGGTAATTAGGTGACTAATTGGCATAGCTCTGTCATAAAGTCAACTTTCACTTAACTGAATGCTATAGTTCCATACTGTGTTAGATACCATTCGAATATAGTCTTCCTGAAAGACACCCTTAAACAATTCGGGAGACATTAAACTCAGTTTGATTTTGACCAGAACGGGAAACGATAACACTCCCTTTAAATCAGATTTATTCAAGTTCAGACTTTCAGACAACAAACACTGTTCAGGTGTTCATTAATGACAACACAGAACATATATAAAAATTATAACGCAAAAAGAATAATTTCATACTTATTGTAAGAACTAATCATTTAAAAAAACTGTTTGAGGACCCAGATATGAAGAATTTAAATAATATACATGTACTTTTAATCTGAGTATAAATATATTCAAAGTTCATTGATATACTTCATTATACCCATACTGTTTATATTTTCTCCAATACTTCCCTTTTTTGCAAATATCTCCCAAAACACTATTACTTTGCACCTACAAATTTAGTATAGACATCTTTTAAGTGTCTGTATAACTATGCTTGTTTTCTTTATGCTTGAGAGGATAAGTTTGAGTAACTTCCTTACAACAAGCATTGAGAGAATTGTATACGCAATACTAGTCCTCTACCAATAAGTGTAACTGGTTCCCCTTAAAAAGCCCACAATTCAAATTTTAATATAGCCAAAATCATCGAAGAGGAAGAAATGCAAACTTGATCTGTAGCCCATCCAGCTAAACTCACTTACCGAAAATGAGCTCGATACCTGCAATCGTGTAGAAAAAAAGTGCGGAAAACTAAGTTGGACAGACTGACAGAAAGGGACTGACGGATAGACAGCTATACAGACGTACTAGGGTACTGACAGACAGACTAATGGACTGACAGACGGACAGATGGACTTATAGACAGACAGCTAGACTTACAGACGGACAGACGATTAGGAAATCTACAGTTCCCCTCCGGTTTCACCGGTAGCGGACTAATAAACAGTGACTCGGGCAGATATACGGGCACAGGAGTTTAGAGATTTGAAACCATTTTTGAATACAATTTTCCTTTAGGTGAGTCACTGTTAAACATTCACCCTATATAACCCCCCAAAACACAACAGAGGGATTAAGTGCTCAAAATAAAACCTGTCACTGGTTCCACTTTTGTGTAATTCTGCAGGCCTGCTTTTGGCTGCTGAATATACGACCACCAGGGGGCGATGACAGGCCGGTATCACTGATCACCCGAAATAACCCCAAAACACCAACGAAGAGCTGTAAAAATCCGAGAGGCGTTATAAAATATGTCCGTTTGCGGTCATTAAGGTATAAACGCTATTAAATGCCCGTTAAAATCAGTAATTGTGTTTCATTTCCAAATACATACTTTTATCAAGATGTATAAAATTGCACAAATTGTAAGCCACACTTTACAGAAATCGGCGCATGATACGGGGTTATTATCGGGTGATAAATACACAATATGTACAATATTGTCGATCGTAAAGGGGTGTCTAAGTGCGCTTTGTTTAAAAGTCCTCAAATTCAGTATTCTAAGTTTATAGGTGTATGTCTAGAGTGAAATAGAACTGTATCAAGTCATTGAAAAATATTGATGTAAGGAATCTGAAAATTATGATGAAAAAAACTTCTATGCAATCCATACTGGAATATCAAAAACTTCAACAAAACTTGTGTCCTTGAAGACTGAAGCCGATTGGATAATTTGTATTTATCGTGTCTTTGATAATTAACACAACTTCAAATCCCCTAAGCATGAAAATCCCCTTAAACTATAACTATCAGGGGTCCGTGGTTACTAGATTTGACCATTATAAGAGTTACCAAGTATACAAAAGTGGGAGCGAAAGGTACTTCCGGAATGACTTTCTGAAACGAGATTTTGAAACAGAAAATCTTTTACTGAGACAAGTTTCTCATCCGGGGATTAATAATCGAAAACATCTTTTTTTACTCTGTGCTACATAATTTCCAACTGAGATTACCTGCGATTAAAGTTAAGCCCAAACTTACACTCTAATAAAAGGACTGTATTTTAATGTCCCATAAAGTGTGGAAAAAATATCAAAAGAAAAATTTTATTAAAGCAATTTGAAGATAAATGAATTGTACAGTGTGCGTTCAGTATGCGTGACGACTGCTCGGTACGTATTGATGGGCGATCAGTAGATTCGGGTAATTTAACACTGAGGCTGCTAAAATTGAGATATCATGTCCGCCTTTGATTAACGCCGCTAGTTACATCTTATTTCCGAAAAGGAAACGAATGGTTAGAAGAAAACGAGGTGAGGTGTCTCCTTCATGGGCTTGATCTAGCCGGAGTAGACGCTTATTTCACCCAATACCGCGATAATAGCTGTACATTGAAGCTGGACTGAAGAAAAACATCTGCCCCTCCATGATAAATCATTAATTTAACTGTCTTGATTCGATTTTCCGACGAATTTCTGCAAAAGACGTCGTTAATTATTTATACAAAACGGTTTGGAGATATAAGTGTTTAATCTAAGTCGAGGATGTACCAATTAAGGTCGTAATGATTGCGGCGTTTTGATTGGTTGTGAGGCGCAAAGCAGGTGACGTGAACATGACGGCACGCGCGCTGTTACGGTAGCTTGGATTCCGGTATACCACGTGACCGAAGCATAAGATCGGCTAAGGTCTGATATACCGTGACCACAAACAGAGAACGGACCAAAGGAACCGTACCTCGCAACATAAGCTCCTCACTGAGTCGGCGGAGATTGCACTTAGAAAAGGTGAACATATAGAAATAGAAAATCTTTACTGGTAACTTTTTAAAAATTACTTAAGATAAAAATGAAGATAATTCATACTTTTCTTTTTCAAATTATGTCTTCTTTCTTGACTGTAAAAATAGACTGTAAAATTATTTGTAATATTTTTCAAAATTGTATTGTATTGTATCAGAGGAAATTGTGATGGTGGTTAAATTTAAGCTTATTTTACACAACTTTGAGAACGCACAAAATGTATTACATTGACGGATATTTTCGGAAAGTTTAGATTCTTGCTGTATTTTACTGAAATGATTTGAAGATTATACATTTAAAAAATGTTTACTTTAATTTAATGAAATTCTATTCTTTCCCCAGAAGTTGAGGCTGTGGTCAGAGAAGCCATGCCACACACTGGTGAGTCACTTTTTTGTCGCGAAATAAATAACTTTGGATAATCTTCTGTCCGTAAAGAATAATTTATGCATGTTCTGCTACTGTCTGAGCTTTGCCTGTTAAAGAAATACTTTTGCATATATTCTATTTTGCTTGCATGGATCACGAAATATTTACAAAAATGTATTTTTTAAAAAATCATTAAAAATCCGATTTTATTTTAAAAACTTAAAATTAGACTATTGGTCGTTGGAAAAAAAAGTGTTACGAAATGTTGTTACCGAAAGGGGATTCATAGCTGAAAAAAAAATTCTACAAACTGCAACAAAATAAATATCTATTTGTAAAACATATCGTTCTTAAGTAGTTAATTATCAACGTTGATAATAAACTACTTAAGAGCGATATGGACAAACTCAGTTTAATTAGATACTCAATCAACGTACAAAGCTACCAAGTTCACTATCAATTTTAATAGACTTTTTGATTTTAAAAATCAATGTTCACTGAACATCGATTTTATTAATTGTTATTGGTCTTTTCAGTTGTTAAAGTTTCTTTTCTTGTCCACCAGTTCGTATATAATGTATACATTACAGACAATTCAATTTTATATCGGTTTGTCTTTATAATAAGAAGAAATTTTATTTTTTGAATTCCTAAAATTTTAACATAAAATAAATTCTATTAAGTAAAATTGTTAAGAATTATTTCTAAAAAATATTCTGTTTAATAAAATAAATGATAATTTTAAACAACAGTTGTTCAACATGATTTTTCATTAGTCAAATTCCAAATTACATTCGATTTAGTAATGCAATGAAAAAATAAATATTAGTAAGAACAAAAGAAAAAAAAAGAAGAAGAAATTTACATCAACGTTAACTAACTGCAAAATGATATACAGTTTGTAAAAGAATTACGATATGATTTTCCCCCCAAAAAAATTCAAAAGGCAGTTTAATGCAGTAAATAAATCAGTGGGGCTTGTTACTTGATGGTCCTGCAAAAAAATTCTACTGAAATGGAAATTTAATAAATATTGATATTTTTAAAGTTTTTTTTTTAAAAACACACATTAACCAATCTATAATTTGAAACATTTTAAAAATTTTATCAAACTGCTTCAACAAAAAATAAAGTATGTATTAACACAGCTTTTAAAAAGTTACTTACTGTTGAAAAGAAGAAATCTGAAGCTGTTTAGTTCTATAGTTTCTGTTTCTTTCACGATTTGCGTATGTATTAAAGCCTTTATACAAGAGCAGAAAGTTATCAATTTTAAAAATATTAAATCCTCAATAGTACATACTAGCCAAAAAATAAATTGATACGATTAGCGAAAATATTTAACGAAAAATTCTTTCATTTGTAATAAAAAGAGTTCAAAATAGCCTAGTCGTATCACTTTATACAATGCATTTGTCATCATTGAAAAAAAATGATAGAGAATATAATTCCATTTGATTCCCTATATTTCCATATGAAGTGACGTGTTTTATGCTTAAATTGTTGAGAAAATAAATTTACATTTAAAAAAACTTATCATATTTTACTCCAAAAACAGACTGGTTAACCCCGGACAGCTTGAACATCAATAAATAAATTATTAATTACGAACATGGACATGCATCGCTAAACATCCCGCAAAAAATAATAACTTAAAAGAAAGTCAAATGTTAGGAAAATGTTTGTTCGTAATGTCGTTCATTATTTAATAAATATATAATGATCATCTTCCCATGAACTAGAATGGATGAGCATGAATATCTCGTAGTTGATATCAAAACTATAGTGCAAACTGTTATGTTATAAAAATGATAGTGGAATGACATAAACATGACATATAAATGACATGGCAAGTCATGAAATAAATAATCATTCACTTTAGAAATGTATTTAATATTTGAAAATTCATGAGGTACATGAACTACAACGCTTTAAGCTTGCATATTTATCATGAAATTTGCCGGCATGAATCGTCGTAGTTCATGAATTTTCAATTAAATTAATTTCGTAAGTAAACGACATTAAACGTAAAGTAAACGTAAGTAAACGACATTAATGATAACTAAAACATTGGAGATTTGAATGATGACTAAGTTATTTTGAACCTGAAAATATATGTTTCTTTATATTAGAAAAAGAAACCATGAAAACAAGAATTTCTGATTTCGAATTGAAAATGGACGTCAAAGGAAATCTCTGATTTTTCGCACTACACGTAGACATTAAGCTACGCCCAGCAATAAATTGTGGAAATTAATCAATAAATCCCACATTTATGTCGGAGATAATGATTAACAAATTAGCATTAATGTATGGAGACTCATTTAATTCACTAAATTGAGAGATACATTTGTAACAGTTTGACTCGAATACAATCATCTAATACGCTAATGCTGTAAAATATGATTTATATGTTTTTTATTAATGCAAAAAATATTAATTCACGGAGGACAGAGGGATATTGGAGTAAATTTTAAGATAAATCTGACTTCTGTGATATTGTTAAGACAAAAATTACTAGTTAATAATTTACATTGCGCAGAACATAATGAACATGATGAAACTAAGAATACATTTTCACATCAATCTTTTTTTTTTTTTTTTAGAAAAAACAAAACCTATATGTTTCTGAACAGTTTTTGCTCTGTCCGTCTGTCCGTCCGTCTTTCTGTCTGTCTGTCCGGGTTAGGGTTTGACACTTAACAGTATGTAAATAATTTGTTTACGATTAGGAGGTCAATATCTTTTCTTTTTTATAACACTGATGAATAATACTTGATTGTGAATCTTTATTTTTTAATTATAAGTATGTCTATTGTCATGTACAAGTATTTGTTCAATAAAATGATTTGTTCAATAAAATATGTTTAAATCATGACGCCTCCAACCAGTAAATTCAAACGTACAACATGATGCACCCATTCCTTTTTTGAACGTGAAGAATTGACGACTGGAGAAATACTAAGGAAAACAAATACATATGACTTTTTTTATACTTTGCTGAAATGATCTTTCTGTATTTGGAATACTCGGAAACTATTGTAAAATATTCATCGTCTTTTATTGTAACTTATAATTGAAATTATAAAACACAACTCTTAGATGATTTTTTAAAAAGGATTTTGCTTTATCTGGTAAGAATAAGGAGCCATTTAACCGAAATTTCATGGGACATAAAAATATATTTACTTTTCTTTATCCTTAAACCATTTCAGGTAATGGATATTCCTCAATTCAGGCTTTCCCTGATTTAATGTTCATTACTTAATTCATGATCTGTGTGCAGTCCCTGGACTATATATCATACAGAATAATCGTCCATCATTAGCGTGGGGCTTGATATGAGACACTGATTTTAACTATGTAATAGAAGAACATCAAAATTTTCTATGTAAATAAAGTATATATATATGACCAAGGTTTGAATGCACCAATACGTGGTCTGATCTGCTGCAGAACTTTTGAATCTATCAATCTTATATACTTCAAATTAGTTAATATTTTATACTCATACACAACCATTAATCCATGGTGTGTAAGTCAATATTCGCAAAGAAAAAATATTTCTCATCGTTTGAAAATTATTTTATTTGTTAGGATTGATGGAATCATATATCTATCCCCAGTTAGAGCAGTTAAAGTATTTCAATAATAAATGTTTTCTGTCATTTACGCAAATTTCATTCACTCCTCCAACCTATACATACCCCCATACACCCTCAATACTAGAGGGCAAAGTCTTGTCAAATTCCATGCACTCCTCGTATCTTTATATGCCTCCCATACCCCCAATACTAGAGGGTAATGTCTTGTCAAGTTGTCATGCACTCCAATCTTCATATACGCCCATACACCCCAGATACTAAAGAGTAATTTCCTGCGTTATGTCAATGGAATTGGACACAAGTAACATAACTTAGTCTTCTCCCCATGCATCAAATTTAAATCGCCATGCAACATTTACATTTTGATAATACACATTGACTTTTTCCTTGATTTGTACACTATATGGTTTAAATTTTCAATCAATGAAATGTGAAAATAACGAATAGTAATCATTCTCAAAAGTCCATATAAACAATACAAATTATAAGCAGAGACAACACGGACCTTCGAAAACAGAGGTGGGATCAGGTGCCATGAAGAAGTAAGCTTTACCTTCCGATAGGTCACACCCGCCGTGTGCTCTTTGTCATGATCAGGTTAACAAAAAAGAAAAAAAATCTGTAGAAACTCAGTATGAAAATTTGTATGAAAGATGTAAGTCAATATTCGACTTAACGCTAGATTGTATTTGCAATATAATTTAATTTTTGCATCTGAATTCAAACAATCAAGACTAATGCGCGATCTAATGCAATCGCTTTTTGACTATGAGTCTCGAGTGTGAACTCGAAATAAAAGACACCACAAAGTCTGCCACAACTATTTCATATTTGGATGTTATACTGACTATATACGATAAGGGTCAACTAACAAGTATATTGTATGACAAACGAGATGACCAGCTTTTCCATCGTCAATTTTCCTTTTTTATTTAGTAATATTCCGCTATCAACTGCATATGGTGTTTATGTTTCCCAGATTATTCGATACTCAGGAGCACTTAGTTCTGGGAATGATCAATATTTAAACCGAAGCAGGCTACTGACAGATATGTTGATGTTACAGGGATTTCAACAACCTCGTTAAAAGTCAAACATTTTGTAAATTCCATGGTCGTTATAATGACTGTGTCAGCACATATAACCTATCATTGAATCGTATTTTGGCCGACGTGTTTCATAACAATTCTTAGACCTTTGTTTTTTTTACACTAAATTTGACTACGGAATATTATACCTATCTGATCAATACATAGTCCTCACGGAGGGTGTGACCGGTCGACAGGGGATGCTTGCTCCTCCCCTCCAAATTTAAAAAATAACAGCAAAAAACTTCAACTTTTACCATATTTTTTGCTTCTTAAGATATTCAACTCAATTGACTGATTTCATTTCGCCAAATGATTTACATCTTTCTCAATCTATGGGTGCAAGGGTTAATGTCTAGTATTTCTCAAAAAATATAGAATAATAAGACATTTCCTGCGTCAGGATGTCCGCAGTAGACAGTGTATGACTGAGAGAGACTGATAACATTTTTTCAAAAGATACAAACAATTATCCGGTATTTCACGGTACCGGGTGAAAGTGACATTAGTAATGTTTTTTGTTGGTCAAATATAAACAAATACAGGAATGACATCAACAAACTGTCTTTTTAAGGAAAGAGTAATATTATCGTTCATATACGGTAGTAAATTTATAATCTTAAAAAAAAAACAGTTTGAATTAAACAATCCGTGTGTTTTCAAGCAAAGATTTATTTTTTCTTTCTAAATTTCTTTGACATTCCTTTTCGCATTATTCTTATGTTATATAGAATTTTGAATTATTTAATTCTACGTTCTATTTCATTGGTTTCTAATCTTTTTACGAAATTATTCTCAAGAGGCGAGACCAAATTAAGACTGAGTAATGATGGAATATTCTTATGTATATAAATATATTTTTCATGAATTATCATTTGACCTCTTGTAAGTCTGGTAACTTTTGAGAACTTGGTTTGAAACTCGAAAACCTTTTCCTTAGGTATTAATGTCTTTTTAATCTTAAACTGAGGGCAAATTAGGTGACTCAGAGAGACCGTCGGTGCTTAGTTATTTTGTAATTGTCCAACTTGAATCAAGGAAAAAAAAGCAAAGTTGAAAGAATTTCTTATCAACGCCAGCCGAAAATAACACTTCTACTCCCCTTTGATCATAGACCAAGGAAAACGATTCATATACCAGGGCTCTTTTTCTATCTCAAAAAAAATAATGACAATAATAATATATATTTTTTTAATTTTTCAATTTAAGAGATATGGCAAAGTGACGCATGACCCGATGAATTTAATTGAATACATTTAATGGAACTACTGGTTTCCGAATATCACATGGCAATTACATGTAGTTATTCAAAATATGCTTTAATAAAGGCATAAAAACGAGTATGATTCTGTGACGAAGTAATGACTGGAAAGGTATCGAGTACACCTCAAAAGAACAACATGGCTCTTAAGGGTGCGTTCGTGCGCCTGCCGCCAGTACTGGGCGATTGATCACGGAGATTGCACTGTTACCATTGACTGAAATGTCTCCATCTTGATAAAGGAACGATAAAACACGTGCTACGTAAATTTATAGAAATCTTTACCATTCATCGATTACAATAATGATCGAAAAATTGTATAAATTTTTCTTTGTTATTAGTTAATGGGTGACAAAATGAATTCCACGGTGTGATATATTTTAATGATAATGTTACAAACACATGCTATCTTAATTCAATTATAGTGGCAACTGGGGGAAACCACTAATTATAACTATTTATTATCTGTCATCAAAAAAGTATCAAAAACTTCACAGGGTATATAAAAGTCCCCTTGAATTTCAAAATAACAAGAAACATGGCCGTAGGAACCGGGGGCTGTCCCCCCCCCCCCCAATAATTTTGCCGATATATAGAATATTATAGAAAACATAGCTACTATATGCTTGTGCCCCCTCAATAATAATGTCTGATGACCTTTTTTTTTTTTTTGCTTGTCAAGGAATTATTTTGGTAGTTGATAGTCCCCCCCCCCAAACTGAAAATGTATGGTTGTGCCCCCTCATAGTGAAATTCCTTCCTACGGGCCTGAGAAAGAAAACTAATACATGTAATCTGAATTTTCCATCAATTTATTATTTGATATCCATTATTTTGAACTCTATAATAGAGGCCTAGTGTACTAGAATATTATACAAATTACATATACATGTATATACCAATATAGGTGCCCAAGTACTCCTTCTGTTAGGGTAATTCTGTCCACTTGCTGAAACTTGAAGGCAAATGAAGAGGAATTATATGTACCTCTGGTTTCTACCCAGTGTTTCACTTGTTGTTGAATATATATTTGAAGGTCAAACTGGGGTCAATCAGCTTGGAGGGGTCTTTGTCAATGGACGACCACTTCCGGAGCATGTCAGGCGCCGAATCGTGGAGCTTGCTCACATGGGAGTTAGACCATGTGACATTTCCCGCCAACTTTTAGTATCACACGGTTGTGTCAGCAAGATCCTTACGAGATATTACGAGACAGGATCCATTAAACCAGGCTCTATTGGCGGAAGTAAACCAAAGGTAAATCGGACTTGTTTACCACTGATGATAGCATGTGTAGATAAATCATTTTTTGAAAATTAATTTGACACAATATCTTATCTGTCTTCTCAATTTTGTACACAAATGTAATAATTCGATTGATTTTTCAGACTGCTTTATAATTTCATGATATTGTTTTTTAACATCAGCAAGTTGCGACGCCTTACATAATCAAACGGATACTGGACTTCAAACGACAACATCCGGGCAGCTTTGCTTGGGAAATCCGAGATCAACTGCTGACTCTCGGAATCTGTGACGAGCAGACTATCCCGAGTGTCAGTTCTATAAATAGAATCCTCAGGAATTCTGGTACCTTTTCCTTCGGATACAATACAGAGGAGCTCATGGGATATCAATCTATCTATGGTCGCTATCAAGGAATTCCGGGCATGTTGGGGTCAGCCTGTACGGAAACAAATGGCTTCTCATTGGGTGTTCCGGGCTTGTCGTACCCGAAACTCGTGGAACAGATTAATGAGACCAAAAACGCTCCGAAAGAGCCTATTGATGACGGAGAAGACATAGAACAAAACGGTATTTTTTAAAATAGTTTATTTATTTATTTATTTACTGATCCATATATTGATTTATTTATTACATTTATATGGTTTTACACTGTCAATGTAATACATGTATTGATAATGTATCCGGGCCATAGTTTTGAAACTCTAAATTGGAATCAAATCAGACTACAGTATGTTGAAGACTGCACAGTAGCCTTTGCAATTAAATTCTGAAATTAAAACATAAATCTTGTAATCTAATTTATAACCGTTGATTAAGATATATTTTCAATTTCATATCTATCATTGCATTAGATATTCTTAGCTCACCTGAGCCAAAGGATGAAAGCATCAGTGCTTAGTGTAGATTCAGTTTTGTTCAAATCGTGACCCCTAGAAGTTGGGCGATGAAAATTTTACATTAGAATATATAGGAAAACCTTCTCAAGAACAGCAAAGCCACGGTTAGTTTTATTTTTATGGACGCATCCTCGGGTAGTGTAGGTTCAAGTTTGTTCAAATCACGACCCCAGGGGAGGGGTCCTACCACAATAGGGCATCAAAGTTTTACATAGGAAAATTTATGAAAATATTTTTCAAAAATCTTCCCAAGAACAGCAAAGCTTTGGTTAGTCATATTTATATGGACGCATCTTCAGGTAGTGTAGATTCAAGTTTACCCGAATTATGACTTCGGGGTAGGGTGGGGCCATAATATGTGCTCAAAGATTTACATAGGAATACATGGGGGGGGGGGGGGTCTGCTAATGAAGAACAACAGGGCCATAGTGAAACAGGTGAGCGTTGTGGAAGAATTCAAATTGGACTGTTCTTGTTTCATCAACCTGTTTGTTAGTAGCTTTTCTCGTTTTAGAAATTGTAATTAATATAAGAGAATGTAAGAAATATAAGAGATATGGCCTTAACTTTCAATCAGCCTCGTCTAACATTTTTAAGCTTTAAAATAACCTTAATACTAAATTTTGCATTTATTCCAATCAAGGGCTGAAAAGGCATCTCTTTGCCAGGTGACACTGACTTTTAAGATACATATATGATTCGGAGTTAAAATCATAGCACACTTTTGACCAAGGGCTACAACATACTAAAGATGAATCTTCTATCAATGTATCGAGAGTAATATTGATAACACATGGTTACTGTCTTGAAAAAAAAAAAAAACGATATTTAGGCTAGGGTAAAAAGAAAACGTAATAGAGGGCGAGACTTGTCGAATCCTCCATCACGTTTTCGGCCAGAACCTATATATCTATTATATTTCAAGACAGTTATCAGGTATTTTGTTTATCCTGCAACATGGTTTTTCATTTGACTTCCAAAACGAGGTACTAGTATTCTCAACAAAGTTAGGCACATTTTCGCAGTTGAAACTATGACGCTCTGGCATAATGAAAAAGGTGAAGACAGCGAACAGTGATCGATCTAAAAAAATCTTTAAACAATACAAATGTGTGAACAGGGGTATAAAACACGGACCCCCGGAATTTCCAGAGGTGGGATCCGGTGCCTAGAAGGAGTAAGCATCCCCTCTTGACCGGTCACACTCGCATAAACAATGCGATACAGATGACCTCACAATGCTTTAAAAGATGTCGGAATGCACGAGGCTAATTAATTAGGGCATTGACCAAATATAGTTTCCTTTTATTTGGTTACCTTTAGCGGTGATAGCAGAATAAATGTTATTTGTATTCAAATATATTGATGTTACCTTTGAAATATGACGTTGAGCCTTTTAAAAAAATGGTTACATGTAACACATACCCCATCTTGAATCCATTCCAAATTCTTTCAAATTAGATAAAAAAAAATTTCAATTCCCCACCAAGTATCTAAACTAAAGATTCCAAACTGCAATGTATTTGAGACTTAACAATGGACTAATAAGCAGTAATTATGAGTAGGGAATTAAAAGTATACAATTATATCCAGTCTTGTAAAATCTAGTCACTGCTTTCTGTTTATGTATATTGATCAAACTTAAGGAAAGATTTGATTTTTGAATTAAGATTTTTAGAAAGTGACAAATTACAGTACATTATACCTCCTTACCTTCAACAGAAAAAAGAAACACATTTTGAGTTGATTTGACCTTGATGATAAAAAGGGTAGCATTAAAAACACATTTAGATGCTCAATATTTCATTGATTTAAAATTCCTTTGCATCATTTAAAATCATTGATTTTGTAGGTCACATCTGTTACAAACTTTGTCAAAATGAAAAGCAATCTTATGAGAGAAAGCCTGCCGGTAAACTTTGATACAAATCCTCAAATGATTTTGTTTAATCATGGTAATATGTTTGTGCGCCCATAAATAGTGAAATATTGTCGGACATGTCAGTCTAGCGAAAAGCGAATAATTAAGGTGCAAAAAATATCCTAACTGCTCCTTTAAAGTTATAGAAGAAACATCAAGAAGGATTCTTTTTAACTAAGATCGTTAGAAATTCGTCACGCTACGATTATTAAGCATATCGGAGAAATACGGGGCCGCTTAACTCCTGCCAAATCTATCAGACTCACCTTTGATGTATTCACATCACACGGTGCACATTGCGCCGCCATAAAACAAGCCCCCTTACATCACATCAAATGAGATTTGGGTTTGGGAGTCAAATCAAAGAAATTCGATGGCCAATTTTCCCGTTTTGCCCCATTAAACTCTCCAAGTTACGGTGATTAAATGTTTATCATACAGCGATGAGAAGATGAGCAATTACCCAGCAAGCTTTGTCAAATTATTACATCAAAAGAGGATTCAGTTTTTGACTTTAGATGTTTTGCATGATTATGATATTCACTTTTTTGCTTATTAAAATCTGTTTTTGCTGTTTTGAATCCCAAAAATGGACTTGTAGTTCGGCGGTCAAATTAAACTGTTTACCGACAAAATTTCGGATAATTATATTTTTTTAATACGTGATAATTGACTTGGTGCAGTTACTTGGTACATTCTATACCGTGACATTGTACACAGTTAATATTCACACAATACTGCCTCTTACGTACTGATTCACCCAATACAGTACACATATATTGAACATTGACATAGAGAACATTATTCAGTTTATGGTTTATTGGATGAGAAATATTATTGTCGTTTTGAAATTAACACTATTAAAAATATCTTCAATATCAATGGATATATATAGAATATCAGTATTAGAAGTTGACATTTGGAATTTTTGTCCAAAAGACGCTACATTTGATTATGTTTATGCAGTTAATATTCTTCATATTTCTTAATATTTAGAGAGATTAGTGGAATTGATTAAAACGGATTCAGCAAGTTATAATTCTCTATTCAGGGAGGTATTTCCCCTTAACGTTTTGAATTACACTCAGAGAATAGGAATCCATAGAAACGAATAAAAAAGAACAAACAAATATTTCAATATATCGAATTTTAAAGGTAAAACTAGTATTAAAATTTCTGCTCCACCATCGTACTTTGATTTCAGTAACAGACGATTAAATGTTATTCATACCAGACTTAAACTTAATGGTAAGCTAAATGAGGGCATGTATAGATTCAATTTAATTTCAAGCTCCCTTTGTTTATGTGGTAATGTAAGCTAAATGAGGGCATGTATAGATTCAATCTAATTTCAAGCTCCCTTTGTTTATGTGGTAATGTAAGCTAATGAAGGCATGTATAGATTCAATTTAATTTCAAGCTCCCTTTGTTTATGTGGTAATGTAAGCTAATGAAGGCATGTATAGATTCAATTTAATTTCAAGCTCCCTTTGTTTATGTGGTAATGTAAGCTAATGAAGGCATGTATAGATTCAATTTAATTTCAAGCTCCCTTTGTTTATGTGGTAATGTAAGCTAATGAAGGCATGTATAGATTCAATTTAATTTCAAGCCCCCTTTGTTTATGTGGTAATGTAAGCTAATGAAGGCATATATAGATTCAATTTAATTTTATGTGGTAATGTAGAAATAAGATACAAGTCACTGAGAAAACAGCTCATTTATCATTATCATTTTTATGATTTGACATAAAGTTACAGGTCCGCGTTTTTTGATGAGGATCATTGAGTGCTGCAGAGAATGAACGTATTTTTTTACTATTGTAAATTGTAGATTTACATGTTAAAGATGTATATGCTAAAATGTATGTACCTATAGAATTTACTGATCTGTAAATATTAGTGTACCTGTACTTTAAATTATATTATTAAATGTGACTTAATTTACACTTTCATATACTGGTAGGAAGAATGAGAACGTAATAATTTTTTCAGAACTTGTACCCAATCCCTTTATACTTATAAATTAAAATATGTTCCAATCTAATCAATGGATCAAATTAATATGTTTGAAATTATGCTTTATCCCAACAATATTTATAACGTCTTGCATATTATTATATCAGAATCTATATCCAATTAACATCGTTCTGGTCACGGTAGCCTAGTGGTAGGGCGCTCGCTTTGTGATCAGGAGGATCGGGTTCGATTCTCGTTCGCCGCGTCAAACCTAAGACATAAACATAGATAGTGACTGGACTGTTCCTTCTCCGAGCGCACAGCACTAGAAGTGAAAGTCACTGGTCTTTCTGTGAGACCTTAAAATCCGAGGTCACGTGTCACGGTAGGCTTTGGCACGATAAAGAACCCTCACTGCTCAATGGCCCTGAGTGTCGAGTATAGGTCCTTCACCGGCATACGGTGATGTCTCTATATGAGTGAAAAATTCTCGAATGGGACGTTAAACAACAAATAATCAAAAAATCTAAAAGAAACATACTTGAAATATACTTGTATAATTCATAATTTGCCTGAATAAGATGAATATATTGGGACACTTAACATCTATTAGAATGTTTACCTCACATCTACCTGTTGATAAATATTTCTTAGAAAAAAGAAATCTCTGAAGTAAATAAATGATACAGAATGTTTTTCACACTTTACAATAATTATATATTATTTTTCTCTTAGTTTCTTTCTACGTTATAATCTGTTTTTGAAGGGTAAATATTCATTCATCAACAACCATTTATAGGTTTATTATAAATGTAACATTTGATATTGACATCGTGATTATAAATACCGTAAACTTCCTTTGAACTGTTCATGTAATGCTGATTGGTTTTTATGTACTGGAAAGACTCATATAATGCTTACTTTTGTAGTTTACTCCATACATTTGTTTACGTATTGGACAGAGTGATTGAAAATGTGCTTTGTTTTGTAGTTTACTCTATATAATTTTTTACGTATTGGACAGAGTAATTAACATTGTGCTTTCTTTTGTAGTTTACTCTATACACTTGTTTACGTATTGGACAGAGTGACTGACATTGTGCTTTGTATTGTAGTTTACTCTCTACACTTGTTTACGTATTGGACAGAGTGATTGACATTGTGCTTTCTTTTGTAGTTTACTCTATACACTTGTTTACGCATTGGACAGAGTGATTGACATAATTGTGCTATATTTACTGTCCCTATTTTTACAGAATCATCAAAACAGAACGTAAAGCCAAAAGACAACAATAACGACGACGAATTCAGAATTGAAGAAAGATTTCCTAGTTTGGCTGGAAAGATCAGAACTACAAATATGTTAAAGACCACAGAAAATACACAGTGTTCGTCCAAAACATCCACTAAAAATAATGCTCCCAAACCAGACAATATTGACAAAAACAGCTCAGGAGAAATGTCGGTCGAAAGCGTAAAGTCTAGTGAGAACTTGCTTGAAAATAGAAGCTCCTATGATACGTACTTCTCCAAATGTTTAACATCTATGAGCACAAAAGCCACGAGAGAGATGTCATCTAGTGGATTTTACTCGCTCTATCACCCATACTCTAGGTATAGCGCGTCATCACGTGGTTCTGACATCACACCTTACGTCATTCCTAGATTGTATATGTTTCCAGAGAGCTTCTCATCGCCATCACATTCCTTATTGTCTCATACAGACACGGGAACGGGAACGTCGTCTCACGGCAGAGCGTTTGATCAACATGTGTTTAAACGCAGCTCTCTAAATCTAAAATGAAAGTGTCTTGATTTATCTGTGCATTGTAAATTATTTCTGTGATGAAAGGTTTTAACAGGTTATCAAAGTAGTATACTTTTGTGTCTACTAGAATGTTAGAATAAAACGATTTAAATGAAAAGTCTGGAGACTTGTATTTAGTTAGTTATCCCAACCAACGTGCCCGTCTGACGTCCAACTCTTATGTAAACCCTTTACACTGTAAACATTTTCTAAGAACCACTGTGTCAGGCTTCGTTTACACTTGCCGCTAAAGTCAAGAAACACTAGGTCAGAATAGACAACTTCCTTATCTACAAGTTACCTTACATATAGATTCTGATCTGATGTGTTTAAATCATGGCTATTGGGGTCAGAGTAAGGTTACTATAAATGTACAAATTTAACTCAGAAAACTATTAGGATTTTTTTTTAATCGACAATTAAGCAACAATATCCCCTATCGTGAATAGTGTTACTGGTCCTATTTAGTGGTAAGAATGAAATACAAAAAAAAGGGAAAAAAGAGAGAAGGGGATAATCTGGGGGCAGTGATTATAATTTTGCCATATAAGCAAGTAATAAATGCCTAAAGCTAGTTAGTAGATCTGGCCAATGAAACAGGAATGCAGATCGTACATTCTTTCAACTTTATGGGTCTTGAGTTAATTAGATTTATCATATTTATACTAATTTTCATCAGCCTGAATGAACATTGTCTTTTAAAAAACTTATTCAAACCAATCTTTTAAAAAGTTCAGTATGAAATATGAAGATGACAAACGATAATCAAGCTCAAAAGTCCACTGGAACGATACAAACTGGGAAAATAGCAAACACGGATCTCTAAAAACACGAAGTGGGATCAGGTGCCATGGAGGAGTAAGCATCTTCTGTCGACCGGTCACACGTAACCGCCGTGTTCTCCTTGTCATGATCAGGCAAACGGAAAAATCCGCAGACAATTCAGAAAGCTGTCACTCAACATTCGACTTAAAGATAGATTGTATTTTTTAACAAGGTCTTTGTATCGACCGAAGAATTTGCGAAATGTTGACTTCAAACGGGACCTTGTATCATCAGGCTTGCCTTGTTTTAGAATTGTTCGTATGTAGAGCATGCTCTTGGATGTCGAATTAACTGGGAAACATTAACTCCATATGCAGGCGATAATGGTATATTGTAACATAAATTAGGGAAGTTGGCGATAGACAAGAGGCCCAAGGGCCTTAACGGTCACCTGAGTACAATACAACAATTTAGAGGATCCATAAACTGATAAATGAAGCTTTTTTGCCCAAAAGCAAGAAATATCGTATGATTAGCATCAACAAAATAATTGGTCTAGTATCTATCTGTCTCCCATTTATCACTATTACCATGCAGACTACTGAAAAAATATCTATTTTTTAACCTCATATTATAACTTCTCACATTAACCTCTCTTGGCCTTTGAAGAACATTTAAAAAGATAATTATTTTTGTCTCAATTTTATTCATTTATTATTTCTAAGTCTACCTGACCATTAAAACTGTGAAAGTAATTTTTTTTATTTTACAATAAATATTCTTGCATAATTCTCGTATTCTATTAACCTTTCAAATACATTGTTTACAGTGATTAATTATCAAAGATGAATGGCAAAGGGGAATAACTTTGCTCAGCAGAATACAAGTTAATAGAGCACTAGGCAGGACCAATTTTGGAAGAGGCACTCTTACTCATCATAACTATGTTCTTAGTTAGTCTATTTAATATCCAGGAGCAGAGAAGAAGATTTTCAAAGAATTAATGCATTTTTACTATATAGTCAATAGAGCCCCGCCCTAACACCAGAACCCCTGACCCCGGGGCCATGAATTTCACAATTTTGGAAGAGGCACTCTTGCTTATCACAATTATGTACTTAGTTACTTTATTTGATACCCAGGAGCAGAGAAGAAGATTTTCAAAGAATTAATGCAATTTTACTATATAATCAAGTGAGCCCCACCCTAACACCAGAACCCCTGACCCAGGGGCCATAAAATTCACAATATTGGAAGAGGCACTCTTACTCATCATAACCATGTTCTTAGTTAGTCTATTTAATATCTAGGAGCAGAGAAGAAGATTTTCAAAGAATTAATGCATTTTCACTATATAGTCAATAGAGCCCCGCCCTAACACCTGAACCCCTGACCCTGGGGCCATGAAATTCACAATTTTGGAAGAGGCACTCTTGCTCATCATAACTATGTACTTAGTTACTTTATCTAATACCTAGGAGCAGAGAAGAATATTTTCAAAGAATTAATGCATATTCACTATATAGTCAATAGAGCCCCACCCTAACACTAGAACCCTGACCCTGGGGCCATGAATTTCACAATTTTGGAAGAGGCACTATTGCTTTTCATAATTATGTACTTAGTTACTTTTTTTAAAACCCAGGAACAGAGAAGAAGATTTTCAAAGAAGTAATGCACTTTCACTATATGATCTATATAGCCCCACCCTGGGGCCAGAACCCCTGACCCTGGGGCCATGAATTTCACAATTTTCGTAGAGGGCTCAATGCTTATTACAATGATGCCAACAGTTTGACTGCTTGGTGTCCAGGAGTAAAGAAGAAGATTTTAAAAGATTGCATTTTTTGGTGTTTTTAGCTCCACCCCTTTTTGGCCCCTAGTTTGGGGTGTCTTTTAGAATGATGCAACAGTTTATCAATGAAAACCTGTTGTCAGCCCTACCACAAAATGAGTATTGGTTCTAAGTTACGGGATACACAGAGGTCACAGGAAGGTCGGAAAATATGTCAATTTCCGAATTTTCTCATTTTTATGCAAATTTTCATTGATTTTACAGCACAGTTTGTTTCAGAAAACATAGAGCACAAGCTTGCCTATCTACCAAATTTACATATTTCATATACTAGTATCAGATGCATCTTATGTATAAAAATCTCAGATAGGCAAGCTTGTGCTCTATGTTTCCCGAAGTGAAAAGTATCTTAAATTTGACGAAATTTCACCAGAATTGAGGAAATTTGGGAAAATGTCTTACTTCTGCACCCTCTTGTGGCCTCTGTGTAAGCTTTGAATCAAAATTAGTACTGGTTTTAAAACAAGCATCATTTTGAGTTCTTAACAACAAACTATCACAGTTTTAACTGTGTTCCGATTTTTAAATCAAATAAGGGGCCAGATTCAGCCATTACCATACCTTGTCCTTTGGTTGATCCCGTTTGTGAATTCATTTAGTATAGTTGTTACTTTTCCATTAACGTCTATATTCAATTATTCATTCAAATATAAGACAGAGTTGACGGATTCTTGGTATCTTTATTTATTTTTAATTCACTGGGATCTATTGAATTCATTCTGTCTTAAGAATGAAAATATTGATAAAACGTCTTCCATATACATTATCTAACTAATTGAAAGCCAAAGCAATAGTTTTTTTTTTCTTCTCATTTACTTTTTGAATAATATCTTTTATCAAAAGAATATAAAAATAGGTCGGAAAATACATATTTTGTACCCTTGAGAATTCTAACAGATTGTTGTAAGACATGTTCCCTAAACACTCGTATATAGGTATTATCAATGAGGAACTTTTTCAAATCAACTTTATAGTCTTGTGTAAAACCAGAATAAGTATTAATAAAGTAATTTCATTGATTACTAACATCAAGATATGACTATTCCATCTTTTATCGAGGAGGCAGTGTTGTCACATGTTTGCCAACCTATCCAGTGAATATTATTCATTGTATATTTATTTTATATAAATTAGGGATGTTAATTTTGTCAATAATTCATATTCGAATATTCAATGAAAGTATTCCAATATATTCGAATATTCGATAAAATAAATGAAATCTGGTTTATTTCAAACATACTCATCATACTCTCATGACAGGTTTTGCGTCGGTATTTGGAAGTAAAATTGGATGTAGACTTTTGTAGGTAAACAATAAGGAATTCTACATTTGATATTTGTCAATGTTTAAAATAACTAATTTGTTTAAGTGTATGTAACCGAAATATAATTTTAACGAATGTTATCTATACAAGCTCAAACTGACGAACCAGTCGTCTAAACAGGGGCAAGATTGTCGTTTACTCTTCAGATTTAAATACACATAATTAATTACAATTATCTGCTTATTAAGAGATATAAATTTGATATAATGATTTGAAAATATAAACAAACACTTCCATAGACAATTTTCTTAGGTCATTAATTTCCCGATAATGATTTTAAAATTTAGGAAAATATTCCACCCGAGATGATCAAGTAATTGTTGCATTATTCTGAAATTGAGCTCTTTACAATATTACAGGTTGATTCAATCAAAGATGTAATTCAATAATCAATAAAATTTATTTTCATAACTACACTCTTTACGTCTCTTAGACATTCAAGCAGGGTTTCATTTCGTTATCCTCGATTCTAGATCCGATCATATTACACTATTCAAAGTACTTTTTGTACTATACATCAATAATTCTTCTTTATTTCTTTTATATCTTACTCATAATGAAATAATTTAGAAGATCTATAAGATAAGAAAGTAGTGAAAGAAATCGGGGGATCGCGAGTAAGTGTAACGGGGATAATTCCAGCACTGTTCTAATTGAAATTTAGTTGTTGTTGTTTTTTTTTTTATTTTTTTATTTTTTTTATTTTTTTTTTTTGTGAAATCTGAAAAACACCGAATATTCCAATCTTAAATTCATATTCGAATATTAACTCATCTAATGAATATTCGAATGTTCGAATATTCGTTGACATCCCTAATATAAATATGTATATCTATTTTATATCCCAAGGGGGTAGAATTCCAAATAATTTAAGTAATAAAATCATTGAAACAGCAGATCTTACGTACTTTTTTTTAGAGGAGTAATATTTTTGACGTAATGCAGCCTAAAACAGCCAACAGGAAAGTTATATAAAAACATACAATGAAAGAATCTGCCATTTGATATATTTTCATCACACTTCTTGTTACTTATATCCCCTCATCTAAGGCTAAGGAATAACCTTTAATTTCTCGGGAGGGAGATCCTATGCGTCTATGTTTTCTGACCTTTAATTTCTCGGGAGGGAGATCCTACACGTCAATATTGTGTGACATTAAGTCTCTCGTGAAGGAGATTCTTTATGTTATATTGTCTGACCTTTAATTTCTCGTGAGGGTGATCCTCAACAGGATTACCAAATCACTCCAAATAATTTGTACAGAGAGGGTCACTCTCACGATATCAATCAGACAATATGGACGTATAGTATCACCCTCACGATGTCAAAAAATATAGACGTTTAGAATTACCCTCACGATAAACTTTATGTCAGACAATATCATATCGACGTTTAGAATTACCCTCACGATAAACTTCAGTCAGACAATATAGACGTTTAGGATTACCCTCACGATAAACTTTATGTCAGACAATATAGACGTTTAGGATTACCCTCACGATAAACTTTATGTCAGACAATATAGACGTTTAAAATTACCCTCACGATAAACTTTATGTCAGACAATATCATATCGACGTTTAGAATTACCCTCACGATAAACTTCAGTCAGACAATATAGACGTTTAGGATCATCCTCACGATAAACTTTAGGTCAGACAATATAGACGTTTAGAATTACCCTCACGATAAACTATAGTCGTTTAGAATTACCCTCACGATAAACTTTAGGTCAGGCAATATAGAAGTTTAGAATTACCCTCACGATAAACTTTATGTCAGACAATATAGACGTTTAGAATTACCCTCACGATTAACTTCAGGTTAGACAATATCATATAGACGTTTAGGATCACTCTTTAAATATTTTAATGAGGCGTTAAGCTAACATTGAATTAACCCTACTAAGTGTCTTGCAGTAGGTGCGGTAACTCAAATTTACCCTCTTCACGCTCGTTGTCTTGGATTTAAAAAATATTTAAAAGTGAAATAAATTCTGGTCTCTTTACAAGAAATTCCTGAATTAAAATCAAAATTTGTAGTCAAATACACATTATTCAGGACTCTTAGTACAAAATAATTTTAATCAACTATTTCCATAACTAACGAAAACTAAATGAGGTTCAAACTTGTAAATAGGGAAGCTATTCTATTTTCTGAATTTGCTTTCACGCATAGCAGTAAAATTTTGTTGTATGAATTACAAGTTTAACGTTGTCTTTTGTTATTCATGATAAACAAAAAAGGTGAAAATAACGTACAGTTATCAATCTTAAAAAATTAAATACAATACAAATCTGTGAACAGGGCATAAAATAATACAAATTTATTTGAAATTTCATGCACTCCAACAAGAATACATTTGCATTGCATTCACATACACTAATAAATACAGTAGCAAAGAGTCATTTAAACGTCTTTACAAATGAACACACGTAAATGAATAGTAAATACATTTAAAATTATTTACCCTTATTAAGTACATGCTTTTATAATCAGCATTTGTGAACATGTATCTATATCAATGTTCCTTATCTCTCGTTTTATGTTGTTCGATATGTGATTTCCTCATCTCAAAATAAACATGACGTTAGCGGAATAATACATATATTTATACATTATTACTTAATTATCTATGAACCTTGTTTAATGTTAATATAGACAATATTTATTCTCCAGATGTATTACATAACAAAAGGACTACAGAAAGTGCTACAGTAAGATTAGGAATACTATGGAAAAATTATAATAGGCAAATCCTTATCGGGATGTCTGATCTCCAGGCAGTATATCAAGTGTCTTGTCAGTTGTCTAAAGTCATTGAAAGATCTTCAAACCAAATTTATCAATTTTAGATTGTTTTTATATAAAACTTTCGTGTTATATAGATCTTGTAACATTGAAAATGAGTTGTGAAAAATAGTTATTATTAAAATAAAAATGGTTATTAAAAAGTCGCAATAAAGAATGTTCAGTGTCGAATGAGTATCAATTTCAGAGAATGGTAAAAATCACTCGATATACAGATATAACCATAGCTGATAAAACTACCTCTTATTCATTGCAGGAATGGAATGATATGTACAATGTCTATAGAAATGAGTTCACAAGCATTCGTTCACAGTTGAAAATATGTACAAATGTACATGTACATACAAAAGCACTTATTCCATTCATACCGAGAAATATATCATTATGGAAATTAGAAAAAATTTCCATTGTCAGAGAAAATAAATGCTAGAAGGGAAATTGAAAACAGAATCTTTATACATGTATATCATTTCGACGAATCTTGTAATCAAGATTTTCAAGACAAAGCGTATCTAAAATGTCAAAACATAATTGATGTTTCTAATAACTCTCTTTAGTACTACTTTAAAAAAAGTTAACAATGCTCAGAAATTCAATATATAAACATAGCAAAATAACTTTTGAATTCAAATCTAAAGGGATAGACTCAGAAAGGTGGATTTTCTTTGCTGTATCGGAAACTTCATATCACACTTACAGGTATATGGCTGCCGATGAAAACTTCCTTAACATATATAAAAAAAATGAAAGGATTGGTCCTTGGTTTGATTACTGGTCACAATATCTGATTGCACGATACTATGGATTCGACAACAAACAACGGACTTCAATATCATTCTATGGCGTAAGTTATTACCCCAATGTAAATTTTGTAAGAATCACAGAATCTCTAATTTTATTTTAAGATGGCAAATAAGTTAAAGGCTCTCTACCCTATTTCTTCCAGTATTGAAGATTTTTCTCATACATGAACTTCTTGTTTAAGCAAGTACTAGTTATTTTTTCCCTATCTATGTACTAAGGCGTATACCAATAGAGATATTATCGATAACAGGACACTGTTTGTTTTATGACAGTTTGCACTGTTGTAACCAGATTTGTTTGCACCTGTTACTGAGGTTTTCTCCTTACACATTTCAGTGTATTTCTGAAACTCTTCCCGCATTGACCAATGTTCTATAATGTAACCTTGAATATCGCCTTGCAAACATGGATGCCTAGCCATTGCTTCCACTGCATCTGCGCATGCCCTGGAACACGTGGTCTTATTGCCACACTCTGATTTCAGTTGCTTTGTAATTTCCATCTCTACTTTGTCCTGTCCTGACCTGAAAGCTCTCCATGAACAGTTATCATAAACACCTTGGAGACGTGGAAGATAGCGTTTGCAGAGAAGAACATTCTTGAATGATGTACAGAATTGTGTGTATGAATTCTGCTGAGGGTAATAGGTCAAAAAACCGAAGCACATCTCGTCCGTCACACTGTCTCCGTAAAAAGTAGTTCTATTGATTCCTACACTGGAGTAGGTGCATGTGGTACGGATTTCATCTCCAGGCCTAACTTCAATAGGTGGATCAAACCTTTTTTGTGAAAAACAGGTACACTGTCAACATTTCAGTGAGACATTTGCTTCATGTAAGAGTTTTCGCTCCTTGTCCAATGTTAGATTGGACTTCCTTTGAGTAAGAATGTATGTCTATATCTAATGATATCATACTATATTACATATAAGATTTATAATTGATTTAAATTGATTTAATTAACACACCTATTAAATAACCTACCTGTAAAAGGTTGGCGAGTTATAGTCGTATTCCTTATCGTTGGTTAATTCTTTGAGGATCTCCCCGTCTCTGTAAATACTGACTTTCTGCTTTATTCCTGTGTAAAAATTCAACTTAAGTAGAGAAAAGAAATCGACAACAATGACTTTGCTGTTACTATTATTATTTTTTTTTTTTGGAAGAAGCATAGAGAATACCATGACAAAGTCTGTTTCGAAATTTAACTCCTTTCCTTTCCATTTGAAATGGAGTGAATTAATTGAAGAAAAAATTAGTTTCAAATCATATTTCGTTCAAAATCTAACATTTTATTGTAAATAAGCAAATTGAGTGATCTTTTATTCATGAAAAGTTGACCCATTAAAAAAATGGATAATATTTTTTTGCTAGATTTAATTTCCTTTATAATGAAAAGGGTGTTTTGATTTTATTGATTCGGAAACTTATCAAATTGTTAATCGCCTTCAAAAAATTTAAAACATTGAAGTTATTTCAATACTTATTATTTACGGTTGAGATCTATTAAAAATGTAAGTTCCTATAGATTTCTCAAATTTAAGGATAAGTGTAGCTAAACACAACGAAAAAATATATTTTAAACTGTAATTTTCGATGAAAAATGAAGAAAACCATGAATATTGGAGTTTTTGCCATGTTAGATAAATGTAATGTATCCAGATCGCCTACAGTCTCTCATAAAACGGTAATTTTCTTCTTTAAAATAATATCGATATAATTAAAATTAGATCTTTGATCCGCTCCAACTAGATCGCTACATGAAATTAAATAAAGGTATCGGGATTACTTATGACATGATTTGATATTAAATTTCATGAAAATAATTCATTTTTTAACATACTTTAATTATAGCTGTGAAGGGAAAAAGTAAGTTTAAAGAATTATGCCAAAATGGATAGAGCACCAAAACAGACAGTATAAACTCATAGTAAGTTTAAATTCATTATGACGTCATAATGAATGTAGCAAACAAAGGACAGTATAAACTCATAGTAAGTTTAAATCTATTATGACGTCATAATGAATGTAGCACCCAAAGGAAAGTATAAAATCATTCGCTAGATCTTGACCAAAAAAAAACAAAACAAAACAAAATGAAACAACCCCCCCCCCCAAAAAAAAAAAAAAAAAAAAAAAAACCAAAAACAAAAACGTTGAATATATTATAATTTGTCTTCTCTGATCTTCTTCGCCTACGGTAGATACTTATGTCAAAAACAAGTTATGATACATGTTATATTCAAGTTAACGAGGCCGAGTCTAATTCGAGTGCGCATGACTTTGCGCAGCTTTTTAGTTTCATGCATTCGTAGGTGCAACATAAAACTTATCCTAAGTATTGTAATTTTGATACAAAATTAACATTATATTACATTAGCTGTAACGTATATGGGTCTTAAAATGTGATTGTAAGACAATAATTAGGAATAAACGCTGAAATGGCTTTCACGACGTCATTGTTTTTCGGTTCTCTAAGCAGTGAATGACGCTGAAGAATGACGCATGACTCGCTTGAGTTTTCAATACGTCCATGGACATTTTATTTAAAACTGTTGACATAACATCAAAAGAAATATACCAGCAATCTAAACATTGTTATTTTTTACCAAAATAATTTAACTGCGCCGATATATACAAAACGTATGCCGCAATATGGCAAATTTAGAGGTATTGGGCATTGGAAAAAAATAAACTTTGTAATTATTCCTAGACCAAACCAGATGGTCAACTTTTTTGAAATTTCACAATTTGGTGACTTTTTACAATAACTTTCATATATTTGACTGAACAGGAAATCCCTAGGGCAGAAATACAAAAAATATCGGAAAAATGTGATAATTTGGCGCTTTTCCAACAAATTCCCATAGGGTCCAATAGTAAAATTTGACAACTTTTGAGATGGTCCCCTTTGAAATCGGGATGGTAAACATTTGATTTTTTAGTCTTAAAATAAGTAATATAATAGTAAAAATTCATTCAAGAAAACGTATCAAAATATCAAGGGTAGAAATAATTAGACTCGGCCTTGTTAAATCAAGTAGCGTAGTAAGCTGAAGCAAAAAGTTTATTTATAGCCTTGGAAATCTTAAAAACTGCATTTAGTAACATTTATACCTTTATCAAAATATTGGCCTTTAATGGTCCATCCTTATTATACAACGACTATAGTTTGAATGTACTGATTCCTCTCTACATGAGGATCCAATACACAGCGATTTGCTACTCATAAGACGATCTTTAAACATTTGTTCTTATATTATTGAGTAAAACTTAAACTGTTCCTGGGAATATTAGAAGTGATACGGGTGCTAATATAATGAGTAGTTACTTTGCAGTGCTGTAGTTATCGGTAATTTAAAACTATTCTTTAGAAAATATCTAGGTAAAAACTTAGACCCCTTTTGTGGCCCCATTCCTTCTTAATGGACAAAAATTGGAATTTCTGTCCTTTTTGCAAAAAATTGTCATTATTGACAGCTTTTGTTTACCAAGTAAGTGCATGTGGTTGACAGCTCTGGTGATGAAGATAGGCTTCTGGAACATGTTTTCTGTACAAAAGGCTGGGCAGGTAGAATTAAACTCTATGCTGGGGGTGTTAGGCGGAATAGCCAGGTACTGCTGACCCACGGCCATAATGACGGAGTCAAATTGACGCTTGTTACTAGTGTAGAAAATCTGTAATCCCGAACCGTCTTCGTGACCTGTTTTCTGGCCTGGGTTATTCCAATGAACCTATGGATAATGTATCTGACATTATTTCTGAATGTGTTTAAGTGATTGTACTGAGTGAAATCTAAATAAGACAAACGCGAGAGACCCAGCTTAATTGCAAATGTCCTAAATGAGCAAATATAATCAGTCAACTTGTACACCTACAGTAGGCAGCTTTTTTTTACATTGCCAAAAATGTATAAAAAATAAACAAACTCTGTCAGTCATGATTTATTTATATCTCCATATATTTCCTGTTAGGATACTAAATGCAAATAAATATCTCAGTAAATTATCCTATCCATTTTCAACATGTTACCCACAAAGCAACGCATCTATATCCATTAATGCCTCGGTTTTTTTTTTAACATTTGTGCAGTTACCTGTACAGCGATATATTTGTAGCCATTTTTGCCCACTCGGAATCCCTCGTTCTTGTGTAAGCATTCACCCTTTGACCCCATGGTCCACGTTAGAAGAATATCCAGACATTGTTTGTCTGGGGTCATTTTACATTCAAAGGGACCTTCCCTCATCTCGACTGAAATGAAGATTAATAGAATACCACACATTGCTTCTTTGGGGGACATGCTTTAAAAGCAATAATTTTCGTGGGGGGTTAAATTTTCGTTGTTTTTGTGGTAGGAGACACCCACGAATTCATGGACTCCACGAGATGTAAACTTTTAAATCTATAAAAACGCAGTATTTCTTCAACCAGGAAATATATCCCCTTGAACCAACATTTTTTCCACAAACCACGAAAATCTGACCCCACGAAAATATGCGATTTTACAGTATCAGAAGCTAGTTATGGATAGTTAATGAGATCTATGTTCTCACTTTGAAAAGATATTTTCATAAGTAGGTTATTGAGTTGTTTGCTCTCAAAAAGTTAAGCAAAAGGAAAATGTATACATTTCAATAATACTGAGATCGGTTGTCTTATTCAAGACAAACTTATACATATATTTCATGTGCTCAAATGCTTCATAAACTGATCCTCAAAAAAATCTAAAAGTTCTGGATTTTCTATCAATTAAATGAATATGACCTTACATCATTTGTGTAATATTTTTTATGATTTTGATTTTCTGATGTTTCATTCAAAACATTGTTTTTGTCGTACTCGCTGCCTTCACATCTTATAAGCCTGGATTGAAATAATTTGTAATTGGTTGTGCGAGAATTAAAATCTGAATCACATGCTCCGGGGCCATAAAAAAATTGTTTAGCCCACTTTTCATCTAGTCTCACTTTTCCACTATACGTACCTTTTGTTAAAGTGAGATTGAGATCAAAAGTGAGCTCGTCTAAGTTTTATGGCCCCTGAGTCAGGTATCTTCTAAATAGATTGAGCTACATGAGGGCTGCCTCCATAGGATAACAACAATTCGTATGAGAATTTTTTAATCTTTTGTAAGTATCCTTCATAAACGCAAGACAATCGAATAGAAACTCGCACTCCTTCTTAAGTTTTCCTTCATCTTGTACAGATTGTTTTAATGTTCTTCTGTGTTATAATAAACTTTTTTCCAAGTTTTAGTGACTGATTAGTTTATGATGGCTAGACAGGCGACACAAAATTTTTGTTTTGTAATAACATTAACAACTATCAGTGTGACTTAGTATTTTAGTATCGACTTTTAATTAATAGATGGGGTTAATCAACATATTAAAAAAGACTAAGGATTACAAACTAGTACCGTCTCCTGAACAACCGAAGGCAACCACGTGGTGAGCGACGTCACTGTTGTCAATAAGAGGCTTGCTCCCGATCACGTGATAGTCCCCTTCTGACGGCCATTGCAGAATCTGACACATCCAGGTGCTGCTTTTTGAGGGGACTCTCGTTCTTTTCAGGTTAAGATCCACGGTCTTTACATCTTTATCAGAGAGATAAGACATAAATAGAATCACCTGCTTCTGGGAGATTCGCGACTGACATCTTATCTTGAATGCATCGCTCAATTACTTTTACTATCGTCATAACGATGTTTCATTTTCAGTGAAATCACAACACTGATAAAATTTTTATCAAATGTTAAAAAAAAGATGTTTACATAATGAGTCAAGGATGTTTATATAAACATCAAACATCAACTTAATGGATGCATAATCCAAACAACCAACAAAACAAACCATGTAAAATGATGGATGGAATTCAAAGTAAAAGATAATAATTATCATACACATATATCATAGTAAACAGAATAGGAATTGATTTATGGTTGGCTTTCACGTCCATTTTACTCCTCAACATCGATCAACTTTCAACATTCAGACTATCTTAAAACTTCTTTTATTTCAAACCGTGTGTTAACCATTATATTGTTTAAATAAACCAGTACAGTTGGAGAGAAATAATTTTCAATAGTTCCGTAAAATTATAAATCTTGAAAAGGAGGAAGGAAGAGCACTGTTGATCTTTTTAGGGAAAGTTAATTTGAAAACAATTTTGTCCGCCATAACAAAGATACATAAAGTTGTACCTGGTTGGGAGAACTCCGGACAGAAGGGATCCGTTTCCGGCTCTGCCTCTGGACAGGTCAACCATGAGTTCTTCTTCTTGCAATGCTCGCTACTCAGCGGCTCACAGATGCCTGTAAAGAATTAATAGTGAAACCCCTTTTAATGACATGAAGCATATGTACTTTATCATACATATACTCCTCTTCTACTGAGGGGTAACCTCTATTGCTGAAGGTAATAATACACTGTGTGTAAGGTTGTTTAATACATTATTTATAATATTTGGAGAGACATTAAAGTATATAAGATATATATATAAATTGGTCACAACTTCATTGAGATTTTCTTGATTCCACAAAAATACACACTAGTATATCATAAACGACATTGTGGCGTTTCTTTTTATACTTCATGATCATTTAAGTTGCAGCCCTGACAGAAATTTAGATCAAATGATAAGCAGAAGTGAGGAGTCTGTAATTCTTCGATAAGAAAAACCTTCAGATCGCTTTCCGTTTTGGTTTCTCTTCTTTTTTAACTAGAGAATGACAAGTTATAAACTTTGAAGTACAAACACACTGTATATATCGTTTGATAAAACATTTTAAACATTTTTTGTAAATATCTATTTCACTGCATGATTTTATCAAAATATGATTTAGAGATTGGTAAGATTTTTAGATCCAGGGTAATTTGTAAAATGTTATGTACTTAACTATGTACTCTTAAGTTGATTTTTAAAAGTTGCTTAAGTTTTTCATTGACAGTAACAATGTAACCTTTAGACACCAGGTTTTCGAACAATCTGCTGGAATGTGCATGGGTGCTTATTGTACCCCGTTATAAAATGATCTGTTTTTATAGTCCTATGAAGCAGAATTTATTCAAAACCTTCTACATAAAAAGAAGTCTCTTGCTGTGACCCTCAAATCGACATTTAAATGTATCGATGATAATTTATCAATCAACAATATTCACTTTTCATATTTACGTCGATTCAATATTTTCCATTGAACTCAAAATTTACACACCAAAGAGTCTGACACGTTTCATATTTGTAGGTTTTACTTACTAATAACTAAACTTGACATTTTTATCATCTTACCTAAGTTATGTAGCATTTATAAATTATTGTCATATGCCTATATGGGTCTATATTTCCTAGTTTATTTGATGTTCTATGTGAGGACACTTTCTAAAACAAGACAGACTACTGACACATACGTTGATGATACAAAGATATATACAATCTTGTTTAAAGTCAACAGTTCGCAAATTCAATGATCATAACAATGATCTTGTATGCAAATACAAACTATCTTCACGTCGAATATTGACTAATTTCTTACATATTAATTAGACTATTCTTTTCGCACTGAATTGTCAACGGATTTTTTTACCCGATAATAACAAGGGGCACACGCGGTTGTGACATGTCGACTGGGGATGCTCTCTCCTCCATCGCGCCTGATCCAACCTCTGTTTTCAAAGGTCCGTGTTTACTCTGCTCACAATTTACTTTGTTTAATTGGACTTTTGAGCATGATTACCTTTGACATCTTCTTATCAGAACAAAATACATGTCCAGAACAAACCATTGTCCTAGACTGGTTATCTGCTGCCATAACTTAAAGATTCAACTACTGTCTGTTAGAACCCGAGAATGACTCTAAACAACAGAGCTATTGAACCTTTCTGGGAAAATAGAAGCATGACTATTTATCAAGAAACCACCTTGCTTATCTTTCAAATGTGCAGCTAGCTCTGATTTTGAAGAGCATGAATGGAATTCTAGTGACTGCAGTGTGCTTGAGAACATATACATGTTCAAACGACAGCGGGGCCACATTTTCATTACTCCACAATGAAGTTTTTGAGAGTAAAATAATCTTATATTACAGCTGAAGGTAATATTCATTACTGAATTTTATTTTGAAAATGTTTCTTGTAAGAGTTTTACCAAGATTGAAAATATAAATGATGCGAGCCAAATGGAAAAAGCTGATAAAAATTCGGTGAGAAATTTATTCTTATTTAAAATACCACCCATTACCTTTTTCCTTTAGTTATTCCAAAACCGAAGGAACCGATTATTCATAAATCAGGAAGGAAAACATTCGGATGTTCATTTAGTTTTCAATACAATAAAAATAATAGATTCTGTTTTCATTTTATTAATAACAATTTTAACTCTACTAGTCAGAGACTAGAAGAGCTTATGCGATAGTAAGGTGTCCGTCGCCCGCCCATCTGTCTGTCTATCTGTCTGTTTGCTCGTCTGTTACCAATTTTTCAAAATGCTACCCCTTCTACAATTTCAATATAACTTACTACACAAGTAGACTACACTAAGGTACATAATTCAGTTTTTTTTATTTCAATGAACGGTTGTGTCATGGTTACTAAATTAAAGCAATATCTGTGAAATTCTTTCAAAATGCTAGTCCTCCTACAGTTTAGTCCAATTTCAATATTACGTAGTACACAAGTAGACAAGACTTAGATACATAATTCTTTTTATCGGTTTTTGATTTTGATGAATGGTGTTGCCATGGTTAAAAAAAACAATTTCTGTGAAATTCTTTCAAAATTCTACTTCTACTACAGAAAGAGATTAAACCAAGGATCATTATTTTATTTATTGTTGTTGACATAGTTTCAAGTCCAAGTGATATCTTTTTTCTACATTTGTTGAATTGAACATATTTTATTGTAATATATATACAATGGGATTGGGCACAAGTTAATTCTTAAAACTTATTTCGCCCTCTCCCTACATGAGAAGTCTATAAAGTTTGAGTTACATGTGTTACACAGTTTTAGAAATAAATTTGATAAACTTACAACTGCAAGAAAATTTGTGATATACAAATGCAATACATAAACAATATATCATTTAAATCTTCAATATATCATTTAAATCTACCAGAATGCTGAATATATGAATGCACAATGGAAAAAAGATATTCATTTTCAGCAACACTTAGTGAAGTACCCCCCCCCCCCCCCCCCGGTAAATTATGGGTGTCAACAATATGAACCTTATCAAATCTCAAAAATTTATCGAAAAAATCTTTCCTGGCTTTAGTTATAGTTAAAACAAGAGAAAAAATAATGATGTGTGTCTTCTACTTTTCCACAAGAACATAATGGACTTGATATAATGTTACACCTATAGAGATCAATATTTAATGCACTTATTTGTTAATTTGTTAAGTAAAAACAGGTAGAGCCACAGTCTCATCAGAGACTTCTAGTTTTATTATGTACTTAATCAAAAAATTATTTACGCGAAAACACTGATAAGGATGAAGTTTCTCTTTAGATGTTTTTCATAATGATTAATCTAAAAATATTTTTTTTTCCGATATTACATTTCAAGACTAAAAATTTCTTATAATGTATTTGCTATTTAGCGCATTACCATTATAGACAATTTTTTGTGAATGTCCTTGACATTTCATGGTTGTCCTTCAAGAAAATTATCTTTATCAAACTTCACTGGCGCAGTTAAACGGTTAAATATAAACTGAATCTAGCTGAGTTACATCATGAATGTTTTTATTTTCAATGAGCTCTGAAATAACTCTTAAATATTTTGTTTTCCTAGAACTAATCAAATTCGTTATGCTATCATTTTTTAAACAATAAATTTTTTTTTTTATGTTTCTAAAGTATGAATAAGGAGAGAGCATGATGACTGTGATGGATGTCGATTAATCTGAATCTTAAGTAAGTCCACTTCATTTGAAATTTATGATTATTATCACCGTGTTTGGTAATGAAGGAATTACGCATTTGTGTACATGCCAAGTATATTTTCTTTGACAATTTACGAAAAGTTACACACCATATCATTTTTATAAGTACGATTCGTTTTATATAATTTATTTCAAAACTTTGTTTAATTATTGTTTCCTGAGTAATCATAAAAATTATTTTTTTATGTTCAAAATTACAATAAAATATTTTGAACATGCTTTATCATAGGACCGTAGGAAGCAATTTCACTTTGAGGGGGCACATCCATACATTTTCAGTTGGGGGGGGGGGGCACTATCAACTACCAAGAATTCCTTGACAAGCAAAAAAAAAAAACAGTCATCAGACGTTATTATTGAGGGGACACAGGCATATAGTAGCTATGTTTTCTAATAAAAGTATTCTATATATCGGTAAAATTATTGGGGGGGGGGGGCGCCCCCGTGCCCCCCCCCCCCCGGGTCCCGGCCATGTCATCTACAATGTACATGTATATTGATCTAGATAATGAATAATGAAGTATCTGATTGTATACTCCTTTAAAAATTGTTCATTATTTTTGCTACTAAATGTATTTATTCTGTTTAATTTTCAGGTAATATATATATATATATATATATATATATATATATATATATATATATATATATATATATATATATATATATATATATATATATATATATATATTTAAGGAATAACTGTCTAATTTTTTTGATTCATGATGTGATCAATCGAGTGGCTTGCGTGATAATTTGCATAAACGCCGAAGGCGTTTATGCATAAAATTATCACGCAAGCCAATCGATTGATCATCGTCATGAATCCAAAAAATCTGACAGTTATTCCTTATATTTACATGCTCCTGATTCTGCAAATTCCCGTGCTAATAGCCCGCTTCTGTCTCTATTTGTCCCGCCCCGCACGTGATTTTTTTTAACCGCGCCTATCGATGAACCAGTAGATTTATGTAGAAATAAAGCATTTTTACAATTTGTAATTTTATCTCGGACAAAGACATTGGAAATGTAAATATATATTATTAAACATTTTATTGATTGTTAACCTATCATAGAACGCCTTGCCGCGTTAAGTATGATTAATTAGAAGCAATCATTTTTTTTTTTTTACTCACAGCAAGGAAAGGGATCGTGCAACATTCAGTGAACAGTCTCGTCGTTCACAAAATGATTAAAAGTTAAAGCGTCAAATATGTGAATAAATTCCAAGGATGGCTATTTTAACGCAAACAATACTCTCTTTCATTTTGGCGTAACTTTATTTGATATATTTATAACTGCACCTCATTTAAGTTTGGGTGAGATCATACCGGATGAATTATTCTGGAGAGGAATTTTATCAAATCACTCCTTTACCATCTCTATCATTTAGTCAGAGAAATTCCGTTAAAATCAAGTAAACTGAAAGGATACCTCATACTCGTTATATGTAAGATCATACAAAATACGCATAACTTTCCAATCTGTGAGTTTTCGGGGGGAAAAACCTAATCTGATGTGATCAAATGTCATTATATTCATGCAGGGATGTTATACTATCGCTTATCAATTGAACTTTGACCTAGCTACGACAATTCCTTTTGTTCCAAAGTTTCACCAGAACATATGCTTTGAACATCTAAACACAGAAATGAACAGGATCATTTTTCTTCCAGCTGCTTTATCTATATTTTCCCCTGGTCCTCTTAGTTTCGGATAAGTCTGATAATTGTCAGCAATCTCTATTGCTCTTTGCCACCTGGCGAAGAAAACTCCAATAGAAACCTTATTTTATCTTAACGAGTGTTTTATTTGGCGCAAAGTCATGATATCTCTTTTAGAGAGATTCAATGGATTTCCCCATTTTCTGTAATTAAGTTATGTTGTTATACGTATCCATCGCTGTGACACACAGCAGAGTTTTCCAGAGACTACATAAATATGAAGAATTCAGATTTCTTTACTATCTTGTTAAATTTAAAGCTTTTTTCTACATAAAAATTCATAAAATTTATCTTTGCAGATACAGGGGACATTAAATCTTATACATGCATCAAAGAAGTATATATTAAAACTTCAAAAATCATTTAATTTTATGCTTTTTCCTTCATAATTATGGTTTAAGGAGTGTGTAAAAAAAAAATGGCATGTTGCGTGTCTGTATTAAATCTGCCAAAGTCTCTGTAATTTTCCGATTTAAATGCATTCCAGACATCTTGGCACGAAACGATTCATGTACGACTTACTGATGGATGAAGCTCGTCATCATCCATGAATGAGGTAGCAGGGGATAGTTTTTTTAATGCCAAACATGTGCCGAGGGGGTACACATATACATGCGATCCATAAAAACATGTACATGGGGACAGTTTTCCAGGGGCTAATTAATTACACTTCATATGCCCATGGCTCACAAATTATGTCAACAAATTACATGTAATCTGCGTATTAGAGTGCACATGTACCAAAAATGCACCTGGGGACTCCCCAAATTTTGGCTTGTTTTTCCAAGATTTGGGCCTCATTCACACCCATACAACCCACCCCCAGGCCCGAGCGAGCAGGATAAAACACTCAGTAGTCTGTAAATCAATGCAAGCCCTAATAAAAATTCACCAACTGATATGGGGTCATTCACCTTCCCTCTGAGATACACACCTTCTTCTAAGGCCTACTGCTTTTCAGCTGAATTTCCTCTGCAACTGACCACGTGTCTTAGTTTCGCATTTACAACTCTGTATATGATAAGCATCATAGTGACACCTACATGTTGCACATCATTTTTTTCAGCAAGCACTCTGCTACACTGCAAATGTGTCCCATAATTATTCTAATCATTTTTCTACATAAAATATCACATCAAACAGGGGATATCTCAATTTTTTAAGAAATTTGACCGGGTCTTTAGTACGAAACTATCCCCTGCCACCTGAGCATCACCATACCTCAACTTTGTTCTCCGAGAGTATTTAAACGTTCATTTTGACAAACTGGGGTTTTCCTTCAAAAACTCTTTATCAAGCATCACTGACGCAGCCAAATGGCATGAGTGATTGAGAAAATGAACCGATTTATTCTCAGTTGAACAATTCTTTTTCTCACAAGTAGGCTAATCTCACAGTCAGGTTATTGCTGAAAGATTTGATGCTAAAGTGTGCATCATCAACTCATTAGCCCAAAACTACAAAAAGGGTACATGGTTTATCTATCAACCACGTGTATATATTATGTAGCCTGCAACAAATCGGGGAAATAGGGAACGATTGTAACAAAAACTATTTGCAAAATTCTATATTTTATCTCTATTTTTTTTATTCTTTTTTTAATTTTGAAATAAGAAACAAATCCTGCTTTTCATGGCCTCTTTTATTAAAATGAGATACACGTAGGCCTATATTGGTTTATTTAGTAGAGGTCTACTGCTCTTGTTACTAGTTTCTTATATCGGTTTGTCGAGTCAACTGGGTGACACAAGCAGGTAATGGTATCTTGCTACATGAATAAGGGACGTTGGCGATAGATTTTTTTGTAAGGATTTTTATAAAGATTGTGAATCCAGTATAGGTATCATTAAAGTAGAAAAACAAGTTCTAAAGAAGGGGCCGAAATAATGCCCATAGCAATTTCAACATACTGTTGAAAGGCCTAGTCACTAAAGACAAATACTACAGTAAAGATATGTCAAACATAAAATCAAGCATCTTGAATATTAACTTCAGAGCTCTTATCAACGGGATCAGAATGACTTCTTAACAAACTAAGTTTGTAGAGTTACGTACATAGATGGGATTTCAATTTCCTGGATATTTAACCTTTTTCACTAAAATCATGATCATTTATTGATTGAATGAAAATCAATGATGATTCTGTTTTCTAGAAGAGCTTCGCATAAACAACAAAATGTTGAAAGATTCAGATAACCTGACTGATATCATATGTATTCTTGTATCGAGTTAATTGACGCAGATCAGATTTGACTTTTGTTGGATTTTAACTCTCAGTGTTATAAATCAAGCCTTCACTTTTGACCACAAATTGATGAAATGCTTAAGGTATACCAAGTCACTGATCACAATGCACTTGTCAATGTGACGTCAATTCGTAAAAGCTGAAGCAGTTTGTGGGGGGCAGATCAAGTAATATTTTCGCAATGAGAAAATTATTTTGTAATTAAGAGGCCATTAACTTGGGTGCTATGCTTGTTTTATGATTTTATACAGATATTTTGCGTACATTCCCAATAAAGTTATACTGCGGTATATTTGTGAAATGGAGGGTAGTAGAAGGGTCTTGTTAAATCGATCTGTTGCAAGGGCATACACACAGGTGATCATTATAAGTATAATGTTGCCTTTGGATTGTTTATATCATTCTACCATCAACTTATTTGTCAGTAGCCTGCCTCGTTTTAGAAATTGTTTGCACGTAGAAAATGCTATTCCGTATTCAATCAGCTGGAACACATAAACCCCTATACAGCTGATATTGCTACATAAGTAAAAGAAGTTGACTATAGAAAAGTTGAAATCATCACATTTATCATCGGGATTTTTTATTTTACGTCGGATTTCTGAAACAATAAACATAAGTTCTGTAAAGCTTTTAAACAACATGAAGTCATATCACGAGGTTAACTTGTTTTTTTTTTTGTCTTTATTAAAGTATCCAAATATGAAACAGATTTCTCAGACTCTCTGGTTACTTTTCTTTCGAGTTTAATGGGATATAAGGAATGTGTGTCCATTTTCATTGTTCCGTTTAGGGGTAGAACAAGGACGGATTATGCATTGAAAATGCTTGAAACTTCAGGTGTATAAAAATGTTAACGTTTTAACACAGACTTAACACTTAGCTTCCATACCTGGGTGTTAAATGTTGTGTACGGCTCGGCGTCTGGCCTTTTATTAACTATACCAAGGCGTGTTATTTTATGTGTACGGCTCGGCGTCTATACCTGGGCGTGTTATTTTATGTGTTTGGCTCGGTGTCTGGCCTTTTATTAACCATACCTGGGTGTGTTATGTTATGGGTTCGGCTCGGTGTCTGGCCTTTTATTATCCATACCTGGGTGCGTTATAATGTCATATATAGGGCTCGGTGTCTGGCCTTTTATTATCCATACCTGGGTGTGTTATGTTATGTATACGGCTCGGTGTCTGACCTTTTATAAACCATACCTGGGTGCGTTATGTTATGTGTTCGGCTCGGTGTCTGGCCTTTTATTAACCATACCTTGGTGTGTTATGTTATGTGTACGGCTCGGTGTCTGGCCTTTTATTAACCATACCTGGGTGTGTTATGTTATGTGTACGGCTCGGTGTCTGGTCTTTTATTAATCATACCTGGGTGTGTTATGTTATGTATACGGATCGGTGTCTAGCCTTTTATTAACTATACCTGGGTATGTTATGTTATGTGTACGGCTCGCGATCGGTGTCTGGCCTTTTATAAACCATACCTGGGTGCGTTATGTTATGTGTTCGGCTCGGCGTCTGGCCTTTTATTAACCATACCTAGGTGCGTTATGTTATGTGTTCGGCTCGGTGTCTGGCCTTTTATTAACCATACCTGGGTATGTTATTTATGTGTACGGCTCGGAGTCTGGCCTTTTATCCATACCTGGGTGCGTTATGCTATGTGTACGGCCCGGTGTATGGCCTTTTATTAATCATACCTGGGTGCTTTATGTTATGTGTACGGCTCGGTGTCTGGCCTTTTATTAACCATACCTGGGTGTGTTATGTTATGTGTACGGCTCGGTGTCTGGCCTTTTATAAACCATACCTGGATGTGTTATGCTATGTGTTCGGCTCGGTGTCTGGCCTTTTATAAACCATACCTGGGTGTGTTATGTTATGTGTACGGCTCGGTGACTGGTCTTTTATTAACCATACCTGGGTATGTTATGTTATGTGTACGGCTCGGAGTCTGGCCTTTTATAAACCATACCTGGGTGTGTTATGTTATGTGTTCGGCTCGGCGTCTGGCCTTATATAAACCATACCTGGGTGTGTTATGTTATGTGTACGGCTCGGCGTCTGGCCTTTTATAAACCATACCTGGGTGTGTTATGTTATGTGTACGGCTCGGAGTCTGGCCTTTTATAAACCATACCTGGGTGTGTTATGTTATGTGTACGGCTCGGGGTCTGGCCTTTTATAAACCATACCTGGGTGCGTTATGTTATGTGTACGGCTCGGTGTCTGACCTTTTATTAACCATACCTGGGTGCGTTATGTTATGTGTACGGCTCGGTGTCTGACCTTTTATTAACCATACCTGGGTGCGTTATGTTATGTGTTTGGCTCGGCGTCTGGCCTTTACTCCACTCACAGTCTGGGTCCCCCAGCTCTGCCCCGTTAGTGATTCCATCCCCATCAGAATCCGAGTCACAGACAATCCCGGCCCAGGTCTGAAACAAACAAACAAATAAAGTCACAGTCATACACAATTCCGGCCTAGGTCTGAAACACAGAAAAAAGATAAAGTCAGAGTCACAGACAATCCCGGCCCAGGTCTGAAACACAGAAACAAATAAAGTCAGAGTAACACACAATCCCGGCCCAGGTCTAAAACACATGAACAAATGTAGTCAGAATCACATACAATCCCGACCTAGGTCTAGAACACACAAACAAATAAAGTCAGAATAACATACAATCCCGGCCCAGGTCTGAAACAAACAAACAATTAAAGTCAGAGTCACAAACAATTCCGGCCCAGGTCTGAAACAAACAAACAAATAAAGTCAGAGTCACAAACAATTCCGGCCCAGGTCTGAAACAAACAAACAAATAAAGTCAGAGTCACAAACAATCCCAGCCCAGGTCTGAAACAAACAAACAAATAAAGTCAAGAGTCACAAACAATCTCGGCCCAGGTCTGAAACAAACAAACAAATAAAGTCAGAGTCACAAACAATCCCGGCCCAGGTCTGAAACAAATAAACAAATAAATAAAGTCAACGTAACAATCCCGACCGAGGTCTGAAACACAGAAACAAATGAAGTCAAGGGTCATAGACAATCCCGGCCCAGGTCTGAAACACATAAATAATCGCAGTAATAGACAAATCAGCTCCTGATCATTGAGCCAAAAATATGTATTTATTCAGAATTAACTCGAAAACCACAGCTTGTCTTGTATGTATAAAAAAATGAATATATTTGCGGTAACGTAACGCCTTTTCATAAGTGTCTTTTTACCGTTCAAGGTAGCTCAGTCGGTAGAGCGCTCGCTCCGTGATTAGGAGGTCGTGAGTTCGAATCTCGGCCGCGACTGACCTAAGTCGATGAAAAATGGGTAGCAACTGTTCCTTCTCCATGCACTCGGCACTTTGAAGTGAAAGTTGCGGGTGCTTCGGATGAGACCTTAAAAACCGAGGCCCCGTGTCACGGCAAGCGTTGACACGATAAAAATCCCTCACTGCTCAATTGCCCTGAGTGCCGAGTAAAAGTCAAAATTTGAAGCCCTTCACCGGTATATGGTGACGTCTCTATATGAGTGAAAATTCTCGAATGGGACGTAGAACAACATCATTCAATTAATCATAGTATCTTTTTACTACAAACAAAGCAGCATTATTTATAAACATTCAAGCAATGTATGTTTGCTGTCCTATTGTCAATATTTAGAACTTGAAGAATAATTTTCAGTTTTTCTATGGGTTAGTTTGAAGCACCATATGATGTTAAGTATGAAAATCACAGATTGTTTGCTGTGAAAATTAAGGTTTTGTCAAGCAAGCATATCAAACTTTGCTTGCAATGAAAGTTCTGCAAGTAAAAACATCAGTTAAAAAACTACATTGATTATCTGATGTCTTGACTGATTGATTGTTTACTTGCATTGAAATGTTAATATTTCCAGGTGAGGGGACTGATCTAAAATTGGTTATGGACTAAACTCAAAGAAATGAGTCTTTTATCGTGTCGTAGTTCAACTAAAGATTGGGCAGCCTATTAATGTATCTTATCCTAAAGACGCACTGCAATTTTCAATGTGAAGATAACGACCAGAGATAAATCCCATAAGTCCCGTAAATAGAACTAATCTGTATAACGACCAGAGATAAGTCCCATAAGTCCCGTAATTAGAACAAATCTGTATAACAACCAGAGATAAATCCCATAAGTCCGTAAATAAAAACAAATCTGTATAACGACCAGAGAAAAATCCCATAAGTCCCGTAAATAGAACTAATCTGTATAACGACCAGAGAAAAGTCCCATAAGTCCCGTAAATAGAACAAATCTGTATAACGACCAGAGATAAATCCCATAAGTCCCGTAAATAGAACAAATCTGCAAAGGGCAAAACCACGGACCCATGAAGCCACCAGAGGGGAGATCGGGTGCCTAGGAATAGTAAGCATCCCCTGTTGACCGGTCACATCCGCCCTGATCCCTCACGTTAGATCGGGTTAACGGAGTAATCCGTATATAGTCAAAGTTATTATAAAAATAATTGCATTACAATTGGTATAATACATATATATATGACATATATATATGTCAGTTAAAATACCACCCATCCATAGTTTTTATTTGCAAACAAGGTCATTATATCTACCATAGAATGTGAAAAATGCTGATTTTAAACGAATTGCTGACAGACCTGTATCATGAACGTATTTGTTAGTAACCTGCATCGGTTTATTAAATTGTTCTCAGAATGGAAAAGATGAAGATAACGAGCATTAATCAATCACATAAATCCAGGAAAGAAAACGAGTCGTGATTAGAGCAAAACATTGACCCCTGGAAACTCCAGATGTGGGATCAGGTGTCTAGGAGGAGTAAGCATCCCCTGTAGACCGGATATACCCACCACAATCCCTGTGTATTGATCAGGTAAACGGAGTACTCTGTAGTAAAATTCTATATAAAAGCAACGACCCAACAAATGGTATAAAACATGTCGGTCAAAATGCGACCCAACGATTGGTTGTTTTTACAAATAATGTAATTGAAACAACGGTAGAAAAGCTGACATTAAATGGGATTGTTGAAATCCTTGTAACAACCTGGCTCATTTTAAAATTGATCATACTCAGAGCATGTTCTTTGCGTATCAAATCAGTTGGGAGACGCATATAATACACCATATACTGGTGATGTTAGAATACAGCTACATAAATAAGGAAAGTTGACGAAGGACAAGCTGAAGTCATCTCGTTTGTCATACAGTTTAGTTGTTAGTTGGCCATTATCGTCTATAGTCGGTAAAACATCCAAATATGAAAATAGACGTGGCAGACTCTGTGGTGCCTTTTATTTCCAGTTCAGTGGGATATATCGAGTCGATATATGAATGGAAGTAATTATTATTAAATGATAAAACGCCGTCGATATATCTAAATACTGAGTTGAAGGCCACAGCATGAGTTTTCTTCTCATGAAGAAGTTTTTAAATAAATTTTGCTTCATGGAAATACAGAAACAGGTCGGCTAATAAAGGAGCACAATTAGCGCACATTGTAATTACAACAGATTGTTGAAAGACCTTATTTCCGAATTCAACAAACATATTGTCAATGAGGAATTCCAGCATCCTTTTTATTACCAACTTCAGAGTACTTGTGAATAGAAGCGTTGTTAAGGAAGATTACCACTTTTATTTCGGGGATATTAAGCTTAAACAATCTTTCAATAGAACGCTTTTTGGAATCGTTATTTTTTTTCTGAGAGTTTAACGAAAACGAATTTCAAAATTTGCTGCATTTCTGTATCTCATTTCCTTTTACACGTTTACTTTTTCTCGTGAGAACTCAGATCTTAGATCCAGGATTTCTTCCTAATAATCGGCCGTATGTAAACAATCTTTTTACGATCACTCTTTCGGTCCTTAAGGAATGTCCTGATACCAGTAATATTGCATATAAACATGACCCCGGGACAGCCTTACATAAACCTGCACTTGATGAGAGGCTTGATGTTATCTGAAATAACTGCAACCTGACGAAGACGTGAGCATAGAGTAACACAGTGTAACGTCAGTGGGATAATCTGACATAATCATATACCACTGTTGTGTCTGAATTCGAACACAAAGTCGCAAAGTTAACACGACAACTTCTAATTCTCAAGCAGAATTCAATGTTGGAGTTTCTTTCAGTGTGCGTGGTTGTTCTTTATTTAAGGAATGAATTTAATAGCTACCCATTTTATACGGTATAAACTGGGTTGGGGCAGTTTACGCTTTATAAACCGCGAAGCGGTTTATAAAAAAGCGTAAACTGTTCTAACCCAGTTTATACCGTATAAATTGGGTAGCTATTAAATTCATTCCTTATAATTTAATTTTCATTCATTTGATGTCAGAAAAAAAGATGATTGTCCTTAAAAAATGACTTCAATTTGTGCAAATTTTGAATGTAACGTCAGGCGGATCGATACGTTTTTGACGCAAGTCATTGTGACGTAGGCAACCCATTTTATACAAAATAAAGTAAATTTTTTGTCCAATCAAATAAAGCGTTACAACCAGAATTAAATTATTGCTGGTTTAAAGTTTAAGATGCCGGTACAAGACTTCCCTGCCTTCGTCGAAGGTTTTTTTCTGTCTCACAGTATGGGAGGGGCAACAAAAATAGTACAGATGGAGGAACTGCAATAAGTTCTTATTTTTTAGCATATTTTATCAACACTTGTTCGTTGTTTTCATACTGGCAAGCTGTTGTTAAGACATTTTCATTCGTATAAATTTTATCATCTTTATCTTATCCAGAATGCTATAAATGTTTTGCCTTTAGTAATTGAGGCAATAAAATTCTGGGCGATCTTTCACCATGTGGGCCATGAAACAATTGATTGTTTTCCTTGGTGTGGGTAAACATGCAATAAAATGCTTGAATATTATTTGAAATTCCTTCAGAATCACTTGTCAATGAATGGCATTCCATTCCTTTTATTTCATCAATCCAAATTGAAACAAAAACACCTAACACTTAAAATCAATATTTTACTCAATCATTCATGCATATGATCAGAGAAAAATATCAAAAAATATAAATAATTAACAAATACTGGCATTTCAATAAAGCGGAAGTGCCACGTGGGTCATGGAGTCACTTTTTAGATAAGATACCAAGTTTGAATTAAGGAAAGTGCAACCGGAAACTGAACGTGACGAACAGTGCACATGTCCTTAGTTAAGATGGAGGTCACATTTCAGCACATGAAAGCTTGAATCTCATATTCTTTATAATACCTTCTCTGAATGAGATCTAATTTCGTGTATTTGTTCAACTCAAACTGATTCTATCCATTTATCTGTCCATTGTACCAATAAAAATTTTTTTAATCAATTTTCTTCTCTATTTGATACACCATATCTGTCTACCTCAATGATTCCTTATCGTAAGGCCCACTATTTATCTTATCTTTAGGTCCACTATTTATCTTATCGTAAATCCCGCTATTGATGGCATATCGTAAGGCCCACTATTTATCATAACGCAAAGCCCACTATTTATCTTATCGTAAATCCCTCTATTTATCTTATCGTAAAGCCCACTATTTATCTTATAGTAAGTCCCACTATTTATCTTATCGTAAGTCCCACAATTTATCTTATCGTAAGTCCCACTATTTATCTTATCGTAAATCCCGCTATTTATATCATATCGTAAGGCCCACTATTTATCATAACGCAAAGCCCGCTATTTATCTTATCGTAAATCCCGCTATTAATCTTATCGTAAGCCCCACTATTTATCTTATCGTAAATCCCACTAATAATTTTCATCGTAAATCCCGCTATTTATCATATCTTAAAGCCCACTATTTATCATAACGTAAAGCCAACTATTCATCTTATAGTAAGTCCCACTATTTATCTTATCGTAAAGCCCGCTATCTATCATATCTTAAAGCCCACTATTTATCATATCGTAAAGTCCACTATTTATCTTATCGTAAGGCCCACTATTTATCATATTGTAAAGCCCACTATTTATCATATCGTGAAGCCCACTATTTATCTTATCTTAAGGCCCACTATTTATCTTATCGTAAAGCCCACTATTTATCTTATCATAAAGCCCACTATTTATCATATCGTAAAGCCCACCATTTATCTTATCGTAAGGCCTACTATTTATCTTATCGTTAAGCCCACTATTTATCATATCGTAAAACCCGTTATTTATCATATCATAAAGCCCACTATTTATCTTATCGTAAAACCCACTATTTATATCATATCGTAAAGCCCATATTTATATCATATCGTAAAGCCCACTATTTATATCATATCGTAAAGCCCACTATTTATCATAAAGTCACTATATTACCTTATTACTTGATTTCAGTTAGGAAGTTACCAACTGACGGTGCGATGGAAGGCTGCTTAGACCAGCACATAGGATCATCGAACGGTGAAAGATCCTCCTTATACCGGGACTTGCTGTGACCGGGAACCTTATTTTAAACGGTCTCATTCGAAGGACTCATGACATTTTATGTAGCACAAACCATATGAGTAAAAGACTTCAAAGCTCGATGAATATTACCTATGCGTCATTCAACATCTCGCACAAAATGAATGCAACATACTCATGTAAGTTTTTATTTGGGGACAATCAAAATAAAAAATAAAATGTTATTCAGAGCTGAACATAAAGCTTAGCTTCAAGGAAAACAATAGGATGTGTAACTTAAAATTACTCTCTTTTATTGGGGGACAATCAAAATTAAAAGATAAAATGTAATTCAGTGCTTAACACAAAGATTTAGCTTCAAGTAAAATAATTATCCTATTCAAGAGTTTGAACAGATATCCAAAAAAAAATACTCACTTTTCCGTTCTCAGCAAATATTTTGCCAAATGGGTTCCTCTGCCCTCCGCCCTTAGTGTTAATATGCCCCACACCTTTCCATAATTTATCTTTTCTACAGGGATCCGGAACTTTATCCCCATTCGGAATCTCTTTCACGTACTCAGGGTAACCAAGGACTGGGCCTATCACTAGTGTTAATACAGTAACTAAGGGGAAGGCGGCAAAGCTGGAAAGAAGACATGTGACGCTTATAATACGTGACATATCGAAACTGAATTCATGTATATATATTTTATTCAATATTCATCTCCAGAGCTTGTTGGACTTTTTTCACAAATTATCTTAATTACACTTGTTTTACATATATACTATAGGAAAAAAATAGGAAAACTCAAACTGATCGTTCCATACAGAAAATATCTCATTATATACAAGAAAACAATCTAGACGCAAGCGTCAAAGATATCAGGCCGCAAAACCTTTTAAGGACACTTTAAACACAGATGGGAAATGTTTTTTAGCCAACCAATCTACACGTATCTTTGTCTAATATCATATTTAAAATACCAATAAATTTATTTTAAAATATGTCTTATAGTGCAGATTACAATTTATCCCATTTTATGTCAAATGATAGGTGTATGACATTACACATTTGAAAGGATGAAGAGTACAGAGGGACCTATTTCAAACACAAAGCAATCTTGGATTATAAATTAGAAGAATGGATGCCTGCCTGTTCATCTCTGACATACCAACCCTCAGGTTCGCCCAAAATTCTGGACACGATGGCCCATATAAAAAAAATTTCCACATTGGCGCAAAATATCTCATTAATATACATAATTGTAATACAGTGAAGTGGGGTTTATTTTTTGCTCTGGGGTTTGTTCTTGTTTTGGGTTTTGTTTTGTTTTGTTTTTGTTTGTTTGTCTGTTTGTTTGTTTTGTTTTTTTTTTTTTTTTTTTTTTTTTTTTTGGGGGGGGGGGGGGTTCTGTCCAGTAGTACTTGTGTCAAATAGTAGATAGGTACCCGTGTTTCCGTTTTGAAAATGCACAAGGAAAAGAAACAGTCGTATTAAAGACAAAGGAAAACACTGAATTTAAGTCAACCGTTCTTACGAATAAAAAATAACCATATAGTACACATGTACCTGGATCATATTTGTATTTCTGTTAAAAAAATTGTTACAGATCTTTTTATTAATGATTGCAATGCACGTGTGAGATTTACCAAGTCATGCCTAAATAACAAAATGTCGGAAACGGAGAAAGAACTCAAGCATATATATATATATAGGTACGTTCCGGGGCCGATCATCGGAAATTACCGGTCATATTTCACAAGCGATAAAAATGTCGGAAGATTAAAATTTCTGGTTAATAAAGATTATTCTTGCTTAAACACCTGACCTAGTTAAGCCTTGTACATTCAATAATTAAATAATTTATTTCCATCAAATTCAAACCATTAGGAAGAGTAAAAACCATCATCTAATCGTGATTATTCACTTTTTCTGCTTCTACACTTGGTAACAAATGTAACTCTGCATAATTTGACAGGCAAAGTATTCGTTTAAAAATGCTTCAAATATCAATGTACATGTGTGAATTTTCGTGTAGTGGCACGCGTTTTACGTATGAAATCAAATATTTTCTATAAGCAGGATCCAGAAAACGACACAGTGCCAGTCTGAGGTATTTAAGCTCTGACTGTTTTTCATAATTTTAATTGTGCATGTGTCTTTACTGAGAATTTGTACCATAATTCAGAAATTCCTATCCATGTATTTGAAACACACCCACGCACCCAATTATCAGTGTTTCAATCCCATTCACAGATCGAAGCCTCTCTCTCTCTCTCTCTCTCTCTCCTAACTGGAAGAAGAACGAGATGATGGACACATGTATACCTGTAAGTTGTTCGTTATTTCACAACTGATACGAGATCACAGAGTGTACCTTGTTGTAAATTTTTATTTTTTAAAAAAACTTACAGATCCCGTGACAATGGAATGAATTGTTTTATGATGGAAGTTCGGCATGGAGTCGAACGTTTTCAAAAGTACTTAACCGAACATGAAAACTAACAGCCCAGTTAATGTATGACAGTTTATATGGCTTGTATCAGATGCCAGGTGGATCATGCACCCAAATATCATATAATATGCTGAAGAAGTGATGGGCAAATTTAAAAGATTAACCACACACATTTTGCAGATGACTGTGCTTTTAAAAACAATATGACGTCATGCACTTTAAAATGAACGTGAACTTTGGAGACCCTGAGTTTAGTTAATTACGGAGAGATATCAAGCACGTGCAAAAAGATGCAACTTAATCGCGTTCTTGTCGGTGTTTTAAGTGCACAATTTTTTAACACTCATCTTTTAATACTAAATCTACAAACTGATTTTGTTCATGATGTTTTCAATTAAGGTACTTATCATTCAGGTCCGTAGCAACGTTTTCAAAAGTGGAGGGTCGGGGGGGGGGGGCAACTTTAAAAAAAAAACCTAAATTGACCAAATTGACCAAAGGTGGGGGACAACTTCCCAAAATTATCTGACAAGCAAAAAAAAAAAAAAAAAAAAAAAAAAAAAAGACTTTACAACATCAAAAAAGGGGGGGGGGGGCAACATGCATCTAGAGGAAAATTCATAATATTCCCTGGTCCCCTGGTCTTAGGGACAACGTTGTATACAGATCAAGACTCGTCTAGCTGGTCTGGCATTAATTTGGAACAAAATCTAAGACCCATTTGTCATAGTCATATTTCAATATAGGAAAAGCTATACTCAGAAAAAAGTATCCCCTGGTCCCCTCGCGTTCTACAGGCCTGTTAATTAAACAAATATAATTCGGATAAAGATTACTTGTTGAATTTAAAATATCTTGCTGAAAGTTGTATACATCTTTAAAACCTGTAAATGAAGCAAAACAAAGAAAAATGTTTTCGGGAGAATTTCTTTTTACATTCATAGAGACTGGAAGCTAGGAGATTTTTTTTTTATCTTTAGATCTTGAATTCAAGAAAATCCTATGTTAAAGAGTACACCTTTCCGAGACGCCTAGATTATTCCTATATTTAAAACAATTCCTGCCATTGTGTATCTAGCCACAGTATGACAGACGGACGGTATACACTATACTCACTGTGTAATCACACACATGGAGTTTGTAAACTTAGAAAATTCATATCAAAGATAAGAATTCTTTTGCTGTATTGCATCACCAATAGTTCTTATTTAACTTTATCGCTGAATTATACCTAAAAATAATAACTTCAGAATCGGAGTCTGACAGTTATAATGAAAGTGTAAGATAAGAAAGCAACTGCGAAACATCTCCACAAAATAAAATAGTGAAGCCTCAGATTAAGAAAAAATTAAACAATGCCCCTCCGAGTTCTGATGCCGACTCTCCGAGACTTTCATCATTAATTAATAAATATTAACGCTAATGGCATTTATTCTTAAGTATATATTAGTGAGTGCATTCTCGCCACAAGTATGTACACTTCAAGTGACCACTTAATATGTCAGTTATTTACGTGCTGTGAATGATCTTAATTGTCATAATGCGCGTGGGAGAAAAAAACAAAGTGAAACAAACCTCTTAATAATTTTCATTGTTTTATCCCCCCCCCCTTTTTTTTCCTCTCCTATCCACACTTTCTAATACCAATGTTCATCCCTGCCCAAAGTTTTTTTTTTTTTACTTTCTTTCGACCTTCAAAATCACAAAACACCGGTGATTTTAACACAAACCTGACATCTGCCTAAACTCGATGCCGAGAAAATAAAATTGAGCATAAAAACACGTTCAAAAAATCTGTTTTCCTGACATTTTTGAATCGTCTCATTTACAATCGTTGCATAACGTCGGGTTGCATTTAGAGAATTGGTTCGATTTATCAATGTACGATACGCTAAGAATGCACATTTGTAGCAGATCCCATAAACCACTGCACTCTGGATCGTTTAGACTGCTTGTAGAGCAAGGATTCTGACAAGTGTGAATTTTCATTTTAAGCGGATTATTTTTGCGTTTAAAAAAAAATAAATCTCTTTGGCCTTGACAAGGTGATCTGTTAATAAAGATTAGAACTAACAGCTGTCAGGTACATATGTTAATGGAGGTATACGTATAATAAACTTTGTTTTATGGTTCTTCAGAAACTAAACTGATGAATACAGAAACTATACATGCTCTGATTTTCATATTTTTACGAATGTCAGAGCGGAATGAAGAGAAAAACTAACTCTCTCCAATGTTACCATCCTCCACTTACCCCCCCCCCCCCGCTCCCGAACCCCCCAATAATCCTCGAGCTCCCCCGTTATAAATCTGACATGTGCCTCTTAAAGTATTCTCGATGTTAAAGTTGAATCCTACCTCAGTTTTAGAATTCTGATTGCCAAGTGATAATATTTGATCCAAACTGACATTTTGTATAAGCATCTGGAAAATATTTTGTTTCCAAGAAATATGTGAAAAAATATCGTTCATTTTACAGATGACACATTAATTAAAAAAAACAAATTAAAGGTTTAAAAACAAATCACAAGTACTCACCTAAATATTTCCATTTCAGCGACTCGGGTATGAGATATATTCCACGCTCTACTGTCACCAGACAGGCACTACGGCATAACAGCATCAAACACCGACGCTGCGCTCCCATTTACCGGCGCAGCAGCGAGCGTGAGAGACACCGCGCAGTCAGCCTGCAGGGGGCGGGATCGAGCAGTGAGGGGGTGGGCATTATTTACTATCTTCATCAGAAGTGGTGTGTCTGGTTAATAGTTTTATCTACTATAAAGAGCTAGGGTTACTTTATGCATAATATAGCTCTGTTCATATATTAATTGACTGTCGCACCAAGTCCCTTTTAAAGTAAAGACTTGGTAACTCTATTTGAAATACGTAATTTTTTTTCTTGGAGTCCAGGAATTGGAAAATTTTGTAGAAAAACGGGTTTATGTGTGCCTCCAGGAAAGACTAAAAATGTGAGCCCCTCGATTCCAAGAAATAAAGAAAGCATTTTTATAATCTTCATTTACAGTTAAAAGGGGCCTGGACACAGATTTAAGTTAATATTTTCTGTATAATATCATGATTTATATGTTGCTATAGCATTCCTTAGGGAAAGATAATAAGAAACTTATTTTATTTGGAAATTATTGAAACTACGAATTCCGGAACGCGTTTGCTTGACACATCCTTGCACTTTCACAAAGTGAACTTTATCCTTCATTCCTAAGACAAGTAGAAATCTTGTTGTGTATTAATGAAAAATACATGTATTAAAACTCTAATCCAGACAATTCAGAGTAGAAATGTGAGAAAGCAAAACCAACACACCAGTATTGTCAGTCCGTGCTCATTGATCTGAGCAGAATTTAACAAATTGAACACACCCGGTGAAACGTAAATTATTAACTATAACAGAACTCGTGCACTGTTTACATTTAAATTCCTGTTTATCCGTGTGTCTGTCCGAACCAAATTTCTGTCGAAGTTTTCTCAGCAACTACTAATTGCAGATGCTTGAAATTTTAACACATGCACTCTTTGTTAAGGCATGCCATATAGTGGGATTCATTTTTGTACAAATTCGATGTCAACTTCCTGTTTATCCGTGCGTCTGTCCGAACCAAATTTCTGTCGCTGTTTTCTCAGCAACTACTAATCGCAGATGCTTGACATTTTACATGTTTTAGCACACTAGCTCTTTGTTTAGCCTTGCCACATGGCGGGATTCATTTTTGTACAAATTCGATGTCTATACTTCCTGTTTATCTGTGCGTCTGTCCTTACAAAATTTTTGTCGCAATTTTTTCAGCAACTACTCATCACAGATGCTTGAATTTTAGCACACTCTTTGTTTAGGCATGCGATATATTGGGACTCATTTTTGTACGCATTCGATGTCTAGATCTCAAACTGAACTTGTGTATATTCACATGAGAGCATAAATTCACATCAGAGCGAGGGTATTAGTAGTGAGCATTGGCTCACAGACTTCTTGCTTACATAAGAGTTTGTGCAAAATTAATATGAATAACAAACCAACATATTAGTCAGCCCTCTGCAGTTACCAAGGATCCAAGTGATACTGTTTAAAACATTGCCCACTAAAATTTAGAAGTTCTGATTTTTTTCAAAAATTCACAGGCCACGAAACGCCCTTAGTGAACCAAAAAAAATTTCAATATTTTACTCCTGGTTGTAGCTCAAACAGGAGTAAAATATTTCGAGGTCACGCAATACTGGTCACATAGTAAACATATAGGTATGTTTGCTAAAACTAACAGTTATTTAATAAAAATGACTGAATTTTCTCGTTTGTGATAAAGAGCAAGGTTCACCGAGGGTGTTTTGTGGCCTTTGATTTTTTTTTCGGGGGGAGGGGGAGGGGGTCTAACAAAAAATCCTCACAAGCAAAAGAAGAGAGGAAGATTTTCAAAGAAATATATTTCACTATATAATCAATAGAGCCCCGCCCTAACACCACACAGCCTCTAACCAAGGGCAATGAAATTCACAAATTTGGAAGAGACACCCTTGCCCATCATAAGCATGCACTTAGTATGTTTGTTTGATACCTAGGGACAGAGCAGAAGATTTTCAAAGAAACAATGCATTTTCAATATATAATCCATAGCATCCTATCCTAACACCAAAACCCCTGGCCCGGAAGGGGGGAGGGAAGGCAGGAATTTTATAATTTTGGAAAACATAATCGTTCATCATTTCCATGTACCTAGTTTATCTCCTAAATACCCAAAAGAAGAAGATTTTCAAAGAATAATGCAATTTTAATATCCATAGAGCCCCGTCTTAACACCATAATCCAGATCCAGATGCCATTCAATTCACAATTTTAGAGGAAGCAGCCGTGTTCAGCAGACAAATGAGACAATGCATTTAGTTTGTTTACTTAATTCTCATGAACAGAAAAGATTTTCGAAGAAATAATACATTTTCACTCTATAGTTAATAGAGTCCCCTAAACCAGAACCCCTGATCCTGGTGCCACATTATTCACAATTTAGGAAAAGGCACCCTTGCTCATCATAAGCATGCAATTAGTTTATCTGCTACATTCAGAGGAGCATAAAAGATGATTTTCAATGAAATAATGCATTTTCACCATACAATCAATTAATAAAGTCCCTTAAACTAGAACCCCTGATCCTGGTGCCACATTATTCCAGTGTGCGAAACTAATCTGGAGAATGAAATAGCCCATTGGACTATATCATTTTTAATTGGGATAGACCGTAGACAAATGGGACTGTCCAAAGAAAGTAAACATGGAAAAAATGTGCACTTGTTATTGTTAATTTTTTTTAAAATTTATTCATTTATATTCTTATTGAAGTATCTGCTGTATATTTTCATTATTATCTAGTGAAAATTAAATATAATCATGCAGTGTTCGTGCATTTCACAAAAAAACACACCCAAAAAAAACTGTACAATTATTCAGACTCGTCGTATATAAACTTCACTCTGCAGACCAGCTAATATTTGTGAAAGACACAAACTCTAATGTCATCTTTATAGCTTTCCCTTTTTTGGATTCATTATTTTATTTTCTTTTTTTTTTTTTTTTGGTTGTCTTTTTGTTTATTCAATTTGTGTTTTAATGCCATGCTTCCCGCAGTCGGGATTTGTAGCATGCCTGATATACACAAACAGCAAGCATTGGGTAAAAATAGTACACCGCTAATTCATCGAAAGATGCACAATGTTATAAATTAATAAGTAAATAGATTTAACAACAATTCTTTTACCATGTAAAATATAAAAATATTAAATTATTTTTTCACAATTATTTTGTTTATAATTACATGTTTAAAATGCAAAATGGTCATTCTTGTTCAATCTCATTTTACCCATGGCCAAAATTGGGATAGACAATTCGGTCTGTTTCAATTCGGATCGGGGTAGCCCAATTCCACTCGAGATAGATTCGAACCATCGGACAGGCGTTAACTTTGCACATTGTTATTCACAATTTAGGAAAAGGCACCCTTGCTCATCATAGCATGCAATTAGTTTATCTGCTACATTCAGGGGAGCATAAATGATGATTTTCAATGAAATAATGCATTTTCACCATACAATCAATAGAGCCCATCCCAAAACTAACCCAGGAGTCACAAATTTCACAGTTTTAAGAGAGGCACCCTTACTCATCATAATCTTGCACTAAGTATAACAGCTAAATACCCAGGAGCAGACTAGATTTTCAAAGCAATATTGCAATTTCAGTACACAATCATAAGAGCCCCATTCTAATACCAGAACCCCTGACCCAGGGGCCATGAAATTCACAATTATGGAAGAGTTACCCTTGCTCATAATAACTTTGCAGTTTTTTTTTTTTTTTTTTTGGTTTTGTTTTTTGTTTTTGTTTGTTTGTTTGTTTGTTTTTGCTTAATGTCCAGGAGCAGAGAAGATTTTAAGCAATAATGCACTTTCACTGTCTGATCTATAGAGCCCCACCTCACCTCCAAAACCCCCGACCCTAGGACCATGAATTTCATAATTTTGGTAGAAGTGCTCAATGCTTATTACAATCATGCCAACAGTTTGACTGATTGATGTCTAGGGGTAAAAAAGATTTTTGAAGATAGCACTAATTTTGATGGTTTTAGTCCCATTCCTTTAGTCCCACTTCGCTACCTTAGGTGATTGATTTTTTTTCCTAAGAAGAAATTAGCATTTAATAACTTGTTTTGGAAGAGGCATCCTTGTTCATAGAAACCATGTACTTCGTTCATCAGCTTAATACAAAGGAGCAGAGGAGAAGATTTCTAAGAACTAATACATTTCCACTATATAATTAATAATTATAATTAATAAAGCTTAGCCTTTACATCAGAACCCCTGACCCAGGGGCCATGAAATTCAAAATTTTGGAAGAGGCACCCTTGCTCATCATAACTTTGTATTTAGTTTGTTTCCTTAATACCAAGGAGCAGAGATGAAAATTTCAGAAGCATTAATGCAATTTTACTATTTAATCAAAAGAGCTCCACCCTAACACCAGAATTTCTGACCCTGGGGTCATGAAATTCATAATTTTGGAAGAGGCACCCTTGCTCTTCATAACCATGTATTTAGTTTGTTTGCTTAATATCCATGATCAGAGGAGAAGACTTTTAAAGAAATACACAGTAATGCATTTCTCCATATATTCAACAGAGCCCTGCCTTAGCACCAGAACTCCTGACCTTGGCGATTTGTAAAAATTCCATTGATTCTGATGGTTTTAGTCCCACTCCTCAGGCCCCAGGAGGGCAAGACCATAATTCATGAATTTTGTTCCTCTTCACTCATAAATGTTCTATTCTAAAATTGGTTAAAATTTGTTAAGTGGTTTCAGAGGAGAAGTTGAAAATGTTCAAATGTTAATGCATGACGAAGCACAATGACAGATGAAAACAGATAACAATATGTTGTCTGCATGACTCAGGTGACCTTAAAACAATTATCCCCTATATGGTGTTTTACGTTTTCATGGCTTTTCAGACACTGTAATCATCCCTCACTGAGAAATTCAGAGCTGAATCACACTCCATGAGGTTGAGACTGTTTTTACGTAAGTTAAGTTACTACATGTAAAGATAAGGTAGAAAATTTAAACATTTGCAAAATGCACTAATCACACAGAAATCATTTAATATAGTAAACAACTCATCCATTACAATTTATCATTCTTTCATTTACTTCACATCTCATTATTTCAATCTTCCAGAGAATGAAAAGTGTCAGAATACTTCACAAGTATCATTATTTTGTTGCATATTCCAGTAACTATTGTTCAATGATACGGCTGTAATCAAAACATCAATAGCACAATGTTAAAAAAATCACATGACTTTGTTCATCCAATCACAGCTTTGCATCATCACAATCAAAACTCTGCTCCAATCAGAATTGAGGCCTATCATATCATTCTTAGGGCTCCATCCAATCGGATTGTTTCTCCATTAAGGTAAGGATTTTCTACTATTGTCTGACACATCTGTGCAAATTCATCAGGATTTCCGAGTCTCTTAGGAAACACTACTGTTGACGTCAGGGCATCAATAGCTTTCTGGGGTAAGGCTGCCAGTAATGGGGTATCAAAGACACCTAATGGAGGACAAAAACACAGAATTAATGGGGTATCAAAGACACGTAATGGAAGACAAAAAACACAGAATTAATGGTATCTACCATATTAAATCCCCTCATGGAAAATAAGAAACAACAGATTATAACTGCATAAAGAATGATCGGTCAAATATTTGCTCACATACAGAGTAAAATAAGAGTTGAATATGACTTAAATAAAAATGCTCATGTCCCTCTATCCCAAGGACCTATAGTAGGGCCCACTTCTAGGTGAAAAATGCAGTGATGTGTGTTATTCAGTGTATATACAGTATATACAGGCATTTGAAAATCCCTGATTGTACCACAGAACTGTCACATGGACTACAAACTGACTAGAAGGTTCAGGTTCAGATTAATTTATTACACTCATACCAACAGTCTGTGGTATATGAGATACAATATATAATTAGTCATCATAGTTCAATGTGAAAGAAAAATGAAATATATGATACAATAACTTAAATGAAAGACATATACATGTGTACAAAATATAACAAACACACAATGAAAACAATGAGAACAGAAAGTAAGGAAATGTATCAAAATAAAAAAAAAAACAAACACAATGAAAACAGAAAGAAAAGAAATGAAAACATAAACTATTGTAAACCTAAAGGGTTTAGAACGGACATTTTATTTGAACATTTTAAACTTGGACTATATTCATATCATAATCATTTTAATTATTAATAGTGAACTTAGTAGTGACAGTAAAATAAAGTAAAAGTTTATTAAACAAGGATGTACATTATTAGTGTACCACATACAGTGACTTTATATTTGGAAAAGGGACTTTACGTTCATGAACCATAATTATCTTGTTAGAACAAATTGGATTTTGTTGTTGGTAAAATGAACTATAATTTTGTAAATCATTTTGTAATGGAATTGACCAGAATAGACCAATCAAGTCCATTGATACTAAGTAATAAAATTTGGACGGAAATGTAAAGTTACTATTAAGATTCTTGATTGAGAGTAATAATAAAATTAGGAACTTTGAAGTAGATAAGTAAAAGAGCCTAGGGCTAGAACTCCTGTGGTGCAGAGATGGAGACTGAGTCCATAAATATTATTAATGAAGGTATACCTGGATTGGATTGGAGAGTGGTGCCATGTTGGGGTTCATAGGTAAACGGACAGACCTACGGACTAAGCGTAGGTGGTATGGCAATGTTAAGTCAGCCAATGAAAAGTACTTTTAAATCCGGGACCATGAATACCCTCTGAGCACAAAATACCCTGTTTTGCCGGAAAACGGCACTTTTTCTATTCTCTTTTCTTTGACTCTTTTGGAATACTTTTTGGACTCTAATTTTTTTGGACATCACCTTAATTATTACTTTTGGAGTTTTGGTTCTATGCTTTTCTTAAATATTTGGGACGGATCTTAAGAACTTTTGCTACAACCAGCGTATTGGTCTATTCTGGTGAAATTTCAGAAACAAGCATTTAAAAATCTATGCGATCACGGTAGTTTAATAAACTTTTCAAAAAACTTACAAACTTTATCATTGGCTTACACCAGACTTGTCGAAATTTTGAAATCACTGTCAGACATTTGGTCTGACAAAGTTAAATGTTCTGCTGGACCGGACGAAGTTTTGTCAGACCAGATATACGTACTTTATTTTGAAGCTGAGAAAGTAAATTAAAACTGCACTAAAATGCCGTTTATTATTTTCAACAGCCTTCAATCTCACAAGTTTCTTTTCTTAGAATAGAGGATCTTTAATCAGAGACATAAATGGCACGTTTTATGTCTTTGCTGTAACAAATTTAATCAACCATCGTCACCACACGGCCATTTCTGCTGTTTCTGTGACTTTCACCTGTGCACCACAAACCCGATCTTTTTAAAATTTGCTTCACTCGAGATTTTTTTCAAACGGTCATTTGGACCGACATTTTCTTGAGAGTTATCGGTCCAGACAAATTTTTATCGGCCTTGCCGACAGGACCGACGGATTTCGACAAGTCTGTTACACAATGGAGGTGAGACTGCATCATTTATTTTAAATATACAGAGATGTTTTTAAAGATTTAAAATCTATGGTTGACATGATTTGGAGTTTTACAAAATCTGGGATGTAAAAGATTCTTCCTAATACTACTTGATGTTTTTCATACTAAAATGAAATGGAATTTTCTGCTATTTGACCTTATTTACATATAATGTAATGTCTTTCATCCAATAGAATATTTGACCATCTACCAGTCTCAATTGGAAAGTTCTAAATATGATCAGTAAGATTTCAAGTTTACTTGTTAATATACTCAAATATTTTTAACCTCAAAAATCACTCTAAAAGATGTTTATATTGTATATTAACCTATACTGCGTACGTCATAGAATGACCGATGTCAAAAACGTATAAATCAGCTTCAGTTGCAGTTGAATTTTGCAATATGAAACTTTTTATGGGAAGTTGTTATCTCTTTTACACTACATGACAGAAAAATCAGTTGTAAGGAATAAATTTAATAACTACCGAAGTTATTTTCTATCAACTTTTATTCCCATGCAAGAAATATCCATGAGTTTAGCAACGTTGCTTTACTCCCAAATATTTATTGCCGCAAACTATTTATTTCATTGTGTATTTATGAAGAATACTTTTACAATCGTAAAAATTAGAAGTCACAGATAGATTTCAAACTGACAAATTGCAAATAAAAGATGTCGCAAATAATAGTTTTCTGGTTTATAGTATACATGTTTTACATATACTTTGCAGTTTATACAGCATAACTGTCCAAACCTAGTTAATAGTAAACACAGTATAACTTGGGTAGCTTTTAAAATTCATTTCATAAAAAATGCACTGTATATCATGGTATAAATATACAGCAAAACCATCATTTTATTCTTTAATAAAATTAGCATTTTTAATGCTTATAATGGCACTGTTTCACCAGTTGATGTTCAAATTAATTTTTAACTAGAACTGTCCAAAAGGGACAAATACCCCCCGCTGGGTTTTTCAGAGAATTAAGGTACCAAATCACTAATGTTTTCTAGATGTGAGAGGTGTTCACAATTTGCTTAAACATTTAGAGTGAAAATTTAATTACTCATTATATTTTTTTTAATGAATGAAACTAAGGTGCAGCCTAATAAAACATCAATACTAATAATTACAGTGTTTTTTATTACATTGAAAAAATAGTTTGCAACTATCTGTCATCTTTGTGAGACATGACACTCTGCAAATTGATTGTTGAAAAAAAAAAATATCATAATTAATTATACAAAATCAAATTGATCTTAATACCTTTATATCAAACTCATTTTAAAAATAAAAGGCTGGTTCCAGTAACTATGTATTTTGACAGACATAAATAAATTACAATTAAGAGACTTAGACAACAGAGATCTTCATTTCTTTCTGCCCAATTCCCAGGAGATATAGATAAGACCTGCTTGACCAGAGATGCCCTAACAGCTTCCCACACTGAACTCATTTATTAATCTTTAACTGGATGCACGTCCACTCAATACTCCCAAGGGACAAATGGATTTACACTATCTGCTGTGTAATGTAAAAACTGTTTTATATACTTTGTGATTTTTTTTTAGTTCTAATGAGTTGTTTAAAGCTGTAGTTCACATTTTTGTACATATGTTCTAGATTCTATGTCTCAAACCTTAGACATGAACCCGAAATGACTAAGTCAACAAAAATGGAAAAAAAACCCTGTAAAATGCAGAAAAATTATCAAATAATGTTGAAAATACCAGGTGCACATCTTCATATGGTAAATAATAAGTGTACAAATTTTCATACAAATCTATGCAATAGTCTCTGGGAACAGATCCGGACAAAACCACATAATGAAAATGAAAAAAACACCAGTAAAATGCAAAAAAATTATCCAATCATGATGAAAATACCAGGTGCACACCTTCATATGGCAAATAATAAGTGTACAAATTTTCAGACAAATCCTTGCAACAGTTTACAAGAAATGGTCCGGACAAAATCTCGTCTACAGACAGACGGACAGACAGACAGACGGACAGACAGACGGACAAGCTGATTCCAATATACCCCCCCTAAACTTCGTTTGCGGGGGGTATAAAAACATTTTTAATCTTTTTTATGAACCAGTTTACAATGGGTGTGAAGTCCCACTGGATCATTGTGACTTAGGTGATGTATACAACAGTGTTCCCAAGGAGATACATGTCATATATGAAATGAAAGAGGATTGAAATTTCACGTGTGTCCATGTTTATGTAATTTAGTTACGAGGACTGTGTACAATGTGATAACACTGTTGATAAAGTAATCATCCACCTTCACTGTGTTACACACAGAAGTAAGCAGGACAAAAAGTCACCTACAACCAATTACATAGAAGAAAGTACACTTAAACAGTTAGAATACATCTTTATCTTGGGCCAGTTTTCATTTGACTTTTCAAGATACTTGGATCAATGCCTTCATTGAGCTAAATTTCAGCAGAGATTAGACTATGTCTATCACAATCAAGGCACAGACTCTGAGGCTTTCTTTCAATACATAGACAACAGTGACTATTTAACTAACCTGGACAAATTGTACAGACTCGAATTCCATACTCTCCGAGGTCGCGAGCTAGAGGTAAGGTCATCCCAGCAATGGCCGCCTTACTGGCCGAGTACGCCACCTGTCCCATCTGTCCGTCGAATGCGGCCACGCTGGACGTATTAACAATCACACCTCGGGCCTGGTCCTCGTTAGGTTCATTCTGAGCCATCAGAACTACTGCCTGTCGGATCACATTAAATGTTCCTAGGGTATTTACCTACAATCATTTCAGAGATTTTCAAGCCAGAGAAACCTTGTTATGTTACAAAAGAACATCTTTATCCTTTCACTAAGCATCTGAAGGTTAACTTCCAAAAAAATTGCTGCCACCAATAGTATAATTAGTATGAGTGTTGACATCTAAAAGAATCAGTAGAAACTTATAAAAGGAAATTTCATACCTACCTTAAGCACTCTTTCAAACTCATCCAGTGGATGTGGTTTATTTTTGTGAATGTTGTATGTTTTCCTGGCGACCCCAATCCCAGCACAGTTCACGAGGATGTCTAGTTTTTTGTAATCCGTCATTGTGGATTTTAACACTTCCTTCACTTCAGCTTCTGAGGTTATCTAAAATCACAGAGGACAGAATTCAAGTACAGGGGAAGAAAACTCAAGTACAGGGGAAAAGAATTCAAACTACAGGGGAAGGAAATCTGAATTCAAGTTTAGGAGAAAAATACAGGGAGGGGGAGATATAGAAATGCTAAATACAACAGTTACTATTAAAGTGAAGTCAACAGAGAAAAAAATCTTAAAATACAAAGGCAAGAAATTTCAAAGGAGAATAATTTAAAAAATAGGGAAGGGGTTTCCAGTAGGCCAAGAGAGCATTCAGGTGTATACTGTAAACCAATTATATGTGTCATTTTTTAGTTGTGAATGACTGTCACTGATAGGGAACATATCCGTGACAATTAATTTCTGTGAACAAGTATAATCACAATTTTTTAACTTCCACAAATTTCTTTTTGAATCAATTTAAAAGCTTTTGTTACATCTGCTCCTAAATTAGGTAAAATGCTACCCTGAACACTGCTTACGCATTATTTGTGGCGTTCTGTGTTTTATTGTGTCACTGGCTGTACTGACATGGACTTTGAAACACGTCTTTACTCAACTATTTTATACCTAAAAGGGTTGCCCATGTACAATATCAGAAATATCAGCTTTAATACTGACCCTGCCATCCCAAAAACACCCGAAAATGTGCAGTGCATACAAAATGCAATTGAACATACATTATATTAAATTTTCACTGCTTTTAGTGTAATAAAGTTGTTTTTATTTACAATATTGTAACTCTTAACTTACTTGATGACATTAACATGATTAAGGATTATATTGAAATCTGGTTAGCATCAATAAATATCTGTGCGCAGAGGTTGCTCACGGATCTCTCAGATTTTTATCACACACATTTTATTATAGACTTTATCGTATGCATATTCTAGACTTAATCCCATGCTTATTCTAGACTTACATCAGCTGGGAAGAAGGTGCAGTTTTCCAAGGATTTAGCGACCTGTTCCCCATCAGAGGAGGGAAGGTCACAGAGAATCACTCGAGCTCCCTGTTTGGTGAACCTCTCCACGGTGGCACGACCCAGACCAGACGCCCCTCCTGTCACCAAACTCACTAATCCCTAAAACACCCGTATAAATGTAAACAACGAGCCAACAACAAATGGTATCATTACTTGTTCTATTAAACACATGATCAGAGTAATTATAGAATTAGAACTCAATTTTTACGTTCTGCCTACTTGAGGCCGAATTCATAAGAAATGTATCCGAGGAGTTTCGAGCTAGGCATCTCCGTTTTACCATCGCTACATTGTACAGGTTTCCATTGAATGTAAATGCTTTTAATATGGTACGATAGTCATTTCACTTACTTGAAATTGATATGACAATACAAATTACGATAGAGAAAACAAAAAATCTAACCTTCAACGATGTGAACTTTGACATGCTGCCTTCTTTCCGGAATTTGTTAAGTCGTACCAGAGATAGCTTTCTCCTGACACCATTTCGTGCGCTTATAAATCCACATGAAATAAGGCTCTTTTATAGAAAAAGAAATAAAGATTATCTTACAACTTTGACAGAGACAAGGGTATACAAAACTGAAAAAAAAAACGATTTTTTAAAATTAAAAAAAAATAATAATGTTTTGAAGAAAATGACAACATTTAAATTATTTAATTTAAAAAAAAAAATTACGACACAAAGGAATATAAATTATACATGTTATGAGTCATGCTTTGATGTCAACTTTCTTATTTAAATTTCACATGAAGTTTATTAAGTTAATTTTAGGAGTACTTTGTAAAAGTACTAATGCTCCCTGCAGAGCAGATTTAGGTAGACAATCCCTGTGGACAAGAATACATTTTTCATGTATAAAATTTTGGAACCATCTTATTACTTCCAAGAATACTTTAGCATTTAAAATCTATAAAGCAACAGTCCAAACAAACTCTTGGGCTAACAATATTTTTTTTCAATTTCAACAAGTTAGGATTTTCATTCATAACTTAAAAAAAAGAAAAGAAAATTCAATAAAATCACTTCTGGGAAGCATTTAAAACAAAGAATATCAGATCAATGCTTACAAGAGGAATATGCAAAGATTTATAATTCACCAAAACTAAAATTTTATCAAATTGTTTTTGATAATTTTACACGCTGTGGATACACAGATATATTAAAAAAGAGAACAGAGACATCAATTATTAGCTGGTTGAGACTTAGTGCACATTATCTTGCCATAGAAAAAGGGAGACATTTGTCTATATTATACTTTCATGTAAATTACTTGAATCTGATTCTTCGAGAAACATTTGTTAAAAAACACTATTACCCGCTGAATGATGAATTAAGCCACGCCCTCCAGCACAGCAACAGGTAATTTAACATTGCTTGACGACGGGTGATTTTCCAAAAAATAGTGACTGCGCAGAATTTATGCGCACAAGGTTCACTGTTATATGTATTTGTATAAAACATTCAGCATAATATAATAAATATTGCATGTAGTTGAGTGTAACATTGGAAATTTTCACCCCAAGAAAACCATTGTCAACCGAGGCGCAGCCGATGTTGACAATGGTTTTCGAGGGGTGAACATTTTCAATGTTACACTCAACTACATGCAATATTTATATAATACCCACAGATAAAAGATGTTGTAATATTTGCAACACAAGAGTTTCATTTTCTATTCAGCTGATAAAAATACAATAATCATAGGTTAACTTTTGAAAGAAACTTGTTGAATTTTTTTCAAGGGAATTAAAATATCAAATATGTCTTGTACTTAAAAAGTTAAGCTTTGCTTTAATAGTCAATGCCCTGAAATACTGCAAATAACACACTCATTTATTAAAAATGTCATATATCTAGAAATGATTGTATTACATCATTATTGTACAAATGGTTATATCGGATTTATGCATATCTTCACATTCTTCACATTCTACATATAAATGTATGAACAATTGATGATCCTTATATGTTGTGCCTTTGCCAATAATTGTAATTAATTGTGTTTGCGCCAATAAATATTGTATTGTATATAACTTGTACGACTGTTTTCATATTTTTCTAAAAAAAAAAAAAATATGTCTTAGTTGTATTTGTGATTAATACGGCCCTGAGAGTGATCAAGAAATCTCTGCAATGCCAAAGAATAATAGACCCCCCCCCCCCCCCACACACACACACACACCGGCACAATTTCGGTGTAATTAAGGTTATAAATAACAACCAATGAAAAGATAATATCCTATAAAGCCTTCCGTTTGGTTCACTCGGCACACCTCGGCCGATTTTGATGAAGGTGACGGAATCAGCCGAGATTTGCCGAATGCCGTTTGGTTGTCTTCAGGTATAGATACATCATGTTATAACATTTTAGCAGATATTAGACCTTTTTTGTTTCATTTTGTTTTTTGCTTTGTTATTCAGAAGTTATGTCATCTTATTAATGCGGTATAATAGTTATATCCAGCGAATACATTAAAATCTGAAACGAAAGTAGAACAATTTCCCAACATGCGTCGTTTTTCAATGGCTCATTGTGTATTTAATTGTTTGACTAACGTATGTTTTACGGAAAAAAGGCTTAATAAGACGTAGTAATTTATATATAATCCTCGCATATATATACATGTGTTTCAGTGGCGGATCTAGAGAGGGGTTACGGGGGTTGTACCCCCCCCCCCATTGGATTCGCTAAAAAAGGAGAGGGGAAGAGAAAATAAAGAAAAATATAATAGAAAAAATCTTAAATTTTATACCATATTGAACTTACATCGACTTAGTGTACATGACAAGTTTAGGGAAAATCTTCCAGCTTTATTTTTTAGGGACCGTCTCAAAATACAGATACATTTATACTACAGGGTTACATGAGAAAGTGCTAGTTTTTCGCACTTCAACATGTTCAAAGCCAAGTTTTACAAATACTACAATAGACTTTTTGCTCATGATGAGTAATACTATATTGTACATTATATGTTACATTATAAGAAACACGAAATTCTACAGTGTGGTTTCCAGAGGGGACATCTCAAATTGTAAAAATTACGTAATTTTTCCTATTCTTATGCAGTATTACAAAATATGTCAGATACTAAAGATGTTTTTACAAAAAACAAAAACCGAAAAGATATCAGAAAATAATTGGGAGATTTATAAATTCCCATGATTGAAATATCAAGGGCATATATTTTGTACTTTTTCTTTTCCAACATTTTTAATGACCCCTCTTGAAGAACTTCACTTAATCTGTTAATCATAACATCACAAACGCACCATTAGACGTCCATCGACCTAGCTATCAGTTGAAAAATCGTTTTAAAATAAGGTTGTTTTTTTTTAAGATTGATATTGAATTTTTTATGTTATATATTTTTTTAGTTAAATTTTATTAAGATTGTAATATAATTTGTTTTAAAAGTTTAAATTTGCTTGATTTTACTATATATGCTGTGCAAAATAAAAATGACGTCATTCAAAGGATTTGATTTCAGCAATATATTTTTCTAGTAGAAACATCAATGCTTTAGCAAAATCAATGTAATAAATGGTTAAAACATACCTAATATGACACAGGTCATAAGAGAAAATTGCAGAATTCAAAGATTTTGACCAGAATAATCGATTTGATGACTACTAGTTTTGTTTCTTTCTGATATTGGATGTCAAAAACCAAGGTGCAAGCGCACGCTAAACATAGAAAAAAAAACTTGGAATAGCCTAGTATTTTTATACATTTCAGTATAAATGCTTTTAAGTGTTCATTCAATTATATATAATTTATCGAAATATTTATTCAAGTTAAAATTTCATTTTTTCAGGATACGTCATACATAATGGCCCGATCACAAGCCCAAGACGTCATTCGATGTCAATACTGCGAGGACGAGCCCGCTGTCTTCCACTGTGTTCCTTGTGGAGATGAACTTTGTCCTCGATGTAAAGTCTTCCATCTTAAAAGCAAAGTTCCCTCCGGACACAACATCGTCCGTCTGTCCGAGAGACTTCATCCAACCAATCAGATCAAAATATGTGAAGACCACTCATCTAAAGCGTACGAGGCTTGTTGTAAAGATTGCCAAGTCCCGGTCTGTATTACGTGCATTCAAGAAGTACACGGTGAACACGCCATCGGTAAGATACAAGATCTTTACGAGAAACAAAAAGCCGAAACCGAAGACGAATTGTCTAAAATGAAGACACAATATAAGTCTGAGATTATTCAAAGAATAAAAGATTTCAAAAAGGGAGAAAAGGAAATAAAGACGAGCCATGAGAACGTACGAGAGAAGATGAAGAAACAAGCTCAGGAATTCATAGATCATATTAGCGCCATTCTGAAAGAAGCCTTGCAGCAGTCTGAGAAAGATGAGAGCAAAAATCTGAAGGTAATATCTCAACATAAAGCGGTAGCTGAGACATTTGAACAAAACTTGGATCAACTGATTGAAATGTTTGAATCTCTTACAGAGTCAAGTCATCCTGCCGACCTTATTTTGTACCGAAAGCAAAATCCTGACATATTCAAGCAATTAAAACTTCCAGACAAACTTAATATTGTTATGCCTTCGTTTACAGTTGGTCAGATCAACAAATCTCAAAATGAGCAACAGTTTGGCAAGTTTATGACAGGTAAGGTTAACCTTATACAATCAATCGACGAAAGCTCACAACCTATACTGCCAACTTCTTCTGCAAGAAGGAAAACATCCACCAAAAGAGTACTGGAGCGTTCAGTAAAAATTAGCGAAACGAAAACTGAAAATAGAAAGTTATCCCACGTGAGTTGTCGTGATGACAGATCGGCGTACATCAGTGGTGAAGGTCCTGGAATACTACTAATGGACAGGTCATGGAAACAGCTGGATAACATCAGTACTGACAGAGAACCATTTAGTCTGGCTGTGATGCAGGACGGAAGTCTAATTTACTCTGAATACGGCAAAAAAGTTATCTATAGAGTGTCACTCAATAAACAGAAAACAACACTTATAAATACTGATTATAATCCTACAGGACTGTGTTGTACCAGGTCAGGTGATATCCTGGTCTGTATGGGTGCTTTTAATACAGCAAGAGTGGTCAGGTACAGCAGTAGTGGGAGGAAGATCCAGGAATTCCAGACAGATCAGAACGGAGAGAGTCTCTTTATTGATCCATGGTTTATCTGTGAAAATGTAAACGAGGATATCTGTGTTTCTGATTGTAGTATAAACAGTAAAGTGGTCGTGTTGAACAAGTCTGGAAATCTTCGGTTTACATATGACGGGAACGTCCTAGCTAGGACGTTAAAAGACATATTTGATCCTCGTGGTGTGGCTACCAACAGTCTTGGTCACATCCTTATAGCAGACATCTCCAATAACGCCGTACACCTGATCAGCCAGGACGGGGACTTCATCTTTTATATCCTGACAGAGTATGATCGGATATCACTACCAAGGTGTATCTCTGTGGACACTTCTGACAATCTGTGGCTGGTAGAATCCGGCAAAGCCTGTGTCAAAGTGTATCAGTATCTGTCATAACGTTGGGCCTTTGTTTGTAATATTCTTAAGTTGTCCATATTTGTGCATATACCATAACAAATATCTCATGATAGAACAGTAATTAATTTTCAGTAGTACTGAATGTTTTTTTTAATATAATCAGAGCTATGCATGGTTACAGAAATAATGTCTTTAATATTTACATACAATGAATAACATGTATTTAAACTGGGAATTAAAAAGCAAATTTGTTTATCTACGAATTAGACATCGTCGGAAACCCACGGCTGATTACGCTTCGTTCCTCTCTCGGAGAGAGGAACGAAGCGTAATCAGCCGTGGGTTTCCGACGATGCGAATTAGAAAGGAAACTGTTTTGTATATTTAGTTTCCTGTTGATGTAATAGGGTGATATTTTCAATATATTTATGATTAATAGATGATACTAAAGGTATATTGTGTGTCTTGTTGTTTTATGATTATTTCACTTGATCATCATGTACATCATCATCATTTTGTATATATTTAGTTGAAACACAATTGGATACACATTCCTGTATTGTCCTATTCTCCCTTGGTTCTTTTATTGTGCTATTCATTGATCATTAGCTGACTTCTTCAATTAATGACTTTTTGGTATTTAATGCCTATGGCTATTTTACCTATGTGGTCATTTTCAGACATGTGATACATGTCATGTGGTTTGAAGAACCAATAGATTTACTATATATATTTTCCCGCTTTTGGTGAACTGCCTTTGTTCATTAGAAAGTTAGATTCCTTAGAGGAAAGTTCTTATAATATATAATTATGTAGTGACTGTATCTATGTGAAGTCTGCCATATTTGAATTATCTTGACTGACCTGAAAGATGTACTGACAGATAGTAAGTGCACTCTATATTTTATTATCTTGATTAATATCTGATTTAATATTTCTGTAAATTATCTAATTTATGCATTTTCTATCTTTCATGAGTAAATTCAATTGATTTGATCATCAAGTTTATTTCTTTTACTTTTATCATTCGACCTTAGTAATTTATAAATATCAGTTATCAATTTCATTGATGGGATCTGATTATTGATTCTGAAGATATATAGTTAAATTATTATTTACAGTTGATATGTAGTATACCCGAGACTTGATTCAGGCAGCTTATTGAGTTTCAGCCTTGTTCCATAAACAGGTGATTAATTGATAAGCATATGAAATATAATACTTTTATCATAGATAAATGTAATGTGAAATAGTTGCATTGAAATGTATATATTTATGGAGTAATATTGTATATGCATAATATTCATTATCAGAATTAATGTTTTTAATATATTTTTAATGCAGTCAAGGGAAATAACTTGTAAAGTACTTTAAACTTTAAGAAGATAGCAAGAGTTATCCTTCTTGTATTATACATATTCCCTTGCAAGTTTTTTGTTGATTTTTATGCTCAATATTGTTTATTCCTATTACAGGGCTTAAAACTATAACTACAACGATTATATTATCATTGTGTCCATCCATATCAACACTGAAGTATTTAATAATAAACGATGAACCCATAAGTGGTGTTATTCTTCACTAAAGGACACTTCTACATTGACACAAAGTTTACATAAAAGTGCTAGTAATTTTACTAAGCATGTATGTACATGTGTGTAGAATAATCTTATAACTGGGTTTCGGGAGAACTGGGAATCTCTGGCAGTTTGTTTACCTCTATTTTAATATTTTAAAATATCATAAATGAGTATTGAAATGACTTAATGCCTTCCAGTCTCTGACAGCAAAATCCGATAAAAAAAAATCACAGCATAAAAATCTGCTTTTACTACAGTGCCTAGGATTATTTTGGTTGAGCATGCTCAATTTAAGTCAATATTACAACTCCTGAAAAAGCAGTTAACGTCGTGAAATTCTGCAACGGACAGATGGAAAAGTACAACTTATTACAAGGGACGTCAGTTGTTGCAAAGCCACACAAAACACAGAAATGCAGGAGTAGCTTTGATGTTATACATGCCATAATGAACCGCTTTTTGAAAGAAATCGACGACGTCTAGAAGAAATTTCAGACGGGATAGAATAGGTCGGTTTTTTTTTTCAAAATGTCAAACATTATTTTAGGAATGACTCTAATTCTTGGCCAAATTATTCGAGTATAACCTGGTTTGGGTCAGTTTACGCTTTATAATCCGCGAAGCGGATTATAAAACAGCGTAAACTGACCCAAACCAGGTTATACTCGAATAATTTGGCCAAGAATTAGAGTCATTCCTTATAATTTAATTTTAAAACCATTAAATAAGTATGGGTGTAAGATTTCATTACTTTTTAATAGTTCAAATTTGCCGCTCAATAACACAACCGTAGTAACGGAAGTAACGGAAGTGATGGGCATCGAGGGGAGATAAAAACTGATACATAGGCCTAGCAGCCATGGTGGTTGTTTACATGTGGTAAGATCGAATTATTGTTTGAAATTAAAGGTACATTTATTGAATCTGGAATTTTCCATGAATCCCGAGGACTGGAAATCATCTGTATGGATACAGATGATTCAGCTGGTTGTCAGGGGGGGGGGGGGGGTGTCCCCATACCAAACCAGGTTATACAGAAATAATTTGTGTTCCTTTTTGGATATTAACCAATCAGAGGCTAGAATACAAACAAAATTAAATTATAATAAAGTGATTTGTGTGAGATGTATTACCCCACACTGTTAACAATAATCAAACGAAGCATGATATGTGCGCATTGTAAATCAGCTTGCAAGTTAGAATTGGAAGAAACTAAATTCAACGGAGGGCAGAAAATTTACATGACATCGAATAACATATATGATAAATATGTGTACATACATTGTACTGTATGGAATTTTTAAATAAACTCGAAGCATTTTTTCATTTGATACAATGTGTATTTTTTGATTTGATTGATTGTATGTTGTTTTACGTCCCATTCTAGAATTTTTCACTTCTATAGACATGTTTTGGTTTGATAAGGATATAGATTAAATTCATGTTCAGAAAATTTTGATCCTTTCTCATGCGTACTACTTTACTACTTCTTCTCATTATTCTATCCATAACTTTCACTTTCACAACAATTGGAGGATTGTCGACCGATAGTCTCTTGACTGACCGTTCAATAAATGTGTCCGTGTTTGCTTTATCGCAATATTCCTTGTAGAAATTGCAGGATGGTTCCCCTTTGAAAAATATAAAACGGGAATAAGAAACATACAGGAAAGAATCATTCCAGTAGGAGGTTGGATAAAACATCCCATGCATTTAGAAGGAGGAAAACGTTCTAATTAAAATTAAATCTCTACACAAAGTAGCGATCTAGATGGAGCGGATCAAAGGTCTAATCCAATCTTTGCAGAGTTGCCGTTCGTTCTTCTCTCAGACACCTCTGCAATGGGCTCGCTTCAAGATTTTTGACATCAAGTGAAAAACATGGTATTTCAAAGATTATTTCAAATTTTAGATGTACTTAGTAGATATCACCTTAAAGGACAAACATTAGCGCAGGTATTTAATTATAATAAATCAAAATAAACGCACTATTCCTCGTGTTTATCACTGTGAGATACACGAGTCAACGACAGAGGTGAATGTCTGAGCCGATACATATATTTAATGACGATAAAATGTTCCTGATGCCGTCGGCCTGGCGGGAAGCGACCGCTTTTCGAACGATAGAGGGAACAAACAGATTGTCAGAGCTAATTGTCTACTGTCAGCTGACAGTCAGTCAAAAACTGCAATCACCCAAATGATTGGTTGACTCTGTCAGCTGATTCTGGGGAGGCCAAAACATTTAAAATGTCGCCTGGCTGTCTGCTGGATGTCTTGTTACGATCCCTAGTCAGTTGCTGAGCTTTTACAAATTGACACAACTAAAGAATTAAATCGGACACAGATGGGTTAAAAATTAAATCTTGGCCTGACGGACACAAAAAATTCGGTTAGAAAAAACAACAGCCAAAATCAGAAAAGGTGACTGTGGACAGTGTCCAGACAGTATTCCCAAAAAAACCAATTTAGCCTCGGAAAATATAGGTCACTGGTCATTTTTGGGAAATGTGAGAGAGGCATAAGGCCTCTACAGCTTTTAAAGCATTGATTACTCCGAGTTTCTGGGATATTTGCTCAGCCTTAGCTACCACCAGTTGAATATTGATTCAGGCCTCATACATAATACATATTCCATAACAAAATAAGTTACTTGATAAAGAAGGATGTGGAAAAAACTTGAGTGATTAACATATCTGAGAAATTAATCTCAAGTTACTCATAACATTGTTTTTTGTAAAATCTAAAAGAAGACCCATCTTCAATTTGATTTTAGTTTCAACCATATTTTATTTGAAAATACAATGCAACAAGCTGAAAATACAGACAAATAGTACACCCGTATGAAATTAAGAGGCGTATTACGCCTGGACTTTTTGCAAATCCTGGCGTACAATAGACGTATTCTTAAAAATACGGTTCATTTTCAGGCGTACACGTATTTTTGCCAGAAATACGTCTCCTTTTCTCCTGGCGTAAATTCTTAATCCAGGCGTATTTTTTTTCTTAGTCTCTTTCGCATAGGGAAATAAAAACTTAGAAAATTTCAAAAGGCGTATTTTTGGAAATCCTGGTGGATTTTCTGACTTAGTCCTTATTATTAAGAGAGCTAGATAAAAATTTTACTTAGACAACTTCATTCTCCTTTATGTAACTATTGAGTTGCTTTTGTGATGCATGTATTAAAATTAACCCCCAAGAAAGTATTTACTCCACATGTAAACATTGATTACATTACAATTTTGCCTTTGTTGTATTCATTGTATTTATTAAAGCAATTAATTTTAGTAAATTATACTATTTAATCTTAGATTACTGTGCCATTGATTCCCAAATTAAAAAAATGTTTAATATTATTTCTCTTAACTAAGATGATTTTATTTCTAACAAACTTAGTATATTCTTTCATTAATGTTTTAGTGGCTTAATATAAAATAGCATTTAATTAAATGAATATTTAAGTCCTTAGTTTTAACAAAGCACTATAGCTGATGCTAAAAATAATTTTTCAGTCAGTAATTGCATGATCAATGTCTCTATAATAAAACAAAATATAGATGGATATTCAGATAATATTACATTACCATCTACTTTCTCTTCCCTAGTCTAACCAGTTGGGATATTAGGCTAATTATGTGTTGAGCATGTTTAGGAACGACTTATCTGTAATGTTGTAAACCTTTCTAAGAACGGCTTATCAGTTTATATCCGGTTTCTCTAGAGCAGTTCCATTATCCACCCTAATCTTTAAAATAAAAGTATAATTCATATAGAGAAAACATCTTGTGTAAACATAAATGAATTTTTGTTATTGTATTCTTTAACAATACAGAATTCTTTTTTCATCAAATTTACATAATGTACTGATTAGATCTCTCGGAAATGATAAAACCGTTTAGGTAACAAGGGGGTTATAAACAACAGCATTATTTACATCCAAGTATTTGCGCCAATTTTTAAACCACCAAGAAGGTCATGCCAGGAACTAAGAGATTGGAGAAAGCGGCAACGAAGCACAGATGGTGAAGAAGAGGTGATTATTTTGAAATGCATTGCATAACATTAGATTTTTTTACCTAAAAAAATATTTAAAGACAGATGCATTTGCTTGATTTGCAGAGCCAGATGTTCATGATTGAAATGGGTCAGTATGACATTGAGTATGTTCTTCTTTTTCCAGATCATAATCCATAGGATAAATCAGTTGGGTGATCAATTGAATGATGAAATAGTCCATAAATACTTCAATTTAAGTGAAGAAAAGATCTTGCGAGAGTCAAATGACCAGAATTGCAGCATTTTCCATAGATGCATGCCAATGAACTGCAGCTGTTGAGTGTAGCATCAGGAATGAAGTGTATTTTCAATGCCAGGAGTTATAAAACATGAAAACATCTTTGTGAATATTTCTATGAAAATGTGATTGGAGAATATAATAACAAATGTGAATGACAAAACTGCTTGTGAATTGCATCTTTCGTGCCAAATAAGGAGTACAGAGAATGCCAGGATTAATCGGCATGATTCTCAATAAAGTGATTTCACTGTGATTATTGGAATGTTGCAACTGCTGACTAAACTAATATATCAATCTTGTAGGTTAAAATACTGTGAAACAGGAAAAGTTAATGTAAATCTAACATGTGATGTGACTGTGATTTGAAACAGTAAATGTTCGATTCTGATTTTTAATCATTTCTCATTCACATTTAAGCATACTGAAAAGTATTAATAAAATAAAAATTGTGCAATCAGCTTAATTTGTCTGATCTTTTTTGTATGTGTTTATATGCACTTAGACTCCTAGTAATCTATGTACTAAAGTACTTTGTACTTTTATATTTATGTTGGTTGTAGTCCCAATAGCTGTGATAATATTTAATTTGAAATGAATATTTAAGGCAGGCGTATTTTTATACGGGCATATTCATTTTACGGCCATATATTTTTTTTTTTTTTACGGGTATGCTTGATATCTAGGTGTAACTCTATTTTTAAAATTTCCAGGCGTATTTTGAATTTCCAGGCGTACTCAGTTACATATTTCGGCTAAAAATACGGAAGGATTACGCCTCTTGTACGCCTGTATTTCACTTTATACGCCTGCTTTTATGTATTCATTTTAATGGAGAATCCACCAGGATTTTAAGATTGTAATATGCCTGGATATTTTTTGAAAATACGTGACTAAAATTTCGTACGGGCAGGAAAATCAAAAAGGATTCAGAAACAAATTTTTAAAACTAATCCATTTCCTGTTGTGATTTTGACCACTTGCTCATGATCTTCATATAGTTTCAAATATTACACTTTCAAGTTCTTAAATCAGGAAAATTTTTTATATTCTTCATTCATTCAGACTTCTTTTTGTTGGCAGCCATGACAGATCTCAGTTTGTCTCCATAATACCATAGCGCCAGGGTTTCCGTGGAGACACCAAGATAATGAGCCTGCAGAATCACTCGATTTAACCCTGTGATCTATAAATTATACATAAAAAGATATATTTACTATGTTGTTGAAAACTTTTTTTCAATTTCATTCCTCAAGTATTTGTTCCATGTTAGTTTGAAATAATGCAGTAACATTAATATCATATAAAAACGTGCAGGTTCAATATCAGTTTCATATATGTACTTAAACATAGGTAATCAAAGACTACAAAGCTCACCTCGACGAATGTTATCTTTAAGTAAGGCAAATTTCACATCATATTCTTTTTTTTTAGCTAATATACATCCCAAGATCAATATCCATGCAAGTTTGGTTTAAGTACGATTTATAGTTACTTGGAAATAGCTGTTCAATAAACGTTTATCCTGTTTACTAATCAAAAAATTTTGGTCAGTTCCAACATCCAAAGTAAGTCTTGAAGTTTTCATCCTTAAATGCACCATCTATGCAAGTTTAATAAAAACAGGTCATAATGTTATATAGCTACTCCAAAAAAATTATCCTAGTCACTCATCAGGAGAATGTAGGTCAAATTCAGAATCCAAAGCAAGTCTTAAAGTGCCCATCCCTAGCAACATCATCCATGCTAATTTGGTTAAAATATGGCTAAAATTCACTCATGTGGAAAATCTAGGTCGGATCCAGCATCCGAAGCAGGTTGGTTAGCGTATATCCCAAGATGCATCCATGCAAGTTTGGTCAAGGTAGGGCTTATAGTTACTTGGGAATGGACCTGCTCCAAAAACTTTAACCTGGTCACTCATCTGGAAAATCTAGATCAGATCCAGCATCCGAAGCAAGTGTGGTAATGTCCATCCCTAGATGAATCATCCATGCAAGTTTGGTTCAGGTAGGGATTATAGTTACTTGGGAATTGACTTGCTCCAAATACTTTAACCTGGTCACTCATCTGGAAAATCTAGATCAGATCCAGCATCCGAAGCAAGTGTGGTAGTGTCCATCCCTAGATGGATCATCCATGCAAGTTTGGTTCAGGTAGGGCTTATACATGTAGTTACTTGGGAATTGACTTGCTCCTAAAACTTTAAGCTGGACGCCAACGCTAACAGCGACGCCGACTCGGGGGTATAGCATAAGTTCATCTCGACTTCGTTGAGGTGAGCTAAAAATTTAATTTAACAATGAAAAATGGTAAACACAAAATTAAATGAAGTTTTTTTTAAAGGCAACAGTTACTAATAGTTTCCAATGTCTATTATTAACACTACTCAATATAAGATCCTGTTACCTCCATCAACATAGACTTGTTCAATAAACGTTTATCCTGTTTACTTATCAAGAAAATTTTGGTCAGTTCCAACATCCAAAGTAAGTCTGGAAGTTTTCATCCTTAAATGCACCATCTATGCAAGTTTAATAAAACAGGTCATAATGTTATATGGCTACTCCAAAAAAATTATCCTAGTCACTCATAGACCAACATCCAAAGCCTCCCCTTAGAAAGTCATTTTAACTCTCCCTACAGACAAAACCCCTTAAATGACCCCCATTTTTCATTTACAAACCTACCCAGTATGAGGTCCTATGACCCACAACTACAGACAATATCCCGTATGAGGTCTTTTAATAACCTCTGTCTCCAGACACTCCTTTTAAGGAGGACCCACTTTTTCTGTCTACAGACATTAACCCTTAAGAAGCCCAATTTTCTCTGTCCATAGACACTAATCCTTATGAGGCCCAATTTCCTCCATCTGCAGCCACTTCTACTTAAGAGGTCCTCTTAGAGGTACCTCCATCTACAGACAATACCCCTTATGAGGCCCCACTTCTTCTGTCTACAGACATTAACCCTTTTGAGACCCCATATCCTCTAACTGCACTTATGAGGCCATATCTGTTCTTTCTACAGACACCATCCTTATGTGGATCCTCTGTCTACAGACACTGCCCCTATGTGGTCCATCTATAGACACCACCCAATATATAAGACCCCGTTTTTTGGTTTACAGATACTATCTATTGGGCAATCATAGCTACTTTCTATGTCTAAAAAGGCTCAGTTTTTTCTTTCTACTGACACTACCCTTAGGAGGCACCAATTCCTCTTAAAACAGACATTACTCCTAAGGAGGTCTCATTGCCTCTGTCTACAGTCACTACCTCGTATGAGGCCCAAATTTTCTGGCCACAGACACTAACCCTAAGAAAGCTATGTTTTCTCTGTCTACAGAGACTACATCTTATGGAACCTTATTTTCTCTCTACAGATACTAACCTTTATGAGGCCCCATTTCCTCTGTTTACAGATAATTACCTTTACTTGAGACCACATTTCCTCTAACTTTAGGCACTACCCCTTATGAAGTCCTATTACCTCTTTCTTCAGACAATAAACCTTATGAAGCTCTATTACATGTACCTCCATCTATAGATACTACTCTTTATGAGGCTCCTTTTTCTATCTACAGACTTTACCCTAAGGTAGCCCCATTTTCTCTGTCTACAGATGCTATTCTTTATAAGGTCCTATTACCTCTGTCTACAGACAATAAACCTCGAGGCCTCATTTCCTCTGTCTAGAAATGTAGACCCTTATGGTGACCAATATTCTCCTTCTAAAGAAAAAAATCTTTATAACACCCTATTCCTTCTGTCTACAGACACTAACCTATATGGAGACCCATCTTCTATGTCTACAAACATTACCCCTAATGAGGCCCCATTGTCTCTTTTTACAGACACTTACCCTTATGAGGCCCCTTTTCCTCTGTCTATAAAATCTTACTCTTATGAGGCCCAATTGCCTCTGTCTACAGATACTAATCCTTATGAAGCCCTATTATCACGATCTTTAGACACTTACCCTTATGAGGCCCCATTGCCTCTGTCTACAGATGCTTATCCTTATGAAGCCCTATTATCACGATCTTTAGACACTTACCCTTATGAGGCCCCATTTTCTCCACCTGCGAGCACTAGTAATGACAGGGTCACCTGGTGCTATACCTATATGTCCCATCCTCCAGAGTTCCTTAACCTGAAGACAAACAAAATAAACTCAGATATAAGCAACCATAAATATTTACATCCATGGGATATTTTTCCTTTGTTTATTATGAAAATGGATTACAGCTGATCATTCAGTAAATACTATCAACATTTACACTAGTTCCATTTGGATTATTAAAGCCATTTATATGACAGATTTTTTAAGAAGTGTCAAGGGTCAACTGTTTCTTGGTCAATGTGCATATTGATAACACAATAGTTTATGTAATCAGTGTTTTCTTCCACTTTATATAAATAATATATATGGATATAAATATAAATAATTTTGGCAATTTATGTAATACCTTTTATTTCCACCTAACAAATACCATTTCTTGTAGAAAAAAACCCCATAATTATCAATAGAGTTCTAAATTTGCACAAATAGATGATGTACATATGTTACCAATAGAACATCCTCCAATAAATAGACTTCTTTAAACCCTCCGATTTTGTTGTACATGTGACGAGTTGTGAATATTGCATTGTCTCCAAATGGATATTCTACAACAATGAGCATGTCATGTTTATTTGTTATTATACACTTATCCACTGGTTATAAGTGGGATAGCTCTTTTATCAAACCCCTGACAGGGACTATTCCCCGAGGGCTTGCCCTAGGGAAATAGTTCCCACCAAGGGTTTGATGAAAGAGCTATCCCGGTCACCACCAGTGGATAAGCGTTTTATTATACTGATGTATATCATAATTTCTGAGAATTGGATTACCTTATACTACAGTTTCATAGGCAAAACATGAAAACTTCAAAGAATTATTATAAAAGTTTTGAGAAAGTATTTGGAGTAAGATAACACTGAAGTCATGATATAGATTTATCACAGGAAATCAAAATTGGCAGCAAAAATTGAATGAAAGTTTTCCGAGGGGTGGATAGGACAAACTATACCCCTGGGTATAGCTTTGTTAGAAGTAAAATTTTCAGACGATAGAAATATAGTTATTTTACCTTCTTAACTTTATAAAAGAAATGTTTTAAAGCAATATGAGCTGCATATTCGAGAATTTAATTTTGCTGTTAATATGTGCTATTTTAATAAATTTTTATGTAATTTGAACCTTTCTGATCAATTTGACTTAAATAAAGTATTAAATTGTTTCAGAAAAAAGATTTCTGTACAATCCAATATATAGTATTATATAAAGAATCAATATTGTACAGGACAACAATAATGTAATTCTTCTTCAATCAAAACTTGGAAAAAGTTCTTCCATTGGAAATCATCTTCGCTAGCCAAGGGTTTCTGATACGCTACTCTCCTCATAAACTCTTGGCATACGGTGCTGACAAAAGACAGGATTGTTTTTGTCACGTGGTCATGATTCTTACCAGGTACGCGCAGATTGCGTCATCGACAGAAAAAAAAAGTTTTTGAAAAAAAATTTGTTTTTAAAGAATAATTAACAAGAAGGTATTGAATTATGTTAATTTGTTATTTAAACATGTAAAAATGCAAATCTACATCTTCAGCATAGATTCTTAATCACATATTTTGCACGTAGCTTTAGATATTGGATGACACCATATAGCTATTCATAGAATGGCATGTTATCTTACGGATCATTGTTTACTTGCGTTTTACATTACCGATATTGAAGAGTCAAGATATATCCCGAACGCAAATATCGTCATTTACAAAAAACAATTGCTGATTGGTCGAACGATGTCGATCAACTCCAATCAAAACTTGAGAAAAAAATCCCGACTTTTTTAACACCGTATGCCAAGGGCTTATGAGGAGAGTAGCGTATCAGAATCCCTTGGCTAGCGAAGATGATTGGAAATATGAACAACAGAAGTTTATAAACGTTCTTTTTTCCTATCTTTGAAATAGTTAATTACAATTTTGAAACAAAAACTTCGACATCAAAGTTGCAGCTCATATTGCTTTAACAGAAGTATAATAAAAATATTAATTATCAAATGATAAATAAATGAAATTTATTGATAGTTACAATGTAGTGTCAGTTATTTAACATATGGAATTATTAAAGAAAATTTATCTAAACAAAATTATTTATGCTTTAAATCAAGTGAATAATTATAAAGCAGTGGTTCCATAAATAAGAGAAAAAGGAATTATTACAGTGGCTTCCATTTTATCGGATAGCGGTTTAACGAATATTTCGGCTATTTCAATATAATATCAGAGCACAAAACCATTTCTTATATATTTATTAATAATTTCACCTGATATTCTGATGAGAAAATATTGGAATTTCGTTTTATCCGATACAAAAATTTAGACTATCATAGTGTTTTTTGATAATCAGCACCTTGTTCACACCTCCAACTTCGTATGTGAAGCCTTTGTTTACACAGTTTGACACCAATTACCTTGACTGGCTTGAGTACGACAATGAGGGGATTAGTTACGGCTGGACGCACACAGGCACCTTACCTGTGTCAATAGTGGGCATAGTAAATAGATATGTTTTGATTACAGTTGTGGTGATCAGCTTGGGTTCAATGATGCACTTGTTAATTATGACAATTATTTGCAATTTTTTCGGCGTGAAATTTATTTATTGAACTGATTAGCTTGTGTATGACAATTTACTTGGATAATGAAATAAGCCTATTCAATCGTTTAACTTGGTCAATTGGCTTAATATTTATTCACTTTTCAGTGCAAAATTTATGGTAAAAATAATAAATGGCCCCTTCTATAAAAATACGTCTCAAAATTCATTCCATCTTTCTCCACATGGCTCTCAAAATCTCTCTTCAGCAGACAAGAACGAGACTGGTAAACTCACACACAGTATAAAATACGTAACCGTATTAAAGAAACAAATAAAAACGAAACAGTTACATATATTTAATATTTTTGTTTATTTTTAATTTACAATATATCCAGGGAAAAATAGTTTACGGTTATTAGTCAAGCATTTAGTCTACTTCCGTTTCCAAAATGGCGACCATCGAAGAAGGAATGTAAACATGTGCTGAAGAAAGATGGCAATAACTATCAAAGAATATATTCTATACGTCAATTTATTTGAAAAAAAAATTCATATTAAATTCATAAGTAAGTGAAATAAATTATTTTTAGTAAAGTCATTAAGTAAACATGTCAAAAGAAAACGAATGTGCAAGCTGGAAATTTGCTACGATGTATTATCAATACATGTAGCTCTATGCATCTATCTTTGGACTCGGTATGAAGCAATCGGCTATTCTAATTTTCGGCTATTCGGATAAAACAAGGCTGACAACTTGACTATTCGATAAAACGGGAACCACTGTATCATTAGAACTGATTTAGCTTGATAAAATCTGCTAATATTTTCATTTTTGTTTCATTTAGCTGATCAGAATAATTCTGTTTAATTACCATATAATCATATTACCAAAGTTTTCTATTCTTCTGTTGGTTAAATATTCCACAAATTTCATTTGAAGCTTGAAAAACCAACTGTCTTTACTGAAATAAAATTTGAAGATTAAATATGGAGACCTTTAAAATTAATTAAGGCAAGTAACTCATTAAGTTTTGAAAAAAAGTTTGAAATTTTTTTTTTTAAAAATTATTTGAATTAAACAATGAAAATTAAGAAGAAATATTATTGGGGGACTACTTCTTTTGATGAAAGATGAATTAGAATATGTAGAAAAAAAAATTCTCAAAATCTACATGTCAATTGTTTCATTCAATAATCTTATACATATTTCCTCAACTTTTTTTTGGTTTTTGTTTTTTGTTTTGCTATTAAGGGGGCCGACTGGGGTTTTCATTGCGCAATACTTCGCGCAGCATAGTAAAACAACGCGTATTTACTCTTTTAAAGCAACTATTTTTACATAATTTATAAAAATTAACAAATTTAGGAAATCTAAGGTTAAAAAATCTAATTACGTTTTTAAATAACTGATTTTTTGAACGATTTTTCAAATAATGGGTATACAGACGTCGTAATAGTGTGTTTTTGACGTTATGAATAACTGAAGTTCTTTAAGCGGGGTCATTAATTATGCCATAAAATAAAAAGTATAAAATACATGCTCTTGAAATTTTAAACATAGGAAATTGAGAATCTAGCAATCATTTTTATTATTTTTTGTGTAAATCTGTGGTATCTATCATGTTTTGTTGTACTCCATAAAAACAAGAAAATATCATGAATTTTGACATTTTGAGATGCTCCCTCTGAAAACCAGACGGTAGAATTTTGTGTTTCATGCACAAAATGTATAATATAGTATTACCCATCAAATAGTATAATTTGAGCAAAAAGTCTATAGTAGCATTTGTATAATTTGCTTCGAAGTGCGAAAAAATGGTATTTTCCTATATAATCCTATAGTAAATGTACCTGTATTTTGAGATGGTCCCTAAAAAATAACCAGACAGTAGATTTTCACTAAACTTAGCATGTATACCGAAGTCAATGTAAGGTACATATGATATAAAATTAAAGAGTTTCTCTATAGTAGTTTTCACACAATAAAACCCCAGTCGGCTCCCTTAAATGTTAGTGCTGTGTTCTTTTTCTTTTTTTTTTTGTCTTTTTTTTTTGGGGGGGGGGGGGGTGTTCATGTTTACTGTAATAAGCCATAAGTGAATACTTTGGTTATATATCTTAACAAGAGGCCCATGGGCCATATCACTCACCTGAGCATTTGGCTAGGAGTTCAGTATTTTATAAGTGGTATCAACCTTCCCCCTAAGGGGAGGGGGTGATTTGAACAAACTTAAAACTACACTAACTGAGGATGCTTCCATATTTCTTTGACAAATCATGGCTTAAGAAGATTTTTAAAGGATTTTTTCCCATAAATTTTATCTTCTATTGTGGCAATGCCCTACCCCCAGGGGAGGCAATCTTTGCTGTTCTTGAGAAAGATTATTTAAAGATTTTTCCAATGTATATCTATGTAAAAACTTGATCGTCCATTGTGGCCCCACCCTATCCCTGGGAGCCATGATTTATACAAGCTTGAATCTACACTACCTAAGGATGCTTCCATATAAATATGAGCAAACATGACTTTGCTGTTCTTGAGAAGAAGATTTTTTTCCAATGCATTCCTATGTAAAACTTTGATCATCCATTGTGGCCCCACCCTACCCCCTTGGGTCATGATTTGAACAAACTTGAATCTACACTACCTAAGGATGTTTCCACATAAGTTTCATCTTTCCTGGCTTTGCTGTTATTGAAAATAAGATTCTTAAATATTTTTCCTATGTAAAACTTTGATCATCCATTGTGGCCCCGCCCTACCCCCAGGGGTCATGGTTTGAACAAACTTAAATCTACAGTACATGAGGATGTTTCCACATAAGTTTCATCTTTCCTGGCCCAGTAGTTCTGGAGAAGAAGATTTTTTATAGATTTTTCCTTTGTATTCCTATGTAAACTTTGATCATCAATTGTGGCCCAGCCCTACCCCCAGGGGTCATGATTTGAACAAATTTGAATCTACACTACCTGAGGATGTTTCCATATATGTTTCATCTTTCCTGGTCCAGTGGTTCTGGAGAATAAGATTTTTAAAACATGCCACTAAATTTTCACTATTTCTTAATTATCTCCCCTTGAAAGAGGGTGTGGCCCTTCATTTGAACTAACTTGAATCCCCTTCACCCAAGGATGTTATGTAGCAAGTTTGGTGAAAATTGGCCCAATGGTTCTTCAGAAGAAGATGAAATTGTGAAAAGTTAACGATGACGATGACAACCACAACAACGACGACAGACAATGGACAAATTTTGAATAGAAAAGCTCACTTGTGCTTTCGGCTCAGGGGAGCTAATAAGCACATGTGGTTCTTCAACCTGTGCAGTTAGCACCAAGCTGTCAAGGAGAAAAGAGATGTTATTGTATAGTGCGGTGTATTGTATTAATGTAGATTGTAAGTGTTTGCCTTTTATGTTTTTAACTAAATATAATCTTTTAAATAAAATGTTTGTTTATTGTTTTGCTTGCCACAAGAATCACTTTATTGGTGTCACCAAAAGGATAAAGTTTGGTCTTTAAGGACTGACATGGTACCTTAGGAAACTACACATGCATATGGTTCACCATATTGGATTTTAGAAAAAAATGCTGGAGTTCCTCATTGACAGTATCTACATCTACATAGTCACTGGTCACCTTGGAGCATGAAACACCATAGTCATCATCCACATTATAACAGACAGACAGACAAAGCATGCAGTATTAGTGTTCACATTTCAACAGGAAACTTATTAGTTGCTTCTGATATTTAATGAGGTATCCTGGTCAGTGTTCTAGTTTTCAAAGACAGACAGACAGAGAGACAGACGGATATACCTGTTAGTGTTTACACCTTAACAGACAGACAGACAGTAAGTGTTCAGGCTTACACAAACAGACAGACATACCATTTAGTTTTCTAACTAACACAGACAAACATACAAGTGAGTGTTACACCTTAACAGAGAGCACACTGTCAGTGTTTAGGCTTACACAAAGAGACAATCAGACATACTGTTTAACATTCTAACTTGAAAAGACAGACAGACAAACAGACATTTAGTGTTCTAAGTTACACAGACAAACAGACATACCTGTCAAGGTCTACACTCCAGACAAAGGAGCCGGCTACGTTCCCTGGAGTTTTTAGACATAACTCCGCAGAGTTATCAAAGTTCCGTGGTAACAGAGTGTCGCTATGGAGAAATAACAGTAAATCCCCTGTGGCTACTTCTGCCCCTGACTTCTGCTGGAAACCTCTCCCTGTTACAAATAAACAAATTAGGATACTTACATGCATTTATTTTAACTCAAGAATTATAATCATAACTGTTGAGTTCTTGAATCCTAAATTTATTTTCCTAATGCACTAACAGTGCTTAATTTAACAGCATGTAATATGAGGTGCTGTTTATAAATCCATCACAAGGCCCCAAAAAAATTAATTAATAGTTTCTCAGGCAAAAAATTTCAAAGTTTAAAGTGGCAGGCAGGTGGGTTTTTTTTTTTTTTGGTTTTGTTTTTTTTTTTTTTTTAAGCAGGTGTTATCTCTTTTTTTTCATGTCAGTCATTCAACAAAATGATATCAACTGATTCTTACTTTTTTTGTTCTTTTACATTAATTATGATATATACTCATGACAACTTTAAATAATGTTATTCCAAACATTTGTTTACAAGTTAATTCAATGAAATATAAAGATAACGAACAGTATTCAATCTAAAAAAAAAACGTATTAACAAGATATATATTGATTATCTGATAAATATGTCTTTTATCTATAAATCCATTGTAAATAATGATTAAATGATGTAAGAATTATCCAACAATAAAAACATTGATCTTAAAAGAGAATTATATGGTTTATCTACTGGGAAATGTTGAGCCTAAAGAGAGTACCTGGCTGACTGTTGATGACCTTGACAGAAATGTTGACCTTCAGAGAGAAGTCCTTGACCTTTCTGACTGTGTTGTCCTTACTTCCTCCATCACTAACAATGATCTCCTGGATCTTAGACTCATCGCTGCAGTTCTAAAAATAATACAGTGTTTCGTAACTCTCAGTGTTCATATATCTATTTATATAAATAATTAAGATGTGATAATTCAGCACTTTATTTCAATATAATCCATCCTTTCATCTATCTATTTATTTATTTTCCTCCATTCTACCTAGTAATCTGTTTTGACCATCCATCCTAAATCTATATATACATGTACTCTAGCTTTTGTTTTAACTATCTGTTCTATATCTATACTCTGTAACATCATATACTCCAGCTATTGTTTTAACTATCTGTTCTACATCTATACTCTGTAACATCATATACTCCAGCTATTCCACTAATAATCCTTCTTCCTGTTTCATCCACTGATAACATGTACTAGACTGTTAATGGTTTAAAATACTATATGCTTTGCTCACAATACCCATGTCAAGTTCATCCACTCATTCATCCCTCATCATCTTCCAAAATCTTAATCCCTGATCATCTCAATACCTTCAGTTCTTCATCCCTTAACATCTACAAACCCCTTTATCCTTCATCATCCGGCTACCCCCTACATTCATTATCTACCCACCTCTTCATCCCCAAGTGTTTAGAGTACTTAACAATACTATTGTCATATTGACCTCCCAAATCAACTTTTTTCCCTCCCTATAAAACCTGCCAGTAAATCTTTATCCCCAAGTGTTTATAGTACGAAACATAATAATTGTCATTTTGATCTCTTTAGTCAACTTTTATATCCCTCCCTTTCAAACTTGCCAGAAACCTTATGGTTTGATCACAAATATAGTTTTCCTAATTCAAACATCTATTGATCCAACCCATAATCACCCCTCTTGATCCACCCCAGCAATACCTGACACATTAACATCTAAATCCACCCCTCATGATCCACCCCAGTCATACCTGACAGACTGTCTGTAGTGTGTTAACAATGCTATCCTCCTCTTTCACTTCTAAATCCACCCCTCATAATCCACCCCAGTAACACCTGACAGACAGTCTGTAGTGTATTAACAATGTTATCTAAATCCACCCCTTATGATCCACCCCGGTAATACCTGACAGAGAGTCTGTAGTGTGTTAACAATATTATCTTCTTCGTTCATCGTAGGTATGATCACGCTCCACTTCCTGTCTGTCAGCTCCTTACGCTGGATCTTTAGTGCCTCCTCCAAAACAGGAAGATCTTCCTCTAAGTCCTGTCAAATCAAAATCATTTTAACATCATCCTTTAGGTCCTGTCAAATCAAAATCATTCTAACATCTTCCTCTATGTCCTGTCAAATCAAAATCATTTTAACATCCTAACCTAAGTCAAGGTCCTATTAAAAAAAATCATTCTAACATCTTCAAGCTTCATTCCTCAACTAAAAACCATGAATTAAGCTATTATTTATGAATTCTTCAAAAACAAGAATGTCTTTTAACATCTTCTTTGAGATCAGGTCTTTCGATTCAGTATCTTGGAGTTAAAAAAAATTTGAAATATACCGATGCCATGGAAAAATGTCTCAAAGAAGTTTAAACAGAATAGGTTGACTTCTTTTAATTAAAAACTTATGTAGATTCCAATTCACAATGAAATATATGGAGATAATGAACAGTATTCAAGCTCAAAAGTCCATTAAACAAATAAATAAGCCTCAATCAAATTAAATAAGCCTCACCACATCTGAGAGTTTTGTGTAGAGAATAAGCAGACTGATGCCCAGTTGTTTAGCTCTGTCACACTGCTGCTGAAAGACCTTCTCTGTCCCCCAATCTATCCCCTCAAATACATCTCCTACAATCAGAGTCAAGCACTCCTATAATCAGAGTCAAGTACTCCTATAATCAGAGTCAAGTACTCCTATAATCATAGTCAAGTACTCCTACAATCATAGTCAAGTACTCCTACAATCAGAGTCAAGCACTCCTACAATCATAGTCAAGCACTCCTACAATCATAGTCAAGTACTCCTACAATCATGGTCAAGTACTCCTACAATCAGAGTCAAGCACTCCTACAATCATAGTCAAGTACTCCTACAATCATAGTCAAGTACTCCTACAATCATAGTCAAGTACTCCTACAATCATGGTCAAGTACTCCTACAATCAGAGTCAAGTACTCCTACAATCAGAGTCAAGTACTCCTACAATCAGAGTCAAGTACTCCTACAATCATAGTCAAGTACTCCTACAATCATAGTCAAGTACTCCTACAATCAGAGTCAAGTACTCCTACAATCATAGTCAAGCACTCCTACAATCAGAGTCAAGTACTCCTACAATCATAGTCAAGTACTCCTACAATCATGGTCAAGTACTCCTACAATCAGAGTCAAGTACTCCTACAATCAGAGTCAAGTACTCCTACAATCAGAGTCAAGTACTCCTACAATCATAGTCAAGTACTCCTACAATCAGAGTCAAGTACTCCTACAATCATAGTCAAGTACTCCTACAATCATAGTCAAGTACTCCTACAAACATAGTCAAGTACTCCTACAAACATAGTCAAGTACTCCTACAAACATAGTCAAGTACTCCTACAAACATAGTCAAGTACTCCTACAATCATAGTCAAGCACTCCTACAATCAGAGTCAAGCACTCCTACAATCAGAGTCAAGTACTCCTACAATCAGAGTCAAGTACTCCTACAAACATAGTCAAGTACTCCTACAATCATAGTCAAGTACTCCTACAATCATAGTCAAGCACTCCTACAATCATAGTCAAGTACTCCTACAATCATAGTCAAGTACTCCTACAATCATAGTCAAGTACTCCTACAATCATAGTCAAGTACTCCTACAATCAGAGTCAAGTACTCCTACAATCATAGTCAAGTACTCCTACAATCATAGTCAAGTACTCCTACAATCAGAGTCAAGTACTCCTACAATCATAGTCAAGTACTCCTACAATCAGAGTCAAGTACTCCTACAATCAGAGTCAAGTACTCCTACAATCAGAGTCAAGTACTCCTACAATCAGAGTCAAGTACTCCTACAAACATAGTCAAGTACTCCTACAATCAGAGTCAAGTACTCCTACAATCATAGTCAAGCACTCCTACAATCAGAGTCAAGCACTCCTACAATCAGAGTCAAGCACTCCTACAATCATAGTCAAGTACTCCTACAATCATAGTCAAGTACTCCTACAATCAGAGTCAAGCACTCCTACAATCATAGTCAAGTACTCCTACAATCAGAGTCAAGCACTCCTACAATCATAGTCAAGTACTCCTACAATCAGAGTCAAGTACTCCTACAATCATAGTCAAGTACTCCTACAATCATAGTCAAGCACTCCTACAATCATAGTCAAGTACTCCTACAATCATCGTCAAGTACTCCTACAATCATAGTCAAGTACTCCTACAATCAGAGTCAAGTACTCCTACAATCATGGTCAAGTACTCCTACAATCAGAGTCAAGTACTCCTACAATCATAGTCAAGTACTCCTACAATCAGAGTCAAGTACTCCTACAATCATAGTCAAGTACTCCTACAATCATAGTCAAGCACTCCTACAAACATAGTCAAGTACTCCTACAATCATAGTCAAGTACTCCTACAATCATAGTCAAGCACTCCTACAATCATAGTCAAGTACTCCTACAATCATCGTCAAGTACTCCTACAATCATAGTCAAGTACTCCTACAATCATAGTCAAGTACTCCTACAATCATAGTCAAGTACTCCTACAATCAGAGTCAAGCACTCCTACAATCAGAGTCAAGCACTCCTACAATCAGAGTCAAGTACTCCTACAATCAGAGTCAAGTACTCCTACAATCAGAGTCAAGTACTCCTACAATCATAGTAAAGTACATAGTCAAGTACTCCTACAAACATAGTCAAGTACTCCTACAATCAGAGTCAAGCACTCCTACAATCAGAGTCAAGCACTCCTACAATCAGAGTCAAGTACTCCTACAATCAGAGTCAAGTACTCCTACAAACATAGTCAAGTACTCCTACAATCATAGTCAAGTACTCCTACAAACATAGTCAAGTACTCCTACAATCAGAGTCAAGTACTCCTACAATCAGAGTCAAGCACTCCTACAATCAGAGTCAAGTACTCCTACAATCAGAGTCAAGTACTCCTACAAACATAGTCAAGTACTCCTACAAACATAGTCAAGTACTCCTACAATCATAGTCAAGTACTCCTACAATCAGAGTCAAGTACTCCTACAATCATAGTCAAGTACTCCTACAATCATAGTCAAGTACTCCTACAATCATAGTCAAGCACTCCTACAAACATAGTCAAGTACTCCTACAATCATAGTCAAGTACTCCTACAATCATAGTCAAGTACTCCTACAATCATAGTCAAGTACTCCTACAATCATCGTCAAGCACTCCTACAATCAAAGTCAAGTACTCCTACAATCATCGTCAAGTACTCCTACAATCAGAGTCAAGTACTCCTACAATCATAGTCAAGTACTCCTACAATCAGAGTCAAGTACTCCTACAATCATAGTCAAGTACTCCTACAATCATAGTCAAGTACTCCTACAATCAGAGTCAAGTACTCCTACAATCATAGTCAAGTACTCCTACAATCAGAGTCAAGTACTCCTACAATCAGAGTCAAGTACTCCTACAATCATAGTAAAGTACATAGTCAAGTACTCCTACAAACATAGTCAAGTACTCCTACAATCAGAGTCAAGCACTCCTACAATCAGAGTCAAGCACTCCTACAATCAGAGTCAAGTACTCCTACAATCAGAGTCAAGTACTCCTACAAACATAGTCAAGTACTCCTACAATCATAGTCAAGTACTCCTACAAACATAGTCAAGTACTCCTACAATCAGAGTCAAGTACTCCTACAATCAGAGTCAAGCACTCCTACAATCAGAGTCAAGTACTCCTACAATCAGAGTCAAGTACTCCTACAAACATAGTCAAGTACTCCTACAAACATAGTCAAGTACTCCTACAATCATAGTCAAGTACTCCTACAATCAGAGTCAAGTACTCCTACAATCATAGTCAAGTACTCCTACAATCATAGTCAAGTACTCCTACAATCATAGTCAAGCACTCCTACAAACATAGTCAAGTACTCCTACAATCATAGTCAAGTACTCCTACAATCATAGTCAAGTACTCCTACAATCATAGTCAAGTACTCCTACAATCATCGTCAAGCACTCCTACAATCATAGTCAAGTACTCCTACAATCATCGTCAAGTACTCCTACAATCAGAGTCAAGTACTCCTACAATCATAGTCAAGTACTCCTACAATCAGAGTCAAGTACTCCTACAATCATAGTCAAGTACTCCTACAATCATAGTCAAGTACTCCTACAATCATAGTCAAGTACTCCTACAATCAGAGTCAAGTACTCCTACAATCATAGTCAAGTACTCCTACAATCAGAGTCAAGTACTCCTACAATCATAGTCAAGTACTCCTACAATCATAGTCAAGCACTCCTACAAACATAGTCAAGCACTTTACTTCATTGCTTTCATACTCAAAGGCAAAATACAAGTTTCATAAAGAAAGCAAGCAAACTCATCGTTCAGAGGCATCAAATGACTTTCTGAGATCAAAGGACATAAAAAACCTTATATCAAAGGAACCTAACTACTACAAGCAACACAAAACGATCTGAATGTGGCAACTGAACCAAAAATGTTTCTTTACAAATAACTACTCATCTGCCTTTTCTTCTGTTCTTAGACCTATGATTTTACAAAGACATTTCTTTACAAGTCATTAATTGTCTGCCTTTTCTTCTGATCCTAAGACTATGTGTTTAAAAATATACCTATTTTGTAAGCTGCCTCTTTGGAGAAACCCACCAAGTAGTATCCCCCATCCTCTGCCTGTCCCAGGACCATCTCCGCCCCGCCCTCAAGAGTCTCAAAAGCCTCCTCCATTACACTAGCATCCAGTCCAGGGATGTCTGAACCTGCAGTTATACAAAGGGACCTCCATCATTCAGTATAAACATCAATGTCTGTACAATAATTATACAAAGGGACCTAAATCATTCAATACAAATGTGTGTACTATAATTATACAAAGGGACCTAGATCATTCAATACAAATGTCTGTGCTATAATTATACATGAGAACATGAATCCTTACACTAACACCAAGTCAAACAATACAACCCAACCACCACGGGTAAGTTAACCGTATATGTAAAAGGGACCTAAATCATTACATGAAGTTCTGGAATGTCTGTGCCTAATCATACAGGGAAGGATGGGGATTATAAGCATTATAGTCACTAGAATACACACATGTACATTTATCTGTCATTTTTTATTCCAGGTTTTCATAAGCTTACTGTTTGTCAGTGTAATGTAATTGAAATCTTGGTATAAAAATAGATATATCAAAATTGAAACACAAATTAAAAGCAAAACAAAGTATTTAATTATTCTATTGTCTCTTACAAATGCTTTATAAAATTGATATGCTAGTCTTTCAGTGTAAGATTTATCTCCCTTACCTACAATAACAACATACTCTTTCTCTCCCCTGAATGCAGACAGAGTAGCCTCCCTTAACTTCTCTCCGAGGCCACCTGGTGGTTGCTGATAGAAGTACATAAAATCATATCCCCCTGATTTAGGGGTCAGCCAGTATTTCATGTTTTCCTTCGTGGATCCATTATACCATACTGCCAGGTCTGTGTCTTTATGCTTTCTGCAGTACTCACTCAAACGCTCCAAAATGTGTACTGTCTTAAAGAAACAAATAAACATGTAAGTAAATGGTAGTCTAATGTACAGGTACATACAAACATTACAATACACATGTTCACATCATTCATGTGGTAGGGAGACATGACTGTTTGTCAGTGTTCCAATCACAGATGCCTGGGCTTCTAACTACAACTAAAGTTCAGGGGGTCATAACTTTAAACCCTGGTCCAAATGCAATTCCCCCTTCCTGATATATTACTGCATTAGGCCAACTTTAAAACAATGTTTGTTTGCCCTCTCCAGACTCAGGATAAAAAAAAGTGTCCGTAGGAAGGTAAGAAATTTTTTCCCCCGAGAGTTTTAACATCAATGTTGAATTTTCAAAATCTTTTTTCCAGAGTGCATTAAAAAAAATTGCTCCCAGAAGGTAAAAAAATTTTGAGTCAGGCCATTTTTTTAATGTCTCTCTGTTATAAAATGAGGCTTCTACTACACATGATATCATAGTAGGTATTTTCATGCAAAGTTGGGAAATGTTTTAGTCTGTCTATTGTTCTGTAAAGTTGTACTATAGTCTGCTTCTCTGCAGTGTGACCTCACTCCCATCATTAGTCAAACATATGAAATTGTTCACAGTTCATTTTCTCTACTTTTTTAAAAAAATATTTCTAAGTAAAGGTTTTTGCCATGGTGGCAGTTGGGCAAATGCTGGGGCTAAACAGCTTCATTTACAGAGCACTTGTCTACAGATCAAGAATTAAAAAGCATCTGTCTAAATCAGATCAGTGTTTATAGAGCACCCCTCTAGAGATCAGGGTTTATAGAGTAACTGTCTAGAGGTCAGGGTTTATAGAGTATATGTTGAGAGATCAAGGTTTATAGAGCACCTGTCTAGATCAGATCAGTGTTTATAGAGCACCTGTCTAGAGATCAGGGTTTATAGAGTATATGTTGAGAGATCAAGGTTTATAGAGCACCTGTCTAGATCAGATCAGTGTTTATAGAGCACCTGTCTAGAGATCAGGGTTTATAGAGTATCTGTTGAGAGAACAAGGTTTATAGAGCAACTGTCTAGATCAGATCAGTGTTTATAGAGCACCCCTCTAGAGATCAGGGTTTATAGAGTATCTGTTGAGAGATCAGGGTTTATAGAGTATATGTTGAGAGATCAAGGTTTATAGAGCACCTATCTACTAGAGAGATCAGTTTTTATAGAGTATCTGTCTAGATCAGATCTGTGTTTATAGAGCACCTGTCTAGAGATCAGTGTCTATAGAGCACCCATCTAGAGATCAGGATTTATAGAGTATCTGTCTAAATCAGATCTGTGTTTATAGAGCGACCATCTAGAGATCAGGGTTTATAGAGTATCTGTCAAGAGATCAGGGTTTATAGAGCACCTGTCTAGAGATCAGGGTTTACAGAGCACCTGTCTAAAGATCAGCTCTTATAGAGTAGTTGTCTAGATCAGATCAGGGTTTATAGAGCACCTGTCAAGAGATCAGGGTTTATAGAGCACCTGTCTAGAGATCAGGGTTTACAGAGCACCTGTCTAAAGATCAGCTCTTATAGAGTACTTGTCTAGATCAGATCAGGGTTGTCAAGAGATCAAGGTTAATAGAGCACCTGTCTAGAGATTAAGGTTTATAGAGCACCTGTCAAGAGATCAGGGTTAATAGAGCACCTGTCTAGAGATTAAGGTTTATACAGCACATGTCTAGAGATCAGGGTTTATAGAGCACCTGTCTAGAGATCAGGGAGTCTAGGATTAAATCCTGATCTCATCAATTTTTTTCTCCCTTGTACCTCTTACATATCATGCCACACCCTGGAAGTGACAGCTAGGTAAAAAACTGTAATGGTTGGTGTCTTGTGTTCATAGGTGCATTTGTGGGGTAGGGAGAATAGTTGGCAGAGCACCTGACTAGAGTTCTTAATTGGGGCTTAGGTTCAAATTCTGGTCTGGTACATTGCATTTGACTGCATGCTTGCAGTAAACATAAAATGCATCCAGTTTCAAAATCCTTTGATCACATGCACACAGGGTTGTATGTAGATCTGAATTTGCCATGTTCACCGAGATTAAACAGGTTGGGCACAGTTCCTTTTTCGGGGAAGTATAACTATAAAACGGGATTATTCCTCTTTTCAGTAATAAAAAACATTACTGTATACGGGAATTTTCACTCGTTTACCCTCTATTTTCGTGTTTGCTTTGAATAAAAGATTAAGTGCAAGAATATTTTTACATCCTCTAAATATTTATAGTCTATAAGTGTATGTATGCTCAAAATTACAATATTTATCGCTGCAAAATGCTGAAAAAGAGCGATGAAATATTTCTACGATATAAATTTCTTACGGAAGCTTATCTGTGTTAAATTTGTGAGATTGAATACATTCAGCACTTGCTAACTCGTTCATGAAATTATTCGTTCTAATTTAATTTTATATCATTTTTTTCAAAGACATCGTAAAAATAATTTTTTATACCACTGCTTCTTTTACAGATGAAAATAATTATTTGAAATATTAAATTTTAAAAGATAGTCTTTCAAAGATGGTTTTAGCATGAATGCCCTTATAAGATTCCATACTTTTCGTATCATTTATCAACAGTGAAAATTGAAGTAAAAATCATGGATTACTGCTGCACGCGAGTTTAAATTCCTATGCGTGTTCAAAAGATGTCACCTCCACGAAACCAAGCTATGAAATTTTCCGTTTTTGAACAAGTAATAATATAACTTACAAGGGAAAATTCACATCCGTTTGAAGAATACTCATGATGTCGTACGATTAAATCTCATCTTACTCCTGTCTGCAGCACTAAAGGACCGAATTTTTTTGTCAGCGAGGTTTGTTTGATAAAGTTTAAACACATCACATCGTATTTTTCATGCACTTTTTATTTAATAAACGGATTTGGGGTATTATTTTAAAAATACGACGAAAATTCCCGTATACAGTAATACTTTTTATTACTGAAAAGAGGAATAATCCCGTTTTATAGTAATACTTCCCCAAAAAAGGAACTGTGCCCAACCTGTTAAAGATGAATGTCAGACACCTCGGCCCAACGACACCTCGGCCCAACGACATCTCGGCCCATTGACACCTCGGCCCCTACGGGTCGGCTCAAGATTTGAGACACCTCGGCTCACGTAAAGGACACCTCGGCACAAACAAAAATGTATTATTTTAAAACATATTTATTTAATATATTCTGAAGTATTTTATTATTATAGGGACTAAATGCGACGGATTATATTATTATATATCCATGAAATAAAAAAAGAAAATAAATGAATAAATATTGACGGTAATTAATAAAAGACTGTCCATCCCAAAGTGCTAATCGTTAAACAAACAAGAAGACACGGCGCATCCTTTGCCGTCTCAAGCGCGTGTCATGTGGGGTGGAGTTAATTACGAGCAGGCTAAATTAATCCAATTGTTGGGTACAAACCACATATCTACCTTGGTTGGTTTAGGGAAATATATCCATTATGCTCTAATATTACGCAACGAAGATCTATCAGGTTAACGTAATTTCTATCTGTAAGGTAAACGTGTACAATACGCCCCTACTACAAAGTGATTTTTAAGTAAAAGAATTCTTAACATTATTAAATGAATAAAGTTGCATTTTCATAAGCAACAAAATAAATAAATAAATAGACCTTCTATCTCCCACTGTCAGCAGCTGACATAGATCTATATATCATTAATCTATTTTGAAATTATTTGCCCCTGTTTATCGTATACATATCGTCATTATAAACATACATATATTTATATTACCATAGTGAATACAGATAATAATTCTGAAAAAAAATTCCTTGGGCCGAGGTGTCTTCAGTATTGGCCGAGGTGTCAATAATTTTGGGCCGACCTGTCAGGGCCGAGGTGTCAAACGTGACGGGCCGAGGTGTCGTTGGGCCGAGGTGTCTGTCTACCTTAAAGATTTAGATGCATCCTACATCTCTCATATGGACAGAAAAATCATGAAGACAGTGTATTACCATTCTTCGTTGTGCATATGCTGCACCTTCTTTTCCTAAACATGGTATCAGGCGAGTTTTTGTCACCCCGGGGGTGGGGTACCTCGTAAAGACAGAAATAACTTTCTTATTTCTCCGTTTCTTAAAAATTTTCGTCGTGTTGGCGATCAACACGATCACAGGGACTGAAAACAATGCCGCAACCAGCATGACAGCAGACAACATCACCGCTGGGGATCAAAATCCAGATCAGCTGGAGGGTCCTCACGTCCGCCAGGAGGTATAATATGTATGCTTTTTTAGATCTCATAACCAGCCTCTATAACCAGGCAGAGCGCATGCGCGCAATAAATTTCCATCGAGATCGGAAAACGGGAGGAGGAAATTCGGAACAAATAATGGAAACTATATTATAGTCAGATGCAGAATATGCATAATTCGATCAACTTTTATTTAAAAAAGCAGAAGAATAAATGAATCAACTTTACAGTTAGTTTTTATTTATTTCATGTTTTTATTTATTTCATTTATTTATTTATCTATTTATTTATTTATCTATTTATTTATTTATTTATTTAATTCATTTAATTTATTTATTTATTTATCTTTCTAAAAATTATATAAGTAACTGATTAATTTATTAAAAATGTATTTATGTATTTTTTTATTTATTACATTCTTTCCTTCAATTATTAATTATTCTATCCATTAATTAATTATTTATTAATTAATTCATTGATTTATTAATTTGTATGGCTGTTAGTTTATTTATCTATTCATTTATTTATTATTCTTATAATTAAATAATTAAGTAATTGATTAATTCATTAGGAAGGTCATTTATTTGTTTATTTATTTATTACATTCACTCCTTCGTTTATTTCTTATTCTATTAATTATTTAATTAGTTTATTTATTTATTTTTTTATTTATTTATTTATTCTTTCATTCATTCATTCATTCATTCCTTCATTCATTCATTCATGGATGCATTATTTATGCATTTATCACATATTACTTTTATAAATTAATTGTGTTTACAGGGTTTGTATACTTATTTCCAGGGTCTGTTTATATATTGCCATAGTTTGCATTATGTATCACCAGGGTCGGTATTATCTAACACCAGGGTCTGTATACCCATCACCAGGGTCTGTATACCCATCACCAGGGTCTGTATACCTATCACCAGGGTCTGTATTGTCTATCACCAGGGTCTATATACCCATCACCAGGGTCTGTATACCTATCACCAGGGCCTGTATACCCATCACCAGGGTCTGTATACCCATCACCAGGGTCTGAATTATCTATCACCAGGGTCTATATACCCATCACCAGGGTCTGTAAACCCATCACCAGGGTCTGTATACCCATCACCAGGGTCTGTATAACCATCACCAGGGTCTGTATTGTCTATCACCAGGGTCTGTATTGTCTATCACCAGGGTCTATATACCCATCACCAGGGTCTATATACCCATCACCAGGGTCAGTATACCCATCACCAGGGTCTGTATTGTCTATCACCAGGGTCTGTATTGTCTATCACCAGGGTCTATATACCCATCACCAGGGTCTGTATACCTATCACTAGGGTCTGTATTGTCTATCACCAGGGCCTATATACCCATCACCAGGGTCTGTATACCTATCACCAGGGTATGTATACCTATCACCAGGGCCTGTATACCCATCACCAGGGTCTGTATACCCATCACCAGGGTCTGTATACCTATCACCAGGGTCTATATACCCATCACCAGGGTCTGTAAACCCATCACCAGGGTCTGTATACCCATCACCAGGGTCTGTATTGTCTATCACCAGGGTCTATATACCCATCACCAGGGTCTATATACCCATCACCAGGGTCTGTATACCTATCACCAGGGTCTGTATACCTATCACCAGGGTCTGAATTATCTATCACCAGGGTATATATACCCATCACCAGGGTCTGTAAACCCATCACCAGGGTCTGTATACCCATCACCAGGGTCTGTATATCCATCACCAGGGTCTGTATTGTCTATCACCAGGGTCTGTATTGTCTATCACCAGGGTCTATATATCCATCACTAGGGTGTATATACCCATCACCAGGGTCTGTATACCTATCACCAGGGTCTGTATTGTCTATCACCAGGGTCTATATACCCATCACCAGGGTCTGTATACCTATCACCAGGGTCTGTATACCCATCACCAGGGTCTGAATTATCTATCACCAGGGTCTGTATACCCATCACCAGGGTCTGTATACTCATCACCAGGGTTTGGGTATCCATGAACAGGGTCTTAATCTGTAAATCTATGTCAAGGGTGTGTATTATCTGTCATTAGGGTCTGTATGTACCCATCACCAGGGTGTGTATACCTATCACCAGAGACTGTGGACCTATTACCAGGGTCCGTATATCTATTACCAGCGTCTGTATTTCTATAACCAAGGTCGGTATTATCTATTAAAAGGGTCTGTATACTTATCACCAGGGTCTATATTATCTATCACTAGGGTCTCTATTATCTATCACTAGAGCTGTACATCTATCACCAGGGTCTGTATACCCATCACCTGTTTCTCTGTCCGCAAAAACGTGTCCATTACTTTTGATTGGTTGGACCTATGGCTTTCATATTTCACATGTGCATTCCTTGTGATAAGGCCTTTGTTAGGGTTCTAACATATTTGACTTTTTTGACCTTGATCTTTGAGTTTTTCCCACTTTTTCAAGAATTTACCAAACTTTAACCTTGGCTATAACTTTTCAACAGTTGGTGCAAGGGCTTTCATACTTTATACTAGTATGTGTATTCATAGTAGCAAGACCTTTGAACGGATATTAAAAAAATTGATCTTGACCTTTGAGTTTTACCAACTTTTAAAAATTTTAACCTTGAGAAATTAGTATCAGGGCTATTATTTTCCACATGTGTATTCCTTGTGACAAATCCTTTCTTTGGGTTCCGACATATTTGAAATTTTGACCTTTATCTTGGAATAAGACATACTTTTGAAAAACTTTAATCTTGGCCATATATTTTGAACAGTTGGTGCTAATTCTTTAATGTTTTACATGTGTATTTCTTATGACAAAGCCTTACCCTGGGTACCTTTAATTTGACCCTTTGACCTTGACCTTGCAGTTTGACCCACATTTAAAAAACTTTAACCTGAGCTAAACCTTTTGAATGGTTAGTGCCTGGAATTTCTTATTTCTCAGATATATTCACTGAGAGTCCTTTCTTTGGGTAACAACATTTTTCAGCTATTAAGGACATACGCAACGTAGTTTGAACTTTATTGTCTTTTTCCCTGGAGTTGAGGATTTCAAATACTTAAAGGAACTGTGTGCTATATTTTAATGTCTATATATGCTGTTGTACACTTCTTCTAAAATAAATTTGGATAAACAAAACATCTAGAATATATGTTTAATAATTTTTGTATATTTTTCTTTGAATTATACAAGAATTTTCATCAATTGATATCTTTTCAAAACCCCTGGTAATGCATGCTGATTTTTTGTCTACGAACATCTGATGGCACTATATAATCTTAAATTAAGAATATCTTTAAAAATTATCAGTAGGTAAGGTACGTTGCGTATGTCCTTAATATTTGAGTTTGAGTTGCATTTGAGAAACTTTAACCATTGTCAAAAGCTGCCATACAGGGACATCAGTGTTTCACAAACACATTTTGTTTTAATTTGAAATACCAAACAAAATTAAATTGAAATATTCGATAATAACCATTATAGATTTTAGATAATTTTGTTCACAAAAGGAGAGAAAGTCCTTTGCTGTAAAGTGAGGTTTATTTGTACGTTTATTTGTTCACTAATTTGTTTATTTATTTTTGGCCTGAAATGACCATGTTATAGACCGTTCGAGAAATTAATAGGGTATGTTCTTTGACATCAAACATATCAAACTTTCATGCATACTTAGCTTTGAAGTCTACATTTGGACTTTGCGACTTTGTAAAAATATTTTTAAATGAACGCCTGCACTGAAAATTAAAGTTTAAATTTCAATTTAAATTTAAGGAGGTATAACCTATCGATTACATGAATTTTTATTGGGGGAAGTGGGTTAAAGTCACTATTTATAACAAAGTGTTGTCAGTCTAACTATCATGATAAATAAAGAAGGATGGCTAAATAATTGTCTGGAATGTGTTGCTTGGAATTTATTTCAAGGCCTAAACATGTAGATCAAGGTGTAGGGAAAGGTCGACCAATAATAACGACCTCACTATAGATTTTCAAGGCACCTAAACACTACAGATTTTATTTATTTCATTTGTATTTACAATTCATCAAATTATAATTTCAGATTAACAATTTGTTATTACAATTTTTTATCTTTTATAAAACAAGTTAACATTTTATAATTGCAAATTATTTGATTTGTTGTATAAATATTTTCCTTCCTACTTAGTTTATGTTAAAGTATGAATTTGAATTCCCCCAATACTGATGTACAAAAATCACCGTTACGGAAAACAAGATGTGTTTGTGAAACACTGATGCCCCCGTATGGCAACTTATATAGCAAAGGTTAAACTTTCTCAAACGCAAATCAAATATGTTGGTACCCAAAGTAAGGTCTTGTCCCGAGGAATAAACCTGTGAAATATGAAAGCCCCGGTAGCAACGATTGAATAGATATGGATAAGTTTTTTTTTTAAAGTATGTCAAAAATCAAGGTCAAGGTCAAATGGTCAAAATTAATGGTGCCCAAGGAAAGGCCTTCTTCCAAGAAATACACCTGTGAAATATGAAAGCCAAAGCACCGACCTTTCAAAAGTTATGACCAAGGTTAAAGTTTGATAAAATTTTGCAAAACTGGGTCAAACTCCAAGGTCAAGGTAAAATATAGTGGTACCCAGAGAAAGGTCTTGTCACAAGGAATACACATGTAAAATATGAAAGTCATAGCTCCAACCAATCAAAAGTTATGGGCAAGGTTAAAGTTTTTGCGGACAAACAGACAGACGGACGGACAGGGCAAAACTACATACCCCCGAATCTTCGATACGGGGGCATAAAAATGCGAATAAAGCGTTCGATTAATTTATCTTATCCAATAAATTAAAGAATTGAGAACACTTAAACTGGTTGCAAATTGTACATCTAGTAGGAAAATTCTATGAAATATTTTGTTTATAAAACAAGTAGAATCAACAGTTAACATATTAATCACAGATTGTGTTTGCCTGCACATGATTAAAATCATGAAATTGCCCAAAAATGTACGATA